TATTATGATATAATTAAATGAGTTGTATGTAGAATAAAACTGAAGAAATAAACGTGCGCTTGACATTCTATTTAGGAATGTAAGAAAAATACCAAATTTTTTTGCCTTATGTTTTTATTATTCAAACTACATTATTTAATTTTTAATAGAAAAATATTTATTAATATAAAATCTTCTAATAAATTGTAATATATTAGTAATATTTTTAAACATTACAATTTAAATTTTCAATGAATTAAGTAAGTGTTTGCGATAACATGCAATAAACACTTGCGATATACCTCTACCAAAGCACTTCTCGTCAGTACGCAGCCACGGGCGCGCAGCAACCCGTCGCAAAGCTAACATCGGCGAGTCTGTTCGTCTTTATGTTTGCGCAACCACGAATACTCTCATAAGAATCTAAACGAGAACAGTGCGTGTTTCCATTATATTTTTAACATAGAGACAAATTATTTTTCCCTTCTCCTCCATTTTGAATGAGTTATTATATTTCCTAAAACCTCTGTATCAGAATCGTTTACTTTTCTTTATATGTATATCGACACATAAAAATGGAGGCGGGATCAGTTAAGCATTACGTTTTGTATTTCCTAAGAAAAAGATACGTATTGTATTAATCTACGAGTATACAGATAAATAAAATTCAATGTTGATGTTAAATAACAGCGTTACACTTAATGCATATGAAATTATATACGGTAATAATAAGAAAAACACATTTTTTAAAATTTTGACAGGGCTTTCACTGGACGACATAGGCTACTTTTATTTTAGAAAAAGAAATCAGGACGAACCCGGGCGAAGCGAGGGTGAGTCGCTAGTTTTATAAATAAAAACTATACTTGTTATAAAATACAGAGAAGATCTATTTGGTTTTTTAATTAGTATTGTGAAGTGGAAACGTGCCGTCGAATAGGCGGCATGCGCGTACGCAGCTTGTGACAATATTGACAGTGACGCAAACAAATACAAGCCCCGCTTTGTCTACGCCGTGCATTGCTGACGAGTGTTGTATCGCGTTTCCTTTAAACTTTTGTTTTTAAGCCACTATAACCAATATTAGTTATTTGTCTTAAATACTTTTCGTTTTGAATTTTAAGCGTTCTAAAAGCATTGAAGCGTAAAAGTTTAATTTTTGACATAAAATCATATATTACTTTGCTAGTAGTCTCTCTTTGCTCTACAATATCACCCTATTATCGGAATTATTTATTGATATTAAAATTGTATAATTGTCTATAGGTAATGTACGCCATCACATTTCAATATCTCTATATATATTTCTTAAGACTACATTTTTGCATAAACCAGCCAGTACTGCAAACGAACAAAACAACTAAAATAATTATTTGATATGTATTAATTCAATGTCGTAAATAAACCAAGTTAAATTATAATCCAGAGATCCGTATACTTAAACTAGCGACTTATGTACGTACCTAACTATAAATTCTTCAAGTCAACCTATCAATGTACTTAATTTCAATCAAATTCGTCAAGCAGTTTGAAGGAGAAAAGAACATACACCCACACACACAACTTTTACATTGTAATAATGTTTATTTTATTAATATTATGATTACTTAAATAATATGGTTATTATTTCTAAATAGAATATTTCATTAATTTATAATTGAATATAAATAAATTACAAATAATATTTTAGCCTTACTTATTTTTATCAATTTATAGGTTGTATTCAAAGTAGGAGTAAAATTTTACATAATATGTAGTGGTAATACAGAACAAAATGGCTACTTGGAAAGTTATACATTATAAAGTAGTAAGTAAAAGTTACAAATTTGATGAAAATCTGTTCAGTGGGTTTTTCGTGATGCGGTCACAGAAAGACAGACAGACAGACAAAAATTCTAAAAACTATAGATTCGGCATCTGTGTCGATAATAACGTCTATTTCAATAAGATTTTCCAAGAAATATTAAATTTACAGATTCGGCTTAGTTAGAATTTTATTATATGTATAGATTTGAAGTAAAAAATAATCAAAGTTAAAGCTTTTTTTAGTTAACTTCAATTATTCTTTTATGTTTTGCGCGAATAATTTTCTATATCAAACTAAATTTCATTCCGATTGATTAAATTAAATCTAACTGCGCCCACTAACCCTTCAAAAGGGCTAAACCGATTTTAACAAAATTTTCTCTGGCGAATAAATATTTCAGGTAAGAGTAACTTCTTTAATATGGCGGAGCGGAACCATGTGTAAAAGTTAGTTAAAAAGGTTTAAAACCTAATATAAACCTTTCTAACTAGCAGTAAAATCAAAACATTCCACCGGCCGCGAGCCCCTCAAAGGTGCCGCGTGTGTGTGTTGTAACAGAAGAAGGCCGACGCGACACCACTAATCCATTATGTGAACAAATATTTATCGACCTTAGATTTTTGCTTTTGATCTGCCAAATGCAATCGTTATTACGCAATCGTGGTTTGATTTCAATTTACTAAGTGTTCTACAAATAATACATATATATATATATATATATATATATATATATATATATATATATATATATATATATATCTAAAATGACCTCTTATAGAATGATGCTGCAAAATTTTATATAGTAGCTATCGTCCGTGACTTCCTTAGATAGGTCGATAAATAGTCTAGCTGCAGTTTAGTATATAGGACGCGGCCGCTGGAGGAGTGGGTGATATTTTTGGATAGGGGAGGCGATAGGGAGTTCAAATATATAAAAATTATTTTAAGGAAACTAAGGAGTCAAAAGTTATTAAGACTTAAATTTAGAACATTTCCGTACATTTCTATACCTAAATAAGACATTACAAAAGATATACATACCTTTAACGAATAATAAACATCCTTTTTCGTGTAAAATCCATATTTTCATAACAAATAAGGCTTTATTGTATTAATATTTTAATAATTTCATTAAAAACAATAACCTAAACAAAATAAGCTTAATTTTTTACAAAAATGTGAATTTTTGTTTTATATACCATACCATATACTAAATTGTGCCAATAATCTGTGTTAGTTAAGAATATGGTAGGTAAATTTTAAAATAGGAAGGTTTTAGAATTTGGTAAGTTTAAAAAAAATGCAACCAAGTTGAGAACCATCCTTTTTTTAAAAGTCGGTTAATAATGGTGCAGTGCCTTTAGAAATTGTTCTGTTATCTGTACATACAAAAAATCCCCATAGGTTTTAACATTAAGCTTCAAAGCAAAAATAAAAAACGCCAATATGACGGTACGTTTGCACTTCACAATAATCTTTTAACTTAATAATATCAATCTAAATTAAAATTAAAATTTTAACTGTTTAAGTAACCGGAAGTGGAAAATGAATTCACAATCTACGAATAAAACAATAATATTGCTTAAATAAATTATAATTAATATTTTAAATAAATTTATGGTCATACGTATAATAATAGCAACACTAAATAATTTTTAAAATAATAAAGTTCTTTTAAAAAAAAAGTAATAATTTATAATAATAACAGCTAAAATTAAATAAATAAAACTTATTCCTATGTTTAAATATAACATTTATTAAAATTTAAAATTTTTAGAATTAAAATTAACAAATATTGTAAGGTGTTATGGTGCCATTTTAGATTTTTTTGAAATTATTTTGTGAAATTGTGGGTAGGCTGTCTGTAACCAGTAAATACATACATATATGAAGACCTTTGAGATAGATGAAACCTTAATCTCTTCCGTGACCAAAATTGCTATAAAGCATTCGAAATGTCGAGAACCAAAAATCAAAACTCGAAAAGAAAATTTTCTTTAAAATATCAAATATTCGCGTAAATCTAAAAAAGTATTATATAGATAAACAAACTCACAACAAAATTATCGTCCCAATATTATTGTTATAGTATCGAACATGACAATTTCTGAACAAATAATAGAGAGATCGGTCAGCAGCAGTTACTGTAACAGTTGTCTTATTAAGTAAAGGATTTGCCGGACGAGGGACGGGTTTCATTAAGCCATCACGGATGAGAACAATTAGTTAGCAAGCCGACACATATTAACGTCTATTATGAAATCTATTCATATAATAAAATTGTAACTAAGTCGAATCTGTACATTAAATATTTTTTGGAAAAACTAATTGAAATAGACATTATTATCGATACAGAGCCCGAATCTATGGTTTTTAGAATTTTTGTCTGTCTGTCTTCTGTTACCGCATCACGAGAAAACCACGGGACTAGGATACTTTTTACCCCGGAAAATATCTCATTTCTGAGAAAAAATACAAAAACTGCATTGTAAGAGTATACTAATATTTAAAACCTAAGAATTTGGTTTTTGGTAATCTGAACGCGGGCGGAGCCGCGGGCAATGCTAGTATGATAAAGAATGTTATCCAATTTATTTTCTACTGATGCGATATTACTACATTGAAGACAATTTCTTAAAGGTTTTGCTTATTTTAGCAAATTTTAACTTTTTACTACTTGAGATTTTCTCAGATTTCTATACTCAAAAATGACATATCTGTTCAATTATACGAAAAATCTATACATATAATAAAATTCTACGTACATCGAATCTGTACGTTAACTGTTTTTTGGATTTTTTTATTGAAATAGTCATTATATCAGCGATACAGAGTCTCTGTCTGTCTGATTGACTTGGAATGCATCACGAGAAAACCACTGGACAGATTTTGATGAAATTTGGTATGATTATAGCTGGTTATCCGGGTCAACATATAAAGTATTTTTACTGCGAGAAAATGTCTCATCTCTGACAAATCTATACTAAACATTAAAACAACTAGGGAAGTTAGTATAGAACCCGAGCGGAGCGAGGGTGAGTCACTAGTACATACATAGAGCTATTCTAATTCAACTTTCGACTATAGCCGTCGGTGTTTTTTGCTCTCAAATATTTGCACACAAGTTTGTTTATGCTTTACAATTTACGACATTACAATGAAATGTCCGTGGGATCATGTGGGATCGAGACAGGTGTCAATTTTTTTAATACAAATGAAAGAGATAAAAGATACCGACCCCCTGCGGACTAACCTGCATGGTAAATATGAAGCTTTGACATATTGTAGAAAAGCAAACACGGATTGACTTCTAACTCCTACGTGTTACTGTCGAGTTACTTACAAGTGTTCTGTTGATGGAATTTTAAAATAAATTTTATATAATATTTTTTTTATCAATAACTTAAATAATAAAATGGTTTATCGAAAAAACAAATCAAATGCAAAGATAACGGCATCCTGTGATAATTTTTTAATAATTTACGTAAACGTGAAGATTAAATCATTTTTATCAATAATATTTTTATTATTTGTTGTAAAGCGTGATTGCTGTTTTATATAAAATTTTATAATCTGATCGGGTTGATGGGATTATTTTTTATGTACGATTGAGAATTACCCAATACAAAATTTCGACAACTGAAATATTGACATGGCAACAAGTGACTGTTAAAAATATTTCCATCGTAAATTTTCATCAATTTATTGTACGACTAGTTTTGCCCGCGGCTCCGCCCGCGTTCAGATTACCAATAACCAAATTCTTAGGTTTTACATATTAGTATACTCTTACATTACAGTTTTTTGTATTTTTTCTCAGAAATGATATATTTTCCGGGGTAAAAAGTATCTATCACCATACCAAATTTCATCAAAATCCCTCCAGTGGTTTTTCTGTGATGCGGTAACAGACAGACAGACAGACAGACAGACAGACACAAATTCTAAAAACTATAGATTCGGCCTCTGTATTGATAATAATATCTATTTCAATAAGATTTTCCAAAAAATATTTAATGTACAGATTCGGCTTAGTTACAATTTTATTATATCTATAGACAATAGTAGTTTTCGTGAAATATTAAATCATAATATATTTTTTAATAAAACTTATATGTAGTTACAGAAAATTCTTTGATTTCAATTTGTTCGTAATAGTTAGACAAACTCACTTTTAACTTATTTCTTTATTTATTTTGTTTTAATTGGTTATATGTTATACTTTCTTAGATTTACTGATTTATTTTGATTTTTGGTTCCCGACGTTTCGAATGCTTTACAGCATCCATGGTCACGGGAGAGACTAAGGTTATAGACGTCTCAAAGGTCATATAGTTATTATAGACAGTGTTTATATCATGTTTTATCTGTCTTACTCTGGTACTCTTATAAATTACATTATGCAACTAGTATATTAATAGATTACTTTATACAAACGTTACAAATGACTGATTAATTATTATTTGTTTAACATAATACTTTCTTTTATTTGTTTCAGCGCCAAAGCTAATGATCCCGCCAACGGACTACGTGAATCAGGGCGTCCTAGGGAGCCCGCAGGACGGCCTACGCACGCCCACCGGCACCCAAATTCTATCCAATCCTTTACTCAACTTAAATAACACCGGCAGAACTAACTTCACCAACAAACAGTTGACTGAACTCGAGAAAGAATTCCACTTCAACAAATACTTAACACGAGCTAGAAGAATAGAAATAGCTTCCGCTTTACAATTGAATGAAACCCAAGTGAAAATTTGGTTCCAAAATCGTAGGATGAAGCAAAAAAAGAGAATCAAGGAGGGTTTAATTGTCGCACCAGATGTCACTCCCTCGACCTCACACTCTAATGTGGGCTCAAACGAAAATAGTAGAGAGTCCAGCTAAACGTGATCGTGTACAGACTTACGTGTTTTAAGGGACTGTTATATGAACGGCTTATGAGTGATTTAGATGTCTTTCTTACTCCATATCATCTTCAAATTTAGATATATTCAACCAATTTGGTATATAATAATACAAGTAAATATTGATCGACGAAAATAACTGTTAAATATTATAAAGGGTTTTAAATATTTATATTGTAACAATTCGTATTGTGTAAGTTAGGATTTTTATTTGCAAGTATTTGAAGGCATTTACTATCGCAGTGGTCGCTAGTTCGACTCCTGTACTGACCACATAGTATTTTCCTCAGTCTGTCACAAATGTAGTACGACATTGCAGCAGTAATGATATTGTGCAGCAGTCTCGATATTGGGAAAGTAGAGTTTTTAAAAGTCACTATACTCTCTCTGTTTATCCTGAACTTTTAGTATATTAAACTATGACATGTGTAAAAACCAGGCCATATTATAAATTTCACTTATCAATCGCAACAATTCACATTTTTTTAGATGGCTACTGCATGATTACATTCCGATACAATCAATCTCTGATTCAATCCAGTCTTCTGATTCACATCAAAAAAGATTTTTGTTATGTCCGTACATAAAATTTTGCAGCAGTTACTGACCAATAACAGTATCCATTAATGGAATTTTAATATATTTATATATATATATATATATATATATATATATATATATATATATATATAGTTTTCTTCAATTTTTCAACTAAAAATTTTTTCTCCCACACAAACCCTTTTTTACTCTTTTTGCATTCCTTAAAGTCTTAAGTATCTACCTATTGAATATCAAAGAAATGGTTATAGGCTTCCCTGGATTGTTAATCTGGATTTTGATGTAAAAGTCCGAATAAGCTACTTTATAGTTTATATATACTATAAATAAGTACCTAACATAAATGTTAATAATTATAATATTTAAGGCAGTGCTCAACTATTACAAAATGCCTGCGATAGTAAAAATAGCTGAAAAACTTAATCGTCTACAACAGAGCAATAAATTGTAATTTATTTTTTTATGTATTATCTGTACCTATTACATATTTATAACTCTTTAAAGTTTAAATATTAAAATGTTACTGAATGATGTGCGTAGGCTTTTTAAAAAAATGTTAAATATATTGTAATACCTACGTATTTTTTTATTTTATTATTATATATATATACTTCTTTAAAAACCTCCACAAGTTGCAGACGTTTAAGTTTTTTAATAAATCTTGTGTTCTTTCATAGTCATACTGACGCAAAAATGTTTGCTTCGAGATTACTTAGTTGATAGTTGATTTTCTAAGAACAAAACTTATGTTGTATGTATCTAAGTTAAAGATAATTTTGTGATTTCACTTATATGTTCGTAATAATTAGACAAACTCATTTTTTAACTTATTTCTTTTTTATTTTGTTTTAACTGTTTTTATTTTTTGGATTATGGTTTTGTCAATGATTTTTTACGATGTAATTTAGACCAAAGCTCATTTTATTTATTAAGTACGGACCACAGCAAAAAGCTTATTAAATTTGTATGTCAAAATTGTTGCCCTTTTTGCTGCTGGCTATACATAGAATAAGGTCATTTTCAAACTAACGATTGGTATACTTTTTTTTTAAACTTGTGCTAACTATCGTGCTATAAATATCTGTCTAGTGTTAAATTAAACAGGTTATTTATTTTTAAACGTAATAATTAGAGTTGTTAATAAATTAAGAAATACTTATAAATTATGAAAATGAAGAAATCGATAAGTCCGCAATAATTTGAGAATGACCGCATGTAGTATAAATGTACAGGTTCAACATTTGCTAATGTATGTACATATATAAAAGCGCTAGGTACGTTTGTGTGTAAATTTGGTATTAAGTACCTTCTAAATTTATCAATAAAATAATTTTATCTATTTTTAATTGAATTTTTATTATACCTTTATTTAGTTTCATTAAATTAATGAAATATAACAGTAGGTAACATTAAATACAACAAGAACACTATATTGTCTATACTACTATATAAACCCTTGTTCATAGAAATTTAAAAGATAATTTATTTCTCTTTCGGAGTTCATTTTCCCACGCAAAGAAAATTATGAATTAGGTATATCAACTACTAAATTAATCAAGAAAATTCAGTGAGCTGTTACAATTAAACGATTTTGTTATTTTTAAAATACGAAATTTCAATGAATTTTACTTGGTGTATTCATGCTTACCACCTGTATGGTATAAAAATAACAGATAATTCTGAAGAAATCTAGAAAGAGTGGGTTCCTCAAACAGAAAAAATACCAACATTAATCTTATATGTTGATAAGCTCTATGTGAAGTTATTAGTAATGCAGGCAAGCGCGGATCCAGGGGGGGGTCATGGGGGTCATGGGGGTCCCCCCAAACCCAAATATACTTTTTAGAAAGAGAAGTTTGAAGTCTAAGAAAGGAAGGAACAAACGGATAAACATTTCAATTTAAAAATAAATGGTTATTATATGTATTTTGAAGATTATATTCCCCTAGTTTCATGAATATCAAAAAGTTTTTGCAGAAATCTATATACATATAATAAAATTGTAAGTAAGTCGAATCTGTACATTAAACATTTTTTGGAAAATCTTATTGAAATAAACATTATTATCGATACAGACGCCGAATCTATAGTTTTTAGAATTTTTGTCTGTCTGTCTGTCTGTCTGTCTGTCTGTCTGTCTGTCTGTCTGTCTGTCTGTCTGTCTGTCTGTCTGTCTGTCTGTTACCGCATCACAGAAAAACCACTAGAGGGATTTTAATGAAATTTGATATGGTGATAGCTGATTATCCTTGTCAATATATAGGATACTTTTTACAGCGGGAAAATGTCTCATTTCTGAGAGAAAATACAAAAACTGCAATGTGAGAGTATACTAATATGTAAAACCTAAGCTAACCTAAAACCTAAGCTAGTAATGTATAAAAATTATAAAATGACGTTATTGCTACTGAGTTTTAACATGACTTATAATATTTTTCTCTCGATCCAATTGCTGATTAGAATGACGTGTATAGAACTAACAACGCCATCTTAAAGTGGTATTAGTGAACACTACACAGTGCTGCCATCTATGAAAACAATCAAAAGTTTGTGTTTCATGAAATTCTCACTAGTATCAAATGATGGCGCTTTTAACTTTTTATAAATTATTTATGCAATTGCAAATTTGTATACATAAATGATATTAAATAAAAATATTTTACAAACTTAATAAATATGTTCCTTCTTTATTATGTTTATTTAATAATCGAAAATGTTTTAGCAAAAATAATATTATTGTGAGTTGTGACAGCTCAACTCGTCCTCGAGGACGCGAACGAGGGTTCTCGCTTACTGTTGTTAGACATTTTTACTTAGACACGTTATCTCTAATTTTTTATATTATATTTACTGTATTTTCCGTGACTTCTCACCGCACATAGTATGTGCCACAAAATGGAGGATTACTTATAAGAAATATGGGATATAGTTTTAAGTTTTAGTAGTCGCTAGTATTAATATCAAAAAGCACAGTATAGTACACCATAGACTGCGATGTATTGCATAGAGTCGTTTTCCTCTTACGACTTGCTTGTATGACCAAACATAATGCAGTTGAAGTGAGGAGATATGTACCTCTTACGTTACTATGGTCTATGAAAGAATATAGAAAAAGTCATTCAGTAGAATAAAACAAGATATAAAAAATATAAAACATTAGGTACATCGTTAGGTTATTTAATAAAATGCTTTCAAAATTCAATGAAAATTGTTTTATACGTAATTTAAAAAAACTAAATTTTACACTATAATACATTTTTTTTGTGGTTTTGCTTGTTACCATTAAAGCTAGTTGTGAAATATAGTAATGACAAGTTTTTTCAGCTTACAAGAATTTACTCTCTACAATTTCAAATTTAATGTCATTTTCTTGTAAGTGCTTTACAATATTTGTATTTTTGAAGGCGGCGCCAGCAGTCAGCACCCCGCCACTGAAATTGATAAAATGTCATAAGTTAAAATATATTAAACCTTAATTTTTACGTTAATTAAATTTTTTACCTCTTCCGAAACAGAGGTTATACAGATATTTTTTTATTAATACTTTTTTTAATTTTATTTAAATGATAGTTTTTTTTATTAAATTAAACGTGTCTTTTCGGGTTTTTTCACGGATTTATTATGATTTTTGGACTTACGTTTGGAATGCTTTATAGCAATCATGGTCGCGGGAAAGACATAGTCTCTCGAAACAATAGTTTTACTTAAAATGTCAAAACTTTGGCTAAAACCTAAGATGTTTCCTAATATAGTATTCTCATTATAACATAGTTCAGGCTTCAAGTAATATTTAAAGTTCAAACCATTCCTATTCACTACTAAATGCTCCGACGATTTACGAACGTGGTGAAATTAAATATTATGAACGAAGGAACTACATACCTATATCAATGAAAACTATTATGGTAAATCAAAAAATACCTTTAATATATAATTATTTTGAAATACATTCAAAATATAAAAAAAATACAGTCGAATTGAGAACCTCCTCCTTTTTGAAGTCGGTTGAAAATAATGCGAATTGTTATGCGTGTAACGTAACGTCTTAGTAATGGGACACTATTGATACTTTGGATAGTCGATATTGGTTCTATGTGAAATACTTTTTGTACATTATTTTTAAATTTTGTTTTTTTTTTTAAATAATAATAACGTACCAACGATCTACGTGACTATTCAGCCATATTTTGTTTATCTGTCTTTTTTGTCACATAACGGATATCTTGACAGAGTTATGTTCCAATGTTTTTTTTAATTGAAAAATTAAAATTAAACATGAGTAGCTTATTAACAATATTTTAATATATTTATTCTTAGACTTTACTCTAAATATATTTATCGATAAAACTGATTGAATGATGTCACTTCCTTATTCATGTGGCACTGACAGGTGTCACCCGCACCATGCTTTAATGAAACTAATAAAGCTATTGCCAGCTCTATTTGTGAATGTGGCTTAGATGAGGGTTCCACTGATCATATTCTCTTTAATTGTCCCAAACTGAAATATTCTCTATATGATATAATCCCTCCTCAAATTCACCGGCCAGTTAATACCAAATGTTTATTAGCCCTTGTGTTTAGCCCATTTATTGAAAAACTGGTTAAATTTATAGTAGATAATAAAATTAAATTATAATATAGTTCTCATTATTTATATATTTTTTCATTCTCAATCAATGTGTCATTTTTGTATTACGTAATTATTTTTCTATTGTTATAGGTTACTCTGTAGACCGATCATTCATTTATAGTTTTAATTCCACAATAAAGTTGCCAAAATTCAAAATTACCGCTCTATCTCATTCGTGTCTTCCTCACAAAACGTGACACTGGCAGAATGGATTGCGTCTGTTAACGCAACTATAAGCCGTTATTAAAAAAAAAAGAAAGCTATTGCCAATACTGTCGGCGACGGAAAACCTATCTTCGAGTAACGTGTGTATTAATATAGGGACAATGTCGTTTTAGCGTATTATGAATAATTGTTGTAAATATGAAATCTCATTCTTATTAGATTTATTATGTTAAAATAAGTTCTAATTAGTGTAATAAGGTTAGTTTAGAGTATTTTTTGCTTATTTGAATCATATAAGACTATTTAACATTAATTTGAAAGGAATAGGTACGTAAGTAAAATGTTAGCATATAATTACGTAACTTGAAAATGAGATTTTTTGTTTCTTGCAATAGCATAATAGTTTATGTTTTAAATAATAGATTTTATTATAAAACTTATAATAAAACAAGAATTAGGTCGATAGGACTATCCGTTCAAAAGTTATAAGGGAAAATGTATAGTAAAAATGTAGCAACATAGAAATTTAGATATTTTTGTTTTAAGACTTTTTTAATTAATTATTATATATTGAATATTATGTTTTAATATTGTATAATAGTATGTAAGGCATGTAAATAAATAAATATGTGTAAGGTGTTTTACTGAAAACATAAAATAAAAGGACTCTCAAGGTTTCGGTTTAGGGAAATTTTACTCGAAAAATGAGCTCAAAGTACGCGGCTCTCTGTAAGGTATTAACGGGCCAAATAAAAGGCGAGCCATTTCTCGATTCGAGTCAGTCGCAAGACAGCCACCGAAGAGGCAACAACTAAAAGGAAAAGGAAGAACCGAAACCAAGAGAGAAAAAAGGAAAAAATTGTGTTTTTATTTCATCGCCTCTAAGTATAGTCTCCTGTCAACGAAGAAACCCTAGTGGATCGGGACCCAAGCTACGCATTTCAGGGGTGCGTGGTGGCGTACATTACCAGCGAACGGACATACTGCCGTGTACGCCAAGAACGTCTGGGAGATTGTCCCAGGTCGACCTCCGGGTACTAGACATACCCTGGTTCTGGTCGTCCGAAACAGTTGGTCCTTCGAGCCGGATCCCTGCTAGAAGAAGTTCAGAAGAAACAGAAGATTGCGTTCAAGATGCCGGTAACCAGGTCGCAGAAGGATGCCCCCTCACGTCCCGGGTCCCGTCCTTCAGATAGGGACGCGACAGATGGAACGTCGGGATCAGAAGGGGTCACGTCAGCGTCGGCGTCATCGGGAACTGCAACTACATCGAACACTTCTTCGGGTACCACGACCACGGAGGGCACCACAGTGACGGAGACTACGGTTACGACTGCAACTACGGCGGCGTCTATGGAAGGCAACAAAGAAGATGCTGCACAGAGGATGACCAGGAAGAGCCAAGAAGATGTACCTGGAAAGGATGTTCAAGGCTCCTCCAAGACCCTGAAACCGATGGGGGTCAGTCGTCGCGCCAGGTCCACGAAGACCACGAGTTCCTCGGCCAGAAGACGCGAGCTAGAAGCAAAGGAAGAGTTGGCACGCCTGGAGTTGAAGCAAGCACAGGCTGAAACTAAGCTAGCCCGTGTCAGATTGGAGATGACACAGTGTGAAGAAGAGGACTCCGTGGATGAAGACCTGGAAGACAGAACAGCACAGGTGCAGAACTGGATCGAGACGTCTGTGCTGGAGGATGGCAACAAAGTTCAACCAGAGATGCGAGGTCCACACCCCTTGGAAGAGCCACAGAAGATGAAGCCTGAAGAGAACTCCTCAACGAGAGGAGCTACGATTGAAATTCAAGCACTGACGGCAGCATTGAAGGAAGCTCTTACCACGCGAGGACCAGCAGGACAGCCAACCTACATTCACGAGTTACCCTACTTCGACGGCAACAGCAGCGAGTGGATGGCCTTCAAGGTTGTCTATGAAGATACAGCACCGATGTTCAACAACGTCCAGAATATGGCTCGGCTAAGAAGAGCACTGAAGGGCAACGCAAGAGAAGCTATCAAGAGTCTGCTGTACTCCGAAGCCTCTCCGATGGAAGTGATTCAAGCCCTCAGAAGAAGATATGGAAGACCAGATGCACTGGTGCTGGCAGAGTTGGACAAGGTCAAAACGTTGCCGAAGATTTCTGAAAACCCAAGGGACATATGCCTCTTCGCGAGCCAGATCAGCAACAGCGTAGCGGCAATAAAAGGATTGAAGAAACCACAGTACCTGCATTCACCTGAGATGGTGAAACAAATTATTGAGAAGATGCCTACGATCCTCAAGTTCCGATGGTACGACTTCATTGAAACAACAGAAGGCGAGTTCTCCAACCTAACACTGGTGTCCAAGTTCCTGAACAGAGAAGCAGACAAGTGTGGAGCCTATGCATCAACAGAAGAGAAGAGCGGGTTCAGACGGACTCATCGACAAGCAACGCATTCAACTAAGGAAAAGGACTTCAAAGAAAAGGTTTCAAGATCAGAGAAGACTTGCCCCATGTGTGAGGGTGAACACTTCCTCGTCGGGTGTCAGAAGTTCCTGAAGGCGTCTGTGCAAAATCGATGGGCAATAGTGAAGAAAAGCCGCGTTTGCTTCAAGTGTTTACAAGGGACACATCGGAAGGAGAGCTGCAAGAAGCCGTCGTGCAAGGAATGCAAGAGGTGGCATCATCATCTGCTGCACGTCGAGACAGAGAAAAGTTCCTCGGAAGAACAGAAGAACAAACCACAAGAAGTGGCGAGCATCATGGCATCGGTGAATGCGGTCAACAACGCAAGGGCATACCTGAAGATAATTCCGATAGAAATCTTCGGGTCAAAAGGATCAAAGAAGATATTGGCCCTCATGGATGAAGGGTCAACAGTGTCGCTGCTAGACCAGAAGGTAGCAGAAGAAATCGGCGCTCAAGGAAGAAAGGAGGAACTGGTCATCGAGACTGTTGGAGGCAGGCTGATAAGGAAGGAAGACTCTCAGATGCTGGACCTTACGGTGAAGGGGATTCATCAGAAGACCAAGAAGACCTTGAGAAGAGTCCGGACCATCGACGAGTTGAAGCTTGCACCGCAGTTCCTAGAAAAGAAAAGGATAGAAGAGTGTCAACACTTGAAGAAGATTGCTGACTCTCTATATTATAAGGGGGAGTCACCACAGCTGCTCATCGGTCAAGACAACTGGGAGCTAATCGTGACTCAAGAAGTAAGAAGAGGGAAACCAGGACAACCAGTCGCTTCAAGAACAGGACTTGGATGGGTGCTCCACGGGTCAGACACTGGAGGCGCGAAAGTGGTGCACTTCTTAAACACGTGTCTACATGTCAGCACGCCAGAAGAAGAGATGCATCAAGCCATCAAGGATCACTTCGCAATCGAAGCACTTGGAGTACTACCAAGAAGACCCACTACGGATTCAGAAGGAAGAGCACTCACCATCCTAGAGAAGACCTGCAGAAGACTAGAAGATGGTCGATTTGAAGCTGGACTTCTATGGAAAAATGAAGATGAACAGATGCCTGAAAGCTACACGTCTGCCAAGAACCGATTGTTCAACATTGAAAAGAAGATAGACAAAGACCCTCAGCTGAAGGCAGAATACAATAAGCAGATCCAGCATCTAATCGACAGCAAGTATGCAGAAGAAGCACCTGGTGGACAAGAAGATTCAAAGAAGACATGGTACCTCCCTCATTTCTCCGTGGTACATCCATTGAAGAAGAAAATAAGGATCGTCTTCGACGCTGCAGCCAAGTCTAAAGGGAGAAGCCTCAACGACGCTTTACTACCGGGACCAGACCTACTGCAATCGCTCTTCGGGGTATTACTGAGGTTCCGGCAAGGCCCGTTTGCAGTGGCAGCCGACATAAAGGAAATGTTCCTGCAAGTTCGCATCCGGCCAGAAGATAGAAACAGCTTGAAGTTCCTGTGGCGAGGGGATCGTCGTGACGTAGCACCAAAGGAGTACAGAATGACATCAGTCATCTTCGGCGCGACATCATCTCCTAGCACAGCGATCTACGTGAAGAACCGGAACGCGGCGGACTACAAGAAGCAGTACCCAGAGGCAGCAAAGGCAATCGAGCTGAACCATTACATGGATGACTACCTGCACAGCTTCCATTCAGAAGAGGACTTCAAGAGAATTACAGCGCAGGTGGACTTCATTCACAAAAAGGCGGGCTTCGAACTAAGAGGATGGGCGTCAAACCACTCCGACTTGCTGCAAGACGTGAAGACTGAGTCAGTTGAGAAGACAGAGGTGGACCTTGGTGAGAAGGAAGAGAAGACACTGGGACTACGCTGGTTTACAGAAAGGGACTCCATAGGCTTTAGGGCGAACCTTCGGAACACGCCAGATGAAGTGGCACAAGGACTCAAGGTACCTACGAAGAGAGAAGTCACCAGCGCCGTGATGTCGACCTTCGATCCACTAGGGCTAGCATCACCAATTCTCATCCAAGGCAAAAGGCTGCTCCAGAACATATGGCGAAGTGGCGTCGGTTGGGATGAAGAGATAGAAGAAAAGGAGTACGAGTCATGGAAGACTTACCTGGAGAAGATGAAGCTGCTCCAAGACCTTCAGATCCCGAGATGTCTGGCACCACGTCGCACCGAGGGGGAGCTGCACACGTTCACGGATGCAAGCGAAATGGCGTATGCAGCTACGGTATATTGGAGAACTGAAAATCAAAATGGGACTTATGACGTCAGCTTAGTAGCAGCAAAAGTAAGAGTCGCTCCGTTGAAGCCGGTGTCAATCCCGAGACTCGAGCTGCAAGCGGCCCTCCTAGGAAGCAGATTGGCACACTCGGTCGAGGAAGAAATGGATCTGAAAATAGAAAAGAAGACGTTTTGGACAGACTCCAGTATCGTGCTATCATGGATCAAGACGGACCCGAGAACCTTCAAGACATTCGTGGCTCATCGCTTGGCGGAGATAGAAGATCTCACAAAACCACAGGACTGGAGATGGGTACCGACGGCGCAGAACCCTGCAGATGATGCAACACGTGACGTACCAGAACACTTCGACTGCCAACACCGATGGTACACCGGACCAGGGTTTCTAAGAAGAGATGAAGTTCACTGGCCTGCGGCAAGAACATTCAAGAAAGAAACCACTGGCGAAGAAAAGGCAGCGGACATCGTAGCGACTGCAGGCAGCTCCTATCCATCACCAGATCCCGAAAAGTTCTCGTCGTGGAAAAGACTTTGGCGAGCTACAGCAAGAGTACTGCAGTTCATACAACTCTGCAGAAGAAAGGAAAAGGTCCACGCCAGCAAAGAAGATCCTACCTGGAAAACTACAAAAAGGAATAAGAAAATTGTTGAGAAGCGACATCTGTCTTCAAAAACGTCAGAAAGGAAATACATACCATTGGAAACAAGTCTACTAGAGCAAGCTGAAACGCTGTTGTTAAGAAGAAGTCAAGAGAAATGCTTCAAAGAGGACATCAGGTGCCTACAGCAAGGAAAACAATTAGAGGGCAGCAGCAAGTTGAAAAGGCTCGACGTAGTGCTAGAAGAAGGTCTCCTGCGACTGAAAGGAAGAATCGACGCGATACGAGGGGTTACCAGAGACTACAAACGACCCATCGTACTCGACAGCAAGGACAAGACAACACTTCTCATCATAGAAGAATTTCACTGCCGCTTCAATCACGGGAATCACGCGACCGTAATGAACGAAGTAAGACAACGCTTCTGGGTGCTAGGACTGAGGTCAGCGATCAAGACCATTCAACATCAATGCCAGTGGTGCAAAACAAGAAAGGCAAGACCTCAAGAACTACCAGTGGGCAACTTACCTGCTGAGAGGCTGATGCACGGAAACCCTCCATTTACGTGCACGGGAATAGATTACTTCGGCCCTATGACGATCACCGTAGCAAGACGCCATGAGAAGAGATGGGGTGCTCTATTCACATGCTTAACAACACGAGCTGTACACATTGAGCTCACTCCTTCACTCTCCACTGACAGCATGATCATGGCACTACGACGATTCGCCGCGAGAAGGGGAATGCCAAAGATAATCTACACCGACAATGGCACTAACTTCGTTGGCGCCAACAAAGAACTCAAAGAAGCACTAGACACCATGAAGCAAGAAGACCTTATCTCGGAAGCGGAGAAGATCGGCGTGCAGTGGAAGTTCATACCTCCTGGTGCACCAAACATGGGAGGTGCATGGGAGCGTCTGGTGCGATCCATTAAAACCGCGCTGGACGCCACGCTCAACGAAAGGCAACCACGAGAGGAGGTACTTCATACCCTCCTGTTAGAGGCCGAGCACATAGTCAACTCTCGGCCCCTCACCCACCTCTCCGAGAATCCTGAAGAAGAAGCACTTACACCGAACCACTTTCTCATCGGGCGATCATGTGGCGCGGCAGGAATCGGCAGCTTCGAGGACAACGAGCTTGTGGGCAGACACACCTGGAAGGCTACGCAGCGACTTGCCGATCACTTCTGGCAACGTTGGCTGAGAGAGTATTTGCCCACTCTACTACCAAGGAAGACCAAAGGAAGAGTCAGCGCCTCAGATTTGCAAGTCGGAGACATCGTACTGATCGTCGATCACAGCCTACCAAGATGCATCTGGCCACGCGGAAGAATCCTGCATGTGTATCCTGGACCAGACGGGCGGACCAGAGTCGTCGACGTCGAGACCAGAGGAGGTGTTCTACGGAGGCCCAGTTCGAGAGTGGTGCTGTTGGTGCCGGGAGCGTCGCCGAGTCCAGGAGTTGGTGCAAAGCACGAGGGGGAGAATGTCGGCGACGGAAAACCTATCTTCGAGTAACGTGTGTATTAATATAGGGACAATGTCGTTTTAGCGTATTATGAATAATTGTTGTAAATATGAAATCTCATTCTTATTAGATTTATTATGTTAAAATAAGTTCTAATTAGTGTAATAAGGTTAGTTTAGAGTATTTTTTGCTTATTTGAATCATATAAGACTATTTAACATTAATTTGAAAGGAATAGGTACGTAAGTAAAATGTTAGCATATAATTACGTAACTTGAAAATGAGATTTTTGTTTCTTGCAATAGCATAATAGTTTATGTTTTAAATAATAGATTTTATTATAAAACTTATAATAAAACAAGAATTAGGTCGATAGGACTATCCGTTCAAAAGTTATAAGGGAAAATGTATAGTAAAAATGTAGCAACATAGAAATTTAGATATTTTTGTTTTAAGACTTTTTTAATTAATTATTATATATTGAATATTATGTTTTAATATTGTATAATAGTATGTAAGGCATGTAAATAAATAAATATGTGTAAGGTGTTTTACTGAAAACATAAAATAAAAGGACTCTCAAGGTTTCGGTTTAGGGAAATTTTACTCGAAAAATGAGCTCAAAGTACGCGGCTCTCTGTAAGGTATTAACGGGCCAAATAAAAGGCGAGCCATTTCTCGATTCGAGTCAGTCGCAAGACAGCCACCGAAGAGGCAACAACTAAAAGGAAAAGGAAGAACCGAAACCAAGAGAGAAAAAAGGAAAAAATTGTGTTTTTATTTCATCGCCTCTAAGTATAGTCTCCTGTCAACGAAGAAACCCTAGTGGATCGGGACCCAAGCTACGCATTCAGGGGTGCGTGGTGGCGTACATTACCAGCGAACGGACATACTGCCGTGTACGCCAAGAACGTCTGGGAGATTGTCCCAGGTCGACCTCCGGGTACTAGACATACCCTGGTTCTGGTCGTCCGAAACAAATACTTTACGTATATAATACGTCTGACGTCTCTGTTATAACTAAATTATAATTTATTCAGAAAATTACGAGTATAACAATTTATTCGTTTACTACTTTGCTGTAGTTCCATTGATATAAAAAACTGTTTATCAATTTGTTTTTCATTATTTTTTGTTAAGTTTTTTGTTTTTTGCTTTAATTTGTATAATTTAGAGGATGGAATTTTATCATTTTGTTTTTAATTATCTTAGTATTAAGATACAGGTAATTTTCCATTTTAAGATTTTTAATTAAAAAATATTATATAGGTACATACGTGAATGGCATTTTGTCCTTTTCCTTCAAAATAGTTAGAGCACAAAATATAACAGCATTCGCTGTTCCGACATAAGCTGGATCTGCTCCTGACACCTAAAACACAGTATATTTAAAAAAAAACAATAAAATTGCAATATTCAGGTATATTATTTATAAATTAATTTATAATTATTTTTAGTTATTTACAAAACAAAGAAAACTGCTATGTTTATTTATGAAATAAATATAAATTGATTAACACTAATCTTAAGCTATAAATTACAGAGATTGACGTCATGTTCTTAAAAAATCACTCGTCAACAAAATACTTAATCGTCTGGCTGACAGCCTTTTGAAGATAATTTCAAATCGGGGTTTTCCCGGTGATAGTTTTAAAAACGTCTAAAATTCGAAAAGATAATTGATAAGAGCGTTGTGCGATCTTAACTACATACATTTCATATACAATTTTTCACTAAAAACAAAAATACTTACCTATATCTACACTACTGAGAGGAAAAATTTGTATTTTTGTATGTTTGTAACGAATAAACTCAAAAACTACTCGGCTGATTTAGATGAAATTTGGTAAGAACATAGTTTGAGTCCCTGGAAAGGACATAGGATAAAAAAAAATCCGGAAATCATCCCTTAAGGGGGTGAATATGGGGATGAAAGTTGTGTGTGTAATCAACCTAGGGACGGACCCGAGCGAAGCGAAAGTGAATCGCTAGTTTAAAGTTTTTAATATTTTATTTTATTTATCAATAATTTTAATAAATGATTTTTCTCATGTTGTATAAAATAGTATACTTACACTAATTCTAGCGACAACTTGTTTATTCATCTTGTTAGAAACATTAGTATTTTTATCCCAACCTCTGCCAATCATTTCGTGCTGAAAGCTTGAGCCGTCCATCATTCCTTCTTTAGGATGTCCATATGTCACAAAACCAAATGTGCAAAGTCTTGGATAGTTAAGTAAAAATCTTCTCGTACACGATATTTTACATAAACATAACAAAAATAGACCCCCAATAATTGCACCTAATGCATAAAAAATACATCCGAACGTTATGTACGGTCTATATTGAACTGGACGTTTTCCTTCCGTCGAGAAAAGATGGCGCTGTGTTCGATCGACAACAAACGAATCCGCTCCGGGATATGGCAGATTCCATTTATTAAAATTTTTATAAACCACCCATCTGAAATTTATAGTTATTCAATTATATGTATTATATATAGAAAGTATAACATTCTTAACACTTTCTTAGATTAACGCGAATATTTGATATCTATACTTACATACATACCTATAATAAAATTCTGAATCGATTTTTTTGGAAAATCTTATTGAAATATTTTTATTTTTCTTTATTATCGATACAGGGGACGAATCTATAGTTTTTAAAACTTTTGTCTGTCTGTTTGGGAACGTATCAGAAGAAAACCACTGGACACTGGACCGGTTTTGATGGGTATGATGATAACTAGGGATTAGGGTACTGACTTATCCGGGTCAACATATAGGATACTTTTTACTGCGGGAAAATATCTCATCTCTGAGTTTAGATTCAAAGTTAAAACGTACCTAGGGACGAACCCGAACGGAGCATGGGTGAGTCCTTAGTATTAAATAAAACTATCTTATCCCGGACCGAATCGATCGATCAGTTTCTCCCTGATTGCTGTAAACTTTGTATTTTGTAACGCATTCGAGACGTCGGGAACCAAAAATCACAATATATCCACGGAAAAAAATCGTAAACATAGTTTTATTTAATTATATTTATATTTCTTATACATGTTAAATAGAATTAATATTAACATTTAATATTTTTTCATTTTACCGTAACGTTGGTACCTAATGACTAATGATGATATGAATACTTTATTCGTCCGACTTTAAATAACGAAGAAGCTCTCAGATCTGTTGTTTTTGATGTGAGATTTTGACCGATTTTAAACTTATTTTAATAAGTTTTGTGTGTATGTGTGTATGTATTCAGCCCTTTTTTTTAACGTCCCACTGCTGAGGGTGGGCCTCCCTTCAATACGAGGGGATTAGGCTATGGTCCACCACGCTGGCCAAGTGCGGGTTGGCGGACTTCACATGACTTTCGAGAACTTGCTAGGTTCTCTCAGACATGCAGGTTTCCTCACGATGTTTTCCTTCACCGTAAGACATGTGGTAATCATGTTAGAAATGATCCGCACATGAAAATATCAGAGGTGCGAAACCCGGGATTTGAACCCGCTTCACTCGGTTTCCCAAGCGAGCGCGTTACCACTGGGCTACCACTGCCTTTTGAGTGAAGTTTTACTTAACATTTAAAATAAAAATGTCCACTTCTAAAAATGAATGGGGCTTCAGGCATTTTTTTTTTAAATTTAATTTGCATATATAAACACAATTACCTTTGTTTTACCTCCGGTTCCATTTGAATAGTTGATTTCTGTCTCAACTTTTTTAGTGACAAATCAGCCATGCTGCAAATTAAAGATAATTTTAAATATACTTCATATTTTCTATCTATTAACGACTTATTTAACTTTTAATCGCGACTCTTTTCACGTGCTAAAAGAGGGTTTTGTGTTTGACCTGTACGTATATATGATGTATGTCCAACCTAGTACCCTCGGAATTACGTAATGGTTTAACCGATTTTGATGTAACCGTTAACGCGAGTGTCGTAGGGTATAGAGATATCATTAAAAATCAAAATGGCGGATCCTGAGCTCTAATTTGTGCTTGTCTTGAAAACATTTTTTTCGAGCGAATCATTCGAGTGGAGTATCAAAATACAGGTCTTTAAGAAGTAATTACAAAAATATATGATGTTCTCCTAGCCGATTCCGGCCACGGCGGCCAATCTCAATGAGATTAGCCAACTGCGCAGGAGATATTACAGTGCTCAAGTGTACGCGCAGACACAACGTGCACTCTCTATTCCTATCACTCATACTCCGGTGGGACGACCACTCGACACGACCGGTGAGAGTGTCGGCGCAGGACCGACGGCTTTATGTGCTCTGCCTCGGCACGGGGGTGAAACACCGCCAACTTCCCAACTCCGGGCTGTTACTGAGGCTTACTATACAGAAAGACTCAATAACTAAACTTGGCCCGACCCGGGACTCGAACCCAGGACCTCCGGGTGTGCAGCCGTACATGCTAGCCACTACACCACCGAGGCACAAAAATATATACAACTCATATGTTAAGTAAATAATTTGGGTAAGAAATTGTTAAGTAAAACTAAAAATACGTCTAACTGACCAAAATTAAAAAAGTTGTATATAAAAAAATAATTTACAAGAACAAAAAGATGAGAACAAGTTGAGGAAAAAACATGATACATATTATGGCAGTCAAAGACATGCAAATTGCAATACACGTAACAAAACTCGCAGCTAGTATAAAACATACATAATTATGTCACCGACTACATAATACTTCTTCGTCAACTTGTTCTCATCTTTTTAGTTCTTTAGTTAGTTCGGTAGTTTAATTTTTAGTATTAGTATATTTTATAAAATATAATAAAATTCTAACTGAGCCGAATCTGTTGGTACATTAAATATTTTTTGGAAAATCTAATTGAAATAGACATTATTATCGATACAGACTCCGAATCTATAGTTTTTAGAATTTTTGTCTGTCTGTCTGTTACCGTATCACAAGAAAACCACTGGACAGATTTTGATAATATTTAGTATGATGATAGCTGGTTATCCGGGTCAATATAGGAAACTTTTTACCGCGGGAAAATATCTCATTTCTGAGAAAAAATACAAAAACTGCATTGTAAGAGTATACTAATATGTAAAACCTAAGAATTTGGTTTTTGATCATCTGAACGCGGGCGGAGCCGCGAGCAATGCTACTCTGTTCATAAATATCACCTATTTATGATAGACTCCCAGCTGTTGTACTGCACGATGCCGCTGCGACAGCTCTCAAGTATCATCTTAGCAGGGAAGTGTGTTGATAAATAGGATTCCACCGAATTTAACGTTCCTTTCAACAAAACAAATAACTTTCTTTATAATACTTTCTTAGATTTACGCGAATATTTGACATTTTAAATAAAACTATCTTTTCGGATTTTGTCCCGGATTTATTTGAATTTTCGGTTCCCGACGTTTCGAATACTTTCCAGCAATCATGGTCACGGGAGAGACTGAAGTGTTAGATGTCTCGAAGGTGTAGTTGTTACAGACAGCCTACCCACAAATAACAAAATGAAAATTTCACCAATTGGTGAAAAGATAGTTTTATTTAAAACTTTCTCTATGTTCAATAAAATTTCCTTATGCCATATTTAGTTATTATAATATTAAATTAAAATGTAAACCAGAAGCTGAATTAATTACAACTATTCTACGTGAGTAAAAAAAATCACATTTAATTACATATATATTATAATTTATACAACAAGTAGCGTTGCGTCAGTGAATCAAAAAAACTAAAAAAAAAAGTTTTTAAACTTAAAAACTGGTTTTAGATTTTTTTAACTAGCACAATGCTAATGCAATAATTTTAGCTAGATCTACACAATACGCGAGCAGAAAAAAAACTTTATATTAATATACAAAAACTCAATATACACAATTATATATATATATATATATATATATATATATATATATATATATATATATATATATATATATATATATATATATATATATATAATTTTTAAATTATATATTAAGATATTTGTTAAGAAATGTGTATCTATGTTTTTATATATCAATGGTTAAAAAATATGGCGATATAATATCAGTGTTATGACCAAATCGACCACAAAAATACTTACCATTAAAATTCTTTTCTAAAAACGACACCCCTAAATCTGCTGGTATACTGCTCAAGCCACAGGCGTTGATTATAAAAACATTCGCGGCTTTTGCTGGTTGGTCATACGTTTCCTCTATATGTTCTATAAACTATAATAAAAATAAATAATTAGAAGGATAAGTTTCAATTTGTACACGTAGAAATTAGAACGAGTACTGAATATTATAAAGAGGTAAAGTTGGCGAGATCGTGAGTTTGTGATGTTGTAGGGGGTAAGCTCTGGATCTACTGAACCGATTTAGATGTTTGGTAAGAAGATAGTTTGAGACCCTGGGAAGGACCTAATATGAGATATTTTTTATCCCGGAAATCACCTCTTAAGGGTATGAAAATGGGGACGAATGTTTGTATGGGGAATCAAGCTTATCTTATTATTAATATGGTTAAGTGTTAAGCAGCCATGCGTGTCAATGTGCCAGCGAGAAGAGAACTTCGCCAATGTCACGTCGAATAGAGAGAGAATGGGATCGGAAAAATATTTCATGCCGTAAAATTTTGCTTTCCCTTTCTATCTATTAAGATATTTTTTTAAAATAATCCTATCTTACTAACCAGTAAGATATTTTTTTATGATACATCTTTTTCTAAATCCTAATGTACGTTTGTCCACAACCTTCAGGCAAAATTCAAATTTGAACCTTTTTAAGTAACTTGGTATAATGCCTTCTTGCTATGCACTTTAGACTTTTGATTGACTTTAACAGAGGCTTAGTAATAGGGTTCCGTTGCCACCATTTTTTTTTTAACGTTGGGAAATGCATTTACGCACGAGGTGTGGGACTCACCGGCAAAGCCAGTACTACCCACTAAAACCCAGAAAACCTTCCCCCGTCTTAATGGGGCGTAGCAGGATCGCTTACGCATTCAACTAAGACGCCCCGACGGCAGGTCTGCCAAAGCAGACCACAACAACCACGGGGTTGCTCCAAGGTCCACTCTGCTATCAGAGAAGTACCAGGAGCAACCCGCATGGTACACCGCCCTCCGAAGAGGACCCCCTCCCACCGCCCACCGAAGTGGGTCACCTCCCTGTGCGTTTCTTGGCTTCGCGCCCGGTTGGGTTGCCGGGCACTACTGAGCCCCCCCACCACGACAAGGTGAACGCACGTTGGGGGGGTCCGTTGGCACCCTGCGAATACGGAACCCAACCCTAAAAATCTGATTAGTGTTTCCAGAAAATTCCGCGATCAAACAAACGAAAAAAAAAATAATCCATCCAGCTTTACAATACTACAAGAGATATTTTCAGAGGTAGATTTTTAAACTTTTAAACAATATTCTGTGTACCTGTATTTCCCCACTGACGTCCACATAATGTGTTTTGCAGATAACAGCGGATGAAACAACATTCTCTCCATACTTCACAAAAGGTCCACAGCAGTTTATAAGAATCTTGGTCTGAGAGCACATTGCCATCAATGATTGCTTATCATTTACATCCGCTATTATGATTTTTGTTTGCGATAAATCTTTACCTGGAATATTTTTAATTATGTTTATTAATCTTGTAATTACGAAAAAAAAATTAATATAAAATTAAGTAGTTTTATTTTTTACTGTCGACACAAACTTAAGCCAAGAACAATTTTTTTTTGATAAATGCTATTTTGCTGCTTAAATTGGTGAAGTAACTTTTAATTTATTAACACAAAAGTCTATTTCTATGCTTTGGGAAATTCTGTTCATTTGTTGCTCTTTAAAAAGCTAGGCTTTTCACATGGATCCTCACGGAATTTTCATCGGATTCATGTAAAATTTACATTTAAATATTTTCTTTTGGTAATCTCGTCTTTACCTATTCGAGACAAAGACCATGATTAAATAGCTAAGAGTATGTAGCTCTCAACACACTACACTTTAACACTTCCAGGTAAATTTCTAAGAAATTAATTAAATTTCTAAGAAATCTATTGTTAACTGTAACGCCGGCGTGTCCGCGGTCGTGGAGGGATTAAATTTTAAAAACCTTAATCTCCCGGATTCTAATCGGAAAAATAATTAATCAAAACCAACCTATCTACTAATGAAATCATCATAATATATTATTTGTAATAATTTATTCATAATATATATTTGACGAGACGTTTGGCTCAGTTTGTAGTGACCCTACTTGCTGTGCCAGCGGATGCGGATTCGAGTCACGCTGGGGGCATTCATTTGTGTGATAAGCACAAATATTCGTACTCCAGTCATGAGTATTTATATTTATAATATGTATGTATTTAAAGCTATATTTGTATAGTGTATCAACTATCTGGTATCCATAACACAATCCTCGTATCTTACCATGGAACTAGATGGCTGTGTGTTAATGCCCCAACATATTTATTATCATACGAGTTACATACAGGTGTCCCAAGAGAATCGCTTATACATTAATTTCCCACGATTGAAACAATAAACAGAATATCGACACCGGGACTTTAATGCAGAGTTGCAGTTTTCGTATATTTCAATTTTTACATATTGTTTAGTGAAATTCCATAAACTTACATCGAGTAGATTGGACATTAAATTTAGATAATAAGTTTAATTTGTAATTTTAATATAAATTAGTTTTTGTTTTTTTTTTCGACCTTCCGACTGTAGCTAACGTAACTTATGTACGTTTTGCGAGATCAGTGTTTATTTGATAACATACTAACTTGGGTTATGTATGTTTTATTTATGAAGCTTTTATGTTATTCGGTTTTTAATCGACGGTGACCAAGGCTAACGAATTATTCCATAGTGAATTACCATAACACAAAAAATGAGTATTTCTAAATTGTTTATATATCTTAACTTTTATTTACATAATAAATCGCTTTAAACGAACATATAACTCTAGTATAGAATTAAATTTCGCCTTTATCTTCTCTAATCTAATTAAAATATTTTTTTATCCTATACCTAAAAATTATATTATGAAATTTATACATGTCTTTAATATAATAGTCCAGTACAGCCCTTTTTAACGTCCCACTGCTGGGGGTGGGCCTCCCTTCAGTACGAGGGGGATCAGGCAATAGTCCACCACGCTGGCCAAGTGCGGGTTGGCGGACTGGACATGTCTTTTGAAAACTTGGTAGGTTCTCTCAGACATGCAGGTTTCCTCACGATGTTTTCCTTCACCGTTAAGACAAGTGGTAATCATGTTGGAAATTAAACATACATGGAAATATCAGAAGTGCGAGACCCGGGATTTGAATTCGCTTCATACGTTTCCCAAGCGAGCGCGTTACCACTGGGCTACCACTGGCCCAATAATAAAATAGTAACAAAGCGAAATCTGTATATGAAATATTTTTGTACATGTTGCATACAGATAAACCCCATTATGTTAGTCTGTTTGTCTGTATAGCTGTTTCATTTTGAAACAAAAGGTACTGAAGCGATTTTAACTTTTTGTGTAGTGGTAACTTATTACTCGAGTCAACATTTAGGATCATTTTACTACAAGAAAATCCTTCATTCCAACGAGAAAACACTATAACTGGTTCTGTCGAGTCGTTTTAAGAAAACATGGCTGACGCAGCCTAATCCATAAGGGATACGTCCAATTAATGTAACAGAAAATTATAGGTTATAAAAAGGCCTACAGAAAAGTTAGTTTAACACTATTTTTATCTGTTTAAAACCTATCCAGGAACAACTCGAGCGAGGGGAAGTCTATTTCTCCGCTTACTTCTTTTAAACAATGCAACGAATTTTGATACAGGTATCACTAAATAAATAAACTATAATGAGAAAGACATACGTATATATTAATTTGTAGATATTTTGTTGTATATGGTGGAACTAGGCCGGTGTTTTGAAAAAAAAACTATTTTCGCTCGCCAAGGCCAACGCTGTTCCTTATGATACATCAAAACAATCAACAGTGTAATAAAAATTGAAGGTCAGAATAAGTCAAAAGGCCTACGAAAAGGCTATGATACAATTGTGTTTGTCTCCGAAGATGCACTCATAATAACTATTATTATTTAGTTTTCCGCTCACGTTTGTTGTGGTTGGCACACGTGTAGTGAGATTTTGGCCTTTCTTATAGGGATTTTTGTATTATAAAGTATTAAAAAAGTAGTTTTTTTGTGTATTTCTGTGTTATAAGTAATGATAAGTAGTTTTACTGTGTGCCTTGCGTGTATTTTTTAGTTGTATATTAGTGAAATATCTGGGAAAATTCGTTTTCCCCGTATTTTCACGCAAAAATATTGGCCCGCGCAATATGGTTTGTTATTTCGCTGCCGCCGCCGCCGTCTGAATAGCCGTTGGCCTACAACGCCGAAGGTGAAAAAGGTTTCTGTTTTAATTCTTATCTTATAATTCTAAATGAGCAATTCTTGTACATTTATCTATATAATATATTAAAATCAATTGGCGTTCGTTAGTCTCGCTAAAACTCAAAAACGGCTGGACCAATATGAAAAATTCTTTTTTTGTTTAGTTGGGGGTGGATTAAGTAGTTGGTTATCCGGGTCAACATATAGGATACTTTTTATCGCGGGAAAATATCTCATTTATGAGAAAAAGTACAAAAACTGCATTGTAAGAGTATACTAATATGTAAAACCTAAGAATTTGGTTTTTGGTCACCTGAACGCGGGCGGAGCCGCGGGCAACGCTAGTCTAAAATATCACCGACTAATCTCGAACGTGATTCCTCCATTCAACGTCATATTGACGAAATAAGTAATTTATGCTCAACTGGAAACTACTAATAAATAATAAGTATTTGTTCGTAGACTGGAACGCATTAAAGCCATTATGATAAAGAATTGAATTGAATTATTAACTACTTTAAGGCAGTGGTAGCCCAGTGGTAACGCGCTCGCTTGGGAAACCGAGTGAAGTGGGTTCAAATCCCGGGTCTCGCATCTCTGATATTTTCATGTGCGAATCATTTCTAACGTAATTACCACTATTAGCCTTACGGTGAAGGAAAACATCGTGAGGAAACCTGCATGTCTGAGAGAACCTAGCAAGTTTTCGAAAGACATGTGAAGTCCTCCAACCCGCACTTGGCCAGCGTGGTGGACTATGGCCTGATCCCCTCATATTGAAGGGAGGCCCGTGCCCAGCAGTGGGACGTCAAAAGGGCTGAATACATTAACTACTTCACATGTACCAAGTTTTTGTGCAGTTTTATATACCTTGATTTTTTAATCCTGACGTTTCTTATGTTTTACAGCAAACATGGTCATAGGAAAGATCATGTTACTGTACAACATTTTAAAAAAAATTGAAATTTACCTGTAGGTGTTATTATTGCGTTCGTAGCGTACATGCATCATATATATATATATATATATATATATATATATCAAATTAAAGCTAATTTTTTTTCTGTACCTGATAAACTACCTCTGCCTCTGTAAAAGTGGCCGCAAAAGTGGTTGCGAGTCATTAAAAGTGTTTTTGTTACATTTATACGTTCATGACGTATATTCATCATTTAATATATCAAATTAAAATAATTTTTTTTCTGTGCATGATAAAATACCTCTACCTACGTAAAAGTACCAAAGGAAAGAAAAGAAGGAAAGAATATAATATTATCTGTCATTTGTCAGACAATAACAACGGTTTCATTTGCATCGTTTTTATTCCAAAAAAGTCAACTATTATTTAGTTAATTAAACATACTAGCGGGCACATTTGAATAGGCACCTCGGTCAAAACATATTGTCCCTTTTATTATTGTATATAAAAAATTGATTTCGATTAAATACGCTATGAACGTAGTAATCTTGCTGTTATCTTGACGTTGTCAAAAATTTTTAAAAATTTTTGACAGCGTCAAACCAAAATTTATAGTGTGATTAAAATTTATTTTAAAATATATACGAAAATAACATTAAACTTTAATTAATAGTATAAAAAATGTTTTAAAAGACAAAAATATCGAAAGTTTCAAAAAATCTCAGTCCTCTAGAATACTTATATTACCAATACTTATTTGTTGTGGTGGTCATTGAAATAAGATTCATGAGAAAACTGGGCTCTGATATCAATTTTCCAATAAGGTACCAAAGGTTATGGTTATGTTTGGTAAGCGTCGGCTGCCAAGCCAATTGTACAAATCTTAAAAAATACTTTTGACCTTTTGTATTGAAAGCTCCTTTTTGTCTCTATTGATATGTACAAGTGAACAACGTTCCATCACAACAAAATCAAATGAGTCCAAAAAATTATAAAAATATGCTGATTATCGACACAAAAAAATAATATCACCTTATCTTTGGAAATTGTTTCAAAAAGAAGTAAAATCTAGAAACTCACCAATTTTCTTACCAACATCGCTTAATAGAGTTTCCAATTTCTCTCGACTCCTGCCAGCAATAGCCCATGTAACTTCTGGATAATCGATGGCTATTCTTTGTAACTCTTTTACGACATGCTTCCCAGTGAAGCCGGAAGCTCCAAGCACTACAAGATCTAGCCGATCGGATGTCTAGAAATTTACGTAATGAGATTAGAACAAATATTTTTATTTAATAATAAAAACCATGTGCCTTACAACGTTAAGTTTTACGAATAGTTTTCGAAATTTTTAAGAAAAACTATGTTTTGCTGTATGTATGTTGGTGTGCTTTGCTTTGTATCGGCTGGCACCGACTTCGAAATTATTTGATTAGGTATGTATAGTAAATGAAAACAATTTTTTTTTTTTACTTTTTAGTGCTTTGGTTTGAAGTCGGTTTTTATTTTTTTGTTAAAAAGTTTTTATTTTTCCCTTTTTAGTGTAGACAGTAGTAGCAAAGTAAGAATTCTAACATGTTAGGCTTGTCAAATCAAAGAAAATAAGCCCAAACTCAAAGTATCTACTATTAGCTGTTGAAGAGTTCCACCTATCCACCTTCTGGTCTTACCATCAGATCAGGTCAACAATACCGAACCACTGTACTATCAACGGAAATAGAAACACTTGCAAAGTTTAAATACAATATGTCAATTAGAAGTAGGTTAAATTCATCATTAGCTGTTTTTCCACTCTTAGGGGTGGTATTTTTTTTGAAATTTAAATGGGACCAATCTGGAAGTATACCCTTTAAAATAAAACAAAAATTGTCCAAATCGGTTAATAAATGACGGAGTTCTGAGATAACAAACATTAAAAAAAAATACAACCGAATTCAAAACCTCCTCCTTTTTGAGGAAGTCGGTTGAAAACTGATGAAAACTACTAATCCCCCTATAATAAAATATTTTCGAAGTCGGTGTGCTTTGGCTAAGTAATTAAAGCCTACCTATTAAATACATACCTACTCCAATATTTTCGAAATCGGTGCCAGCCCATACAAAGCAAAGCACACCGACTTCGAAAATATTTGATTAGGTATGTGTAGTAAATGAAAACTACCAATCAGTTATTTTTTACTTTTTAGTGCTTTTTTTTTGAAGTCGGTTTTTATTTTTTTGTTAAAAAGTTTTTATTGTGTATCTAGTACTTTTTTTGATAAACCAAAACTCGCGAAAAAATCCGAAAATTATAAAAATACTTACTAAAATTTCACGATTTTTTGAATGACTCAAAATTAAAAATATAAAAAATAAAAAAATAAAATTAAAAATATAAAATCTTTGAAAAAATCGTAATGTTGTGACAAAAAAATAAACGTAAAATAACATACCATCTCCTGACCTGTTTGTAAGTAGAATGACGCTGGTAACTACGCTAGCAATCCTTGTTGTTGTTGTTCTAACGTGTTTTTTAATCTCATCTCATACATATGTATAAGAATAAAAAATTGTTTTACATTATAAACAATTTTTTCCGCGGATTCATGCGCATATTAATTTACATATTTATACTTTATTACTTTTTTTGTTCTTCTGCTATCCCCAATCACATGAGAACTTTTTTATTGGGTTTAAAAACATTGTAAGACAGAATTATATAAAAAAAATTCCACGCAATAATGGAATTTTCCATTCCTGGTTAAATTATATGGTTAGACTGCATTTTTAACATGATTACAAGGTACTTCTTTTACGGTTAAGGAAACCTGCATGTCTGAGAAACCCTAGCAAGTTGTTAAAAAACCTGTGAAGTCCGCCAACCTGCACTTGGCCAGCGTGGTGGACTATGGCCTGATCCCACTCGTGTTGAAGGGAGGCCCACCCCCAGCAGTGGGACGTTAAAAAGGGCTGAATACTGATAATACTTTCTTAGATTTACGCGAATGTTTGACATTTTTAAATAAAACTATCTTTTCGGATTATTTCGCGGATTTATTTTGATTTTTGGTTCCCGACGTTTCGAATGCTTGAGTTGAATGAAAATCAAAATAAATCCGCGAAATAATCCGAAAAGATAGTTTTATTTAAAAAAGGCTGAATACTGCTTATGGTGCAGCGACAAGTCACGAAAGTAAGTTATATCCTACATCCTGGACATACATACATACTGGAATAAAGATGACTTATATTCTAGACTATACCCTCGCACTGTTCGGGCGTAGATCAGCAGTTATAGTAGGTACCAGTAGTAGGTAACTTATGTTATTACAGGAATTATGAGAAAGAAAAGGTTTAATATAAATAAATTTCTCCTGAAGTAAAACATAGAGCAATAACTATAATTTATTGCATTGTTAATAATAATAGTCCTGCTTGTATTATAAAAAATATCAAAGTTCGTGAAAATATAAATGTACTAGCATTGCCCGCGGTTCCGCCCGCGTTCAGATGACCAAAAACCAAATTATTAATAATAATTATGGCGGGACCAAGGGAAATAGGGGTATATTTGTATCAATATAGATAGATATACCTAATCAGATATTTTCGAGTTTATTGCCAGCCGATGCAAAACAAAGTAAATCTATTTCCATACTTATAAATACATATATCACAAATTGATGTATAATATCTGTATATAATGTAATAGCTGTGATTAGAGTTCAAACCTTGTCATATTTACCTATTAGATATTAATATCGTAAAGTATTGTCGGCTCGCACCGACTTCGAAATTACCTGATAAGGTATTTATAGTATATGAAGTCAGTCTGTTCAGTTATTTTTAACTTTTTACAGTATTTTTTAAAAGAAACAAGTTCAAACTCGATTTTTTTTAATTACTTTTAAGCTATTGCATAGCTTCTATCGCGGGACTTGAGCGTGGGGACCGAATCCAGAAATTCCGTAACGAAAAAAACCTGACACCCCCCACTCCGACCGGCACAGCGATGATACTTCCATCTATCGATAAATATCAGAACTTTTAATGACTTTTTGAAATATCACGCTTGTCTCTTTAGTTCAACAACTCGCCTTTAGGTGGCATTGGTTGTATTGGAAAACTACCGTAATCTGCCGTTTGTGAGAAAGTTTATTTTTATGAGCTAGTGCCATCTTGTATAAAAACTACGAATTAGCTGTCTTACGCTACTTTTATTCCCAGCTATAAGAATATGGTCACTAGATGGCGCAACAAAACAAAATAGTAGTTTGATATTTATGTTTTAAGTCACGTTTGACGACACGCTTGGCTCAGTTTGTAGTGACCCTATTTTCTGTGCCAGCGGTCGCGGGTTCGAGTCCCACTGGGGGCATTCATTTGTGTGTTGTCGAATGTTTGTACTCCAGTCATGGGTGTTTATATTTATAATATGTATGTATTTAAAGTTATATATGTGTAGTGTATCAACTATCTGGTATCCATAACACAGACCTCGTAGCTTACCATGGAACTAGATGGCGTGAAATACTAATAAAATAAATAAATAATTATAATTGCATAAGTTGATAAAAAATTCTATGCAATAGCTTTACCACGGCAGTCTCTAAGTGCCACATTTGATTTTTATTTTGTAATTTTTAGTTTCAAGTAAAAACTGAGATAGTTTTTGTAATATGTAGTAATAACAAAAACTATTTCAATTTTAGTTACACGTTTTCGTCCATAATATAAAAACTACTGAAACGATTTTGATGAAATCTTTACTATTCCATATATAATTAAATTGAAATAAATGTAAGCAATTAAAAAAGAATGATCAGGAACCGATTGTAAGTTCCGGAGAAATGGGTGGTCAAACATATTATGTATGTTGTACAATGTACATACAAACACACATACATATAATCATACGAACATAGATAGGTACATACACCTATAAAATTTTGTATGTTTGTTTGGAAGCCTTAATAGATTATATATCATAGGTAAATCTTTTGCAGTTCCAATAATATACATACATAGATACATACGGATCGAACTGATAACCTCCTTTTTTGAAGTTGGTTAAAAATGGAGGGAAAAGATCTCTCTACTGTACAGTATAACAAGTATTGATAGTTTGAACAAATAAGCGCTAAGGTGACGATTTGGTCAACGCCAGCTTTACGTTTTTTTACCTCTAAATTTGGAGGAAACCCCTAAGTGGCAACACTGTAAAAATATCGGTAGAGAAATTGGCCCGATCGCGCTACACACGCGACAACGCGGCAGGGCGGCAGGGGCAATCTAGGGACCAAGGGTGGTCTCGTGCTCCCGCGGCCTTGCCGCAGGGGCAATCTAGAAAATTGCGCCTGCTTGATTATACACATTACAATTTAGGTGGCAATTAAGGGTCATCCCCACTCTTACACCCTAGATTGTCTCTGCGGCAGAGATGTGACTCGTGAGTAGCCGCATTAATAACAGCTGCATCATGCATATGTATATCGATCAAAACATTAGTTTATTTTCTGAGTGCACACTGCAAGTGCACAGTCCATTCGATCGGAACGTTTATCCAGTGAGTATTTTGAAACGTGTTTTTTTCAATGTTCATCGCGGTTAGTGCACCGCAATCACGCCATATATCAAAAGTTTAATTTTATATCAATTTTTGGTAAGTTTTATTACACTAACGAGTGGTTTACATGGTTATCCAGAAACATTAAGGGAGTCATTTTTTTATTTTCTTTTAATTTATATGTTAAAAAGTATTTTAGGATAAAAAATTGCTAAATATAACTAAAAAGCTGTAAATAAAAAAAATCCGGACAAGTGCGAGACGGACTCGCCCACCGATGGTTCCGTGCAAATTTGTAGGAGTACTGTTTAACTTTAATTTTCAACTTTTTTATTTTTTGGATTTTTTCCTTAACTTGTGGTGTAAGAACTTGCTGATTGCCTCTCGTGATTCTAGGTCAATGGAAAGTACCTACCTACCTAGAGTTGTCAATTTTGGTTAAAAGCAAGGTCTTACAGCAAAAGTAAAGAAAAATACCGAAAGATAAAAAAAGTTGAAAATTAAGGTAAATTTAGGTACAAGTTACAAGTTTTCGGAAAATCTTTTTTGCCCATACCTTTTTATCGTGTTGACTCAGGATCTTGATTTTTATTCACCCGATAGGGACTGTAAACCTCAGTATCTGGTATAAATGTAAACTTGCTAGGTCCAGCCGTTTCTGAGAAAATCGGTGGTGACACACGGACGGACGAACAAGAGCGTGATATTATAAGGGTTCATATTATTAAGCAGTCAAAGATATACACGTTTCATCCTTGCCGCGATATGTACATTGTACAATGTAAATATGCCGCGAGATGTGCGTACGCGGGAGTCTGAATCCCACCAGGCTCGCCGTAATTAAACAAATAGGAATAAAGATATAAAAGATATATCTTTATAAAGAAAAAGCGTTAATTCTAGGAATGGATTTTTAATTTAATTATTTTTCTTTAACGCGGACATTACCGTATAAATCTTTTAACTTAAATAGAGTATTTAATTTAGAAAATATGGCCCATGAACAGATAACCCACAACCCGGACGTTATGTTTAACTAGAACAGTACTAAATAACCATATATTACATACATTTAAATCATATCCCTTTCAAAACCAGTAGCAACTTCACGTCAAACTGATAGTTACTTGCGTTTTTCTTATTAAAGGTTCATTTATTGATCATCTAAGATATTCATCCGTAGGATGTAGATATGTAGTAGAAAATAGAAATAAAGTAAAAAGAAAAATAATATAAGTAATCTGAATAGATTACTTATATTGTTTTACAAAACCTCGCGGTTAATTTGTAAGAAATAAATTGTTAACCAAGCCACGTCACGGTCATGTAATGCATACAGTATTGCAACTCGGCACTGTCCTTGAAATAATTACCTACAGCCGCGCAATACGTAACACGCCACAGGACTGCCTGAGTGCCTTTTGAGTTTCTTTCTGGTTTTGTGATTTATGTATATTATATTATATATTAGACCCGGGTCGATAATTTTTAAAACCAAAAAAAATAATAGTAGGATGCAACCCATTAGAAAAGGAGGGGAATATTATAAAAATGAAAGGAAAAATAATTTACGGTCGATCTGAGGTCGGGAAGGGGATGGGGGTCCGTTTTTAAGGGTAAAAAACGGTTTTTCTCGATTTCCGGCAAAACTAAAAGTCCTATCGAAAAAAGTCATATGGCAAAATTGTAGGTAATAAATAGATCTAAAACTTTTGTATTTACACTTTTTTCACATAACCTCAAAATTTATGTGAGAAAATCAAAAAACCAAGTTTTTGGTTTTTTATTTTTATCTTTTACAAAAAAAAATTTTTTTTAACGAAATTTGGTGAAAACATACCTTTTTATATCCCAAGTACGCTGTAATTTATTTGATTAAAAATATTTATTTTTTCACCTTATTTTGAATTAATATCGAAAAAGCACCCTCATTTTCAATCGAAAATTCACCCGTCAAAATATCAGCTTTTTTCAAAAAGTTGGTATGTTTTCTGTTCGTTAAATCTCTACTTTCCGATGGTGAAATGTTACTATAGTAAATCTTCTGAGAAAATGCAAAAAACAAAAAACCTTTTTTATTTCATACACTTGCTTATCATCTGCCTTATTGCAGATGATACAAACAGATTCATGCATACTGATAATCTGAAAAGACAAAATCGAATTAATAATGCCTTCACTATTTTATCGTGAGTATACCCCCTTTAAAAACATATATTAAAGAAATAAATGTCAAAATGTATAAAAAATATATTATAAATATATTAAAAATCACCATACCAAAATTCATCAAAACTCCTCCAATGGTTTTTCTATGATGCGGTAACAGACAGACAGACTTAAATTCTAAAAACTATAGGTTTTGCCTCTGTATCGATAATGATATGATGTTCTCCCGACCGATTCCGGCCACGGCGGCCAATCTCATTGAGACTAGCCAACTGCGCAGGAGATATTATAGTGCACAAGTGTACGCGCAGACACAACGTGCACTCTCTATTCCTATCACTCTCATATTCCGGTGGGACGACTGCTCGACACGACCAGTGAGAGTAAAGGCGCAGGACCGACGGCTTTACGTGCTCTCCGAGGCACGGGGGTGAAACACCGCCAACTTCCCAACTCCGGGCTGTTACTGAGGCTTACTTATACAGAAAGACAATAACTAAACTTGGCCCGACCCGGGACTCGAACCCAGGACCTCCGGGTGTGCAGCCGTACATGCTAGCCACTACACCACGGAGGCAGTTAAAGTATCGATAATAATGTCTATTTCAATAAGATTTTCCAAAATATATTTAATGTACAGATTTGACTCAGTTAGAATTTTATTATATGTATAGATTACGGAGAAGGCGTGAACACATACCTGCAGACATAAAATATACATTTTACATGCTTATACATATATAATATAGTCTACCTTTTCCATAATAACGGTCAAAAGTCCAAGGTAAGTTGCTAGTAGTAAATGAAAACCCCGGTTCAGTATATTTTTTTTGAAGTCGGTTTATTTATTTATTTTTTAATTATGAACACAGTTTTATTTTTAAGATTTTTGGACATAATATGTAGATAAATACATATTTTCGATTTTATTAAAGTCTATTGGTACAAAACGTGTATTTTATACCAATAGAATTGACATTTAAAAGGCAATAATTCTCTAATAAGAACTCTTTTGGTAAATTAGTCATTTGGACAAATAAGCACTGAGATGACGAAAGCACAAAAGCAATCGGTATAGGCCATAGAATTAGCTCGCTGAAGTAACAGTGGGCTGGTAATATCTGCCACAATAAAAAAGCCTAGTAAAGCCCAGGATAGAGAACAGTGATAGGAGCCCAGGATACAGAACCTGAAAGACGCAACCTACGTTCAGAAAAGGATGAGCGTGGGTTGTTCATTAATTGGATAAAAGCCAATCGGTAAAAGAATCCGGTCTACAAACATACAATAAAACTTTTGTTGGGAGAATGGCGCATTTTTCTAGTGTTTAGGTTTCAAGCTCCTTCCAAACCAAAGTCCTGAATCCGCCACCGGCTATTTGGTAGCAGTTTTTAACACACAAAAGCCGTTCTGAAGAAATGCAGATTATAAATAATAGCTGAACCGCATTCAAATTCGTTCATTTCTCGTGATTAACGTGGACTCCCTACATAAAAAGATTTATGTTATTTTTAGATGTCGCGACTAGATTTGGTGATATTTGGGGCCACTGGCTTCACGGGCAAGTACGCTGTAGAGGAAATGTGTCGTATATCAAAGAACTACCTCGAGATAACATGGGCTATTGCCGGTCGCAATCAGAGCAAACTGAAGGATGTGCTAAATAAAATATCTAAGAAAAATGGTAAGTTATATGAATAATTTAAATAATGTAAACTACTTATTTATATTGTACTAGCGAGTAACGTCCCTAGATTGCTTCCCCATACAAACTTTCATCCCCAATCACATTCCCTTAAGGGATGATTTCCGGGATAAAAACTTTCCTATGTCCCAGGATCTCAAACTATCTTCTTGCCAAATTTCATCTAAATCGGTATTACTTCACAATCTAACAAACTTTACTGCTTTATAATATTAGTATAGATAATATTTCCATTATCTACACTAGAACTATTTCCTTTCTTAATCTTAATAGCCGACTGCTTTTTGCAGCGAGGACCTTCGTAATTACCAATTTAAATAAATTATACGTCGTTAATATCTAGATTCTAGAAAATGCAAATGTCTCAGTACAGTATAATAAAAACTTTTTAAGAAAAAAATAAAAACCGACTTCAAACAAAAGCACTAAAAAGTAAAAAATAACTGATTGGTAGTTTTCATTTACAATACATACCTAATCAAATATTTTCGAAGTCGGTGTGCTTTGCTTTGTATGAGCTGGCACCGATTTCGAAAATAGTAGGCTTTAATTACTTAGCCAAAGCCGACCATGAAGCCGAAGCCACCTCTTTTTACTTTTACTTTTTCATAGATAAAGATTTATCATCTGTGAAGATAATAATAGCTGATGTTCAAGACGAGAAGTCTTTGAAAGAAATGTGTTCTCAAGCCAAAGTGTTGGTGAACTGCTGCGGGCCCTACAGGCACTACGGCGAGCCGGTTGTCAAGGCGGCCATAGACAGCAAGACGCATTACGTGGACGTTAGTGCCGAACCTGAGGTAAATTTAAGGAAATTAATACTTTTTCGCTGTAAATAATGCGATTTGCCTGTAAGAAAATCAATTTTTTGAAAGAAATTCTAGTTCTGCATCAAAACGCACATACAAAAGTCCGCATTTATATTAATAGTGTAAGTTTTCAAAAAATGTTCAAATTTTTTATAGTTCATAGAAACGATGCAGCTCAAATACGACGAAGCAGCTCGCGACGCTGGTGTATACATAATAAGGGCGTGCGGGTTTGATTGCATTCCCACCGATATGGGAGTTATTTTCCTCCAACAAAACTTTAAAGGTAAACTAAAAGGTAAACAACTAACTTATTTAGTGTCAGGCATATTTTGAGAGAACCTAGTAAGTTTTTGAAAGACATGTGAAGGCCTCCAATCCACACTTGGCCAGCGTGGCCCGATCCTCGAATCGAAGGAAGGCCTGTGCCCAGCGGTGGGTCTTTAAAAAGGGCTCAATACAATACAGTATTTTGGGAAGAGAGAAAGAGAATGCTACAGATGTGGGCAGCCTGCCGGTTGATGAAGGTTAGGAGGTTGCAAAATTCTTTCTTACAAAAAATAGAGCAACTATTCTTTCAAGTATAGTTTTAAAAGATTAAGTCCTATTATTATTTCGAAAAATATTTTCCATATTGTATTTTTTGGTTATCGTAAGACATAATTATGAAAACGATTTTTGTTAGTGACCATGACCTTATTGAACAGTCATGGGTCATTATTCTAATGATTCGTACAGTAATTAGTAAATACTAAGGAGATATCTTTATGTTTTAAAATAAATATTCTGGCCTATGTAAAGTAGGTCCAGTTCAATATTTATCTCGGATACCCTGTGGTTAAACTTTTTTTTTTAAAGTAAAATATAATTTTTTTTATTTTTCCAACAGGGATCTATTCTGAAGCCTTTCAAGAATAGCTCCAAGAAAGGAAAAACATCTCAAATTTATGGTTTAAAAATTATCACACTTGCAATGTTAAAGTTCAAGCAGAAAAAAATATTAATTAACTATTGCATAAGTAATTGAAAAATAGTGTTAATTTATTTTTTCTTGCGGATTATTGTTCATTTATCTACTCAGTAAGCCCCAGAATTTTTTCATTTCTTAAATTTTATATTTAATATGTTAAAATAATTTTTATCGATAAAATGTCCGAAAAAGGCTTGAATTGCGCAAGTGACACCACCCGTTTTCGGCCGTATTTTCATCCCTCCGGAAAAATTATAACTATTGATCTTACAGTTCCGAGAGACCAGACTTTTTTAGATTTTGAAAATCTTAACTAGTTTTTGAGATATTTGCAAAAAACTAAACCTTTTTTAGTTAATTATTTATAACTTTGCGATTTTTGCAAGCGGAACTTGATTTTTTTAAATCATCTACATGCTATTCCGAATCGAATGACCTCGTTCATATTTTCCGAGATTGCTGAAAAAAGTTGTCCAAAAAGGCACTCATTAACTGTAATTAATATTTTAATGATAAGCGTCGCCGCGTCGGAGAAGACCGCTAAGTAATTAAAATAAAAACAAGAATACAAATAAAAAGAGATTGATAATGATAAAGTATTAGCCATTAAAAAAATAAAACTGTTATAAATTATATTGAATTAGAAAAATTGAATTAGCCGATTGAAATTTTACTCAATGCTAATAGTCAGTATGCGTCATTTTTTTTATACGATACCTGAGATCTTTGTAAAATTGTAAAAAAATATTTAGCTCCAAAAAACTAAAATTTAGTAGGTTTATTTTTTTTAATATCATACCGATACGGATACTTTAAACGACCGCCGACACCGACTTCGAAAATATCTGATTAGGCATCTATTCTAAATGAAAACCTCCGTTTAGTTATTTTTTACATTTTAGTGCCTGGAAGTCGGTTTTTATTTTCCATTTTTAGTGTAGGTATAATAAGCAGGTAATTTGTAAGAAGAAAGTTTTTAATAACATATTCGATTAAACAATTTATTTAAAAAATAAATTATTGTGGATTTTTAAAAAAACCGCTTGACTGATTTCGATAAAATTTATATGGGACCTGGGAGTATACCCTTTGAAACAAAAAAATTTTTTCCAAATCGGTTCGGGCGTCTTCGAGTAATCGGTGAACATACATAAAAAAAAAGACTCCGACGAATTGAGAGCCTCCTCGTTTTTGGAATTGGAAGCCGGTTAAAAAGAAAAAATTAAATTAAATCAATTAAACGTGTAGGTATTTATAAACACGTTTTAGGTAACATTTAAGTGATCTACAAAATAAATTGCTTAAAATGACTGCCGTCCTCACGAATACATAAGTTCACTTGTTTTTTGTACTGAGCAAGTAGCAGCCGATAATTTTCTTGTATGGACATCGTGCTTAAAAATACACGTTTAATTTTATTTTTATTTTTCGATGCAACGACGACTTTCTACTTAGGTACTTTTACTAAGTACAGTATGCCACGAGACCGGCTCGACAAAAACTGAAATATTTATTTTACCTGCCTGCGTGTAAACTCGGTTCTGTGACCGTAGTTTCTGCACTCAAACTTCTTTTGGCCTCAAAGAGTCTTTTGATCATAGTAAGAAATAAAACCATTTGGCACCAAAAAATATTCCGAGTTGATTAATCGTTTTACCGTACAAAATGTATGGGAAAAGCTTTTGGCGATTTCTGTGATTTCTAGTACTTATACCTTAAATGGTCCCATAAGTCTTTTGATCCCTGCATGAAAGAGGATCGATTGACATAAAAAAATTTTTGGTACATATTTTAGCATTTTTTTCTCTAACTGTACATTTTTTCCAAAATCTGTGAATGCAGTTCAAAATATCTTAAAGTTATGGATGGTCTCCTAGGAGCGTTTTTCTGTAACTATAGCATTTAAGGTACCTGCCCTTAATGTCCCGTATCAAAATTCCATCCTGTATATTGTATAATTTTTGCATTCTGATAAGGAAAATTAGTAGTAAATCTGTACATTCTAATCTATATTTTATGAAACATGTTAGTAAGCGTAGCACCCGTCGACCTAGCCTACTAGTTCTCCCAAAAACTAGAACAAATTATGCAAATAATGATATTACACTTGAAGGTGCACAAATTTATAACAAATTACCATTTACTTTAAAAAATGTAACCTCAATTAACGGAATTAAATCTCAACTATCACAATATATTTTGAAAAATAACCAATTTCAATAAGTTTAATATATATAAACTTATAACTATATCCTATCTCGGTAACTGAGTACCTACTTATATGGCGATTTTTTTTGTATATTTTCACTTTGTTATTATGTTGTTCTCATGTAAGTGACTTTTTCTTTTTGAGAATAAAATTCAATAAACTTATTTGTATATATATATCGACTAAAAATCTTAAAAGTTCTTGATGAAATTAAACGCAATTTTAATGAATTATCCAAAAAAAGAGCAAATAGATACATAAGCTGTTAAATTTCAGGGACGTTGAACTCGGTTGAGTCGTATCTGAGTCTCGCAGTGCCGCTCAAGGCTTGCACCGGCGGGTTGGTCAACTACGGCACCTGGGAGTCGCTCTTATATGAGTATGTACAATTACATATTATATTGTATAGTATATTTTGACCGACTTCCAAAAAGGAAAGCGATTGTGAATTGAACGATTATGCTCGAATTTCTACCACTGAGGGAACACTAGATGTTTTTTTAAGAATAAGTTATACCTCGTGAGTCAATCAAATTAAAAATCCACCCCTAAATGTGGAATAATCAATTTTATCTATATTTTTATCTATATTTAATGTCTATATAGTGGGTTTTTTTATTTTATTTTATGGAATACTAGCGACTCACCCTCGCTACGCTCGAGTTTATCCCTAGAATGTACAGATTCGGCTCGGTTAAATTTTTATTATATGTATAAAATATGTATAGATAAAGTTTTACCAACTATAAAATAACTATAAAAATATTATCTAATATTATATATATAATAGGCAGTGGACTGATTTGTATTTAGTGTAATAACAAATAATAAAAACTCTTTATTTCACACACAAAATTTAGTCAAAAACAAAATAATGCCAGGAATCAATGGAGAATCACCCGCGAAGTTCTCCGAAGTTCGCCGTACATTACTGCTAAAATCAGCCATTTTTTTAATTCTATGACTTAAAAAAGCAATGTACAGTGACTTCGGCTAACTTTAAACGAGAGTGAAGAGAAGAGATGTAGGAAATAGCAAAGTGTGAAAGTAGAAGGGATGTGACCACAGAATTATAAATAAAATGATATATGCATACTATACATACATATTATAGTGTAAATAACATATATATCGTTATTCGTCTTTATTTATTAATCTAATACTAATATTATAATGATGTAAAGTTTGTTCTTTTTAGTTTGTGAGTTTGTAGAAATTAATCTCTAAGACTGGAACTACTGAACCGATTTAGATTAAATTTAACATGAAAATAGTTTGAGACCTTGGGAAGGACATAAGATAGTTTTTACCCCGGAAATCATCCCTTAAGAGGGATGGGTGAACGTTTGAATGGGGAATCAAACTAGGCAGTAGGGACGAACCAGAGCGAAGCGAGAGTGATTCGCTAGTCTATACTACAAATAAAGGAGTAACATAGCAAAATCTGTACATGAAATATTTTTTAAAAACAATGCTTGTAACGTATTATGTACACAATGTAGACCTCAAAACAATAGTTATTAATTTTTTTGTCTGTTTGTCTCTTTGTGTGTGCACACAAAAAGTAATGAACCGATTTCATCGAAATTTGGTGAAGTGATAACTTATTTCTCGGGTCAACATTTACCTTTTACTTCAGGAAAATCCTTCTTTCCCACGGTTTTTTCCCAAGGGAAACACAATAATTGGTTTTATCGAGACAATGTGATGATGTTCTCCTGACCGATTCCGGCCACGGCGGCCAATCTCATTGAGACTAGCCAACTGCGCAGGAGATATTATAGTGCTCAAGTGTACGCGCAGACACAACGTGCACTCTCTATTCCTGTCACTCTCATACTCTAGTGGGACGACCACTCGACACGACCAGTGAGAGTTAAGGCGCAGGACCGATGGCTTTACGTGCTCTCCGAGGCACGGGGGTGAAACATCGCCAACTTCCCAACTCCGGGCTGTTACTGAGACTTAATATACATAAAGACTCAATAACTAAACTTGGCCCGGCTCGGGACTCGAACCCAGGACCTCCGGTGTGCAGCCGTACATGCTAGCCACTACACCACCGAGGCAGTTAAATGACACGAGTCGAGACAATGTACTAGAAAACTGTAGGTCTTAAAAAAGTCTACAGAAAAGTCCACAATCGTATATGTCTATCTCCTAAGGTACACTCGCTATAACTATTTTTATTATATAATATTATTATATTCAAGGCAATGACTCACCGACTGACTTATCAATGTTCAGACCAAGCCGATGATGATAGACCGGCATCACTAAAAAGCCAGCTTTAAGTATATATCTATGCTAATATTAAATGCGAAAGTAACTCCGTCTGTCTGTCTGTCCGTCACTTTTCTACTGACCCGGTTTAGATGAAATTTGGTATGGATATATTTTGAGACCCTGAGAATGTCACAGGATAGTTTTTATCCCAGGTAACATGTCATATATAAGGGGGTGAAAAGGGGGGTGGAAGATTAATTGGAAAATCAATTATTTCCCAAGAAGGGATGTATATATATATATATATATATATATATATATATATATATATATATATATATATATATTATTAATTATTTTCTATTTAATTCAACACATATTGCAAATAAAATTCGGAACAGAAAGAAAACTGTTAATATGATATCATAATATTTAACTTCAACTTACGTGTCTTTGAATATTGAAAATATTACTTATTTTTTTTATATTTCTATATGTATTATAGAATGGCGCATTACAACGAGTTGCCAGCTTTGAGGAAAAAAATGTACCCAAAGGAACTGCCCGCGTTTGAGCCTAAATTAAAGCCTCGGTAAGCATTGTTTATATTTGAAATTACCAGCGCAATATTTACTTGCCTCTGATAATAAAAAATAATATAGGTACAAGTATTTATTATTTACTAACATACCTAGATCATACATATTTCAGCCTAAAACTTATTATTTTGAAAAAAAAATACCTATGTAGATACCTCCATTAAGAATGTATAGCGATTAGGTAGGTACATCCATAACAAAGCTTTCTTTTTTATAATTATACTGGCATTGCCCGCGGCTCCGCTCGCGTTCATATGACCAAAACCAAATTCTTAGGTTTTATATATTAGTATACTCTCGTATTAGTAGGTATATTAGTTGACCCGGATAACCAGCTATTGCCATACCAAATTTCTTCAAAATCCCTCCAGTGATATTTCTGTGATGCAGTCACAGACAGACAAACAGACAAATATTCTTAAAACTATAGGTTCGGTCTCTGTTAGCGATAATAATTTGTGTATTTCAATAAAATTTTCCAAAAAATATAAAAATAAATAATAATTAACACTTCCAGGTATAATATATATTCTAAGAAATTAATTAAAATTCTAAGAAATCCATTGTTGACTGACACGCCGGCTTAAAATTCAATTATAAAAATTTGCAAAAATATTAAATAAATTGTTTAAAATTAAAATTAAAAAATATTGTAGGGTAATTTGGTGCCATTTTTACGTATTTTGAATTAAGCGCGCTCAAATATTCAAATGAGCGCTCATACGGTGAGGAGATTTTTTGTCGCTGATTGTGTATCTAGTACTTTTTTTGATAAACCAAAACTCGGGAAAAAATCCGAAAAGACAATTTTACTAAAATTTCACGATTTTTTGAATGACTCAAAAATAAAAATATTTTAAATCTTTAAAAAAAATCGTAATGTTGTGACAAAAAAAATAAACGTAAAATAACATACCATCTCTTGACCTGTTTGTAAGTAGAATGGCGCTGGTAACTACGCTAGCAATCCTTGTTGTTGTTCTAACTCGTTTTTTAATCTCATCTCATACATACGTATATTTTTTTAGCATTATAAACAATTTTTTTCGAGGATTCATGCGCATATTAATTTACATATTTATACTTTATTACTTTTCTTGTTCTTCTGCTATCCCCAATCACATGGGAACTTTTTTATTGGGTTTAAAAACATTGTAAGACAGCATTATATAAAAACTTCCACGCAATAATGGAATTTTCCATTCCTGATTAAATTATATGGTTAGACTGCATTTTTAACATGATTACAAGGTACTTGTTTTACGGTTAAGGAAAACATTGTGAGGAAACCTGCATGTCTGAGAAACCCTAGCAAGTTGTTAAAAAAGCTGTGAAGTCCGCCAACCTGCACTTGGTCAGCGTAGTGGACTATGGCTTTATCCCACTCGTGTTGAAGGGAGGCCCACCCTCAGCAGTGGGACGTTAAAAAGGGCTGAATACTGCTTATGGTGCAGCGACAAGTAATGAAAGTAAGTTATATCCTACATACTGGACATACATACATACTGGCATAAAGATGACTTATAATCTAGACTATACCCTCGCACTGTTCGGGCGTAGATCAGCAGTTATAGTAGGTACCAGTAGTAACTATATTACTACAGGAATTATGAGAAAGAAAAGGTTTAATATAAATAAATTTCTCCTGAAGTAAAACATAGAGCAATAACTATAATTTATTGCATTGCTAATAATAATAGTCCTGCTTGTATTATAACAAATATCAAAGTTCGTGAAAATATAAATGTACTAGCATTGCCCGCGGCTCCGCCCGCCTTCAGATGACCAAAAACCAAATTATTAATAATAATTATGGCGGGACCAAGGGAAATAGGGGTATATTTGTATAAATATAGATAGATATACCTAATTAGATATTTTCGAGTTTATTGCCAGCCGAAGCAAAGCAAAGCAAATCTATTTCCATACTTATAAATACACTAGCGGACCCGACAGACGTTGTCCTGTCTACACGTCTTTAATTTGAAAATTTCAAACTTTTTTTAATAATTTTTTTGATGAAAATTATTATTCAAATTGTGAATCTAAACCATTCCCAGATCCCCTTGAACACACACAAAAAATTTCATCAAAATTGGTCCAGTCGTTTAGGAGGAGTTCAGTCACATACACACGCACACAAGAAATATATATATTAAGATATATCCCAAATTGATGTATAATATTTGTATACAATATAATAGCTGTGATTAGAGTTCAAACCTTGTCATATTTACCTATTAGATATTAATATCGTAAAGTATTGTCGGCTCGCACCGACTTCGAAATTACCTGATAAGGTATTTATAGTATATGAAGTCAGTCTGTTCAGTTATTTTTAACTTTTTACAGTATTTTTTCAAAAAAACAAGTTCAAACTCGATTTTTTTTAATTACTTTTTTATTTTGTAATTTTTAGTTTCAAGTAAAAACTGAGATCATTTTTATAATACGAGTACGTAGTCATGGACGAATTAGAGACTGGACCTGACATAAAATACAAATGTATGAAAACTAGTTCAACCAAGTGACGCATAACGCACACAAAGATTTTATTACATTATTATAAACACTGATACACAATACAATATTTCTAGTGCTTGAACGTAATCGATAAAATACATATATCGATGATCCAATGAATGACATTTTAGACATTGGTTAGCATAGTCATCATATTTTACATCTTTTAATTTAAAATATCTGTATTTATTATAATAAATTAAAATAAATAAATTAAAGAGGCAATAATAATGTGTCAAATAATAATTATTTTTTAATTTGATTTATATAAATACGATGGCATTGATGGCAACATTCTGTTGGCCTATAATAATGTTAATGAACAAATGAATATCGGGTGTATATTCCATTAATATATAATAAATATTATTTTGTAAAGATTAAAAAAATATATAAACTAATTTAATTAAATAAAGTGATTTTGTTGATTCTGTTATTGAACTATTTTAATTGGAAATTGATAGTCTCGGGTACTTATAAAAATGTGACACTGTCCTAATATTGCTCAGTTCTTAATAAGCATTTGTGAAATTAGGAAAAAGAAAAAGTGATTGCAAATTGTGAAAAAGTGAGTGTTGGATCGTGAAAGTAAATGTTAGTGCAAGTGGTAAAGTGTTTTATTACAAATCACCAACCCAGAAGTTTAGTGCTAAAACATTATTGTTTGATTTTGTGTAATTTATGTGTTGAAATAAAATGATCTTTATTATTATTATAATGGAATAATATTCCAAAGTATATTAATGTGTTATAAAATAAAATAAAAAATTAAGTACACATACTAATTATAATTTTTACATTTATATTTTCATTCGATTTAGAAAATATTTTTATAAATTTATTGTCATCAGATTGTAGAATACTGTGATAAAAGTATTTTATGATATTGTACTGTACAAATAACACAATTCGTTCAGTTATTTCGTCAAATATCGATATATTTTTCGACATTGTCAAGCACTAGTCGATGTCAAATGGACTCACTCGACAGTTTTGTCGTTTGTTCTGAATGGTATAATCCAGCCATTTTATGATGGTTGTCAGATGTCAACAATACTGTCATAGAAATATCGACTATATTTAACATAGTTGGATAATATGACATTTTATTTTACATTTAATTAAATTTTGTGATAAATAACAATAAATGTAATAAAATGATGTATTTACAAGTGAAAAGAAATAGTGCTGCTTCCGCTGTTATAGTTTTTACATCATTTATAATTCACTGGTTACTGACAAGACCGGTAAAGGTACGTCCGCTTGTATGTCTGGTCCAGTGGTTAATTCGTTCATGTGTGTAGTAATTACAAAAACTATTTCAATTTTAGTTACACGTTTTCGTCCATAATATAAAAACTACTGAAGCGATTTTGACGAAATCTTTACTATTCCATATATAATTAAATTGAAATAAATGTAAGCAATTAAAAAAAGAATGATCAGGATCCGATTGTAAGTTTCGGAGAAACTTACAATCGGATCGGATGTATGTTGTACAATGTACATACAAACACACATACATATAATCATACGAACATAGATAGGTACATACACCTATAAAATTTTGTATGTTTGTTTGGAAGCCTTAATAGATTATATATCATAAGTAAATCTTTTGCAGTTCCAATAATATACATACATAGATACATACGGGTCGAACTGATAACCTCCTTTTTTGAAGTTGGTTACAAATGGAGGGAAAAGATCTCTCTACTGTACATAACAAGTATTGATAGTTTGAACAAATAAGCGCTAAGGTGACGATTTGGTCAACGCCAGCTTTACGTTTTTTACCTCTAAATTTGGAGGAAAACCCCTAAGTGGCAACACTGTCAAAAAAGTATCGAATATCGATCAAAACGTTAGTTCAAAGAGTATAGTTATCAAAGAGTATAGTTATCAAAGAGTATAGTTATCAAAGAGTATAGTTATCAAAGAGTATAGTTATAAACAAAGAGTATAGTTATAAACTGGGGTTATAAACTGGGAAAAGAGTGCCCTCTTGAGGATTTTTTATGCAAATCAATTTGAAACGCCATCTGCGTTTCCTAACCAAAACTAATACTATATATAGGTAGCTATATAGCTACCCATATCTATTTATTTTACCATTGATTTATTAGTAGTGCTATACTAGTGTTCCAACAAAGAAAAAACCTCTCGGCTTAGTCCTTTGTTGGAACACGATATTAGTAAAAAAGCAAAGAAAGAAATAAAACAACAATAACTGCAAGAGTAATCATTTATTGAGTAATCATATCAATATTTTATTTATTACAGAATAATTTCTATTGAACAATAATTCTTATATGTAATAATTTCATCTCATTTTTTATACTTTCTTAGATTTACGCGAATATTTGACATTTTAAATAAGACATCTTTTCGGATTTTTCGCGGATTTATTTAGATTTTTGGTTTCTCGACTTTTTGAATGCTTTACTCAAAGATTTTAGACGTCTCAAAGATATACTTGTTACAGACAGTGCCTATCCACAAAATTACTGAATTCAAAAATATAAGAAGTCGGTTTAAAATGGCACCAAAGTACCTTACAATATTTGTTGAATTTATTTTACGTTTTCGAAAAGATAATTTTATTTAAAAGGTCATTTTCTATTTTTATAGTTCTTGTGCTTATTAAAATAATTTTGGGCTGCAATTTTGACCTCATCATCTTCATCTTTAACAGTTAATTTGCCGCTCAAAATACGATTGACACTTCTGCACCAACTATAAACTAAAACATTGATTGTCATATTTATAAAATATGTTTTTAATTTATTTTTAAGTTCAACACATTTAAAAGGACAATCAGATAGCATGTCCAGAAACAAAACAATATTTTTCTTCAAACCTATTTTGGGTACATTTAAAAAAAAAAAGAAGTGGTCATATTCTGGATTTCTTTGAAATACGATTCCACTTCTTTATTAGGATAGCACAGCCATTTTTTATTCATGTACTCTTTGGCATAGATATATGAATTATTGTCATTTGATATATCATTTTCAAACAATGTTTGTTTGCAATGTTGACAACCTTTTATTATAAATTTAAGGCATCTCTTTAAAACCCATCCGCAGACATAATTGCTTTGACCAGCGTTAATTTCATTGGATTGGTCAAAGCAAATTTCACTGTTAAAATGAATAGTATCATTAGTATCAGGGATATCAGGAGTTATTATGTTCTTATCTTTAAGGAAGAAGTCCAAACTTTGAAGACACTCATTGTGATCTTCTTCACAATTTGCTCCACTTGAATGGGGCTCACTATAATTATTTATCATCAAAGCCTTGAAGGCCCCCTCAAATGAGACAGTATTTGGAGCAATGTTTCTAACACCATAACTCCTGAAATTCCCGAAAAAGTTTTCTATAGGGTCTTGGTTGAAATTTTTTGTCAACATTGCATCAATGCCATATTTTCTAGACAATAACTTCCAAAGAGATTCTATACCCTCTACAGTTTTAATTAAATTTGTTATAGATGGTGCAATAGTTTCTGTCAATCGTGTTTTATCTCCAAATCTAACTTTCTTAACATATTTTGTAGTTTTTAATATTTCTTTAGCTTTTTGCCATAATTGATGATGAGGTAAATTGCGTTTAATAGGCCCTTTATAAATTTTACCATTTTGAACAGATAAAGTGCCAACATTTAATGAATCAAACAGATTATCAACTAACAAAATAAAAAAACATTAAAACATTGTACTTTTTTTCGCAAACAACATATTATCTTCTTACACATGATTTTCATCTTGTAATGAAGTGGTTTCATCTGCATGCATTGATAGTTAAGCGGCACAGCTGAAAAGTATAAAATTGTTAAGTCAATAAATAAGTAGTAACATAACTTTTGATTTACTAGTTATTGCCAGTGCCAGTGCCAGCCAGCCACAAGAAAATGTTCTCATGGGAGTAAAAGCTCTCTGGTAACTTCTGGTTTTAACTACAGATAAGAAAAATCAAGTCTATCCCAGGATGCATGAAAGCAGGACAAAGAAAAACAAACAAACAAATCAACAATTTTTTTTTGATATAAAAAATAGAATTTTTTATTTAAATTTGTAAAATTGTAAATTTAGATGTATGTGGTGAATTATTGATTATGTGATATTATTTTAATGTAGCAGGTAGGTGATTTTGCCAATGTTACCTAAAAAAATAGAAATATTTATACTATTCGACTATAAAAATTTCATTATAAATCTTTGAATCCCCAACACAGATTTTGTTTAACTCAAGATCTTATGTACAAAGGGTCCTCCTTCACAGTCAGTCAGTCAGTCAGACCTATAGTCTATATTTTCTCTATTTCATTAATTTTAAAGCAGTTAACATTTCCAAAAAAGAATGGATGAAGAATAATGCAAATAATATATATTTATAACATACCTGGTAGATACAATGTAGGCATTGCTAATGCATTGAGGCGCTTATACCGATTTCTATGTGCATCAGTGAAATGTATATCACAAATCCTCTTTCTTATGTAGATTTCATGATCTGATAATCTTTCAAACTTTCCTCCGAGAAGATTTACCCATGCATGGAAGTGCTCAGGAAATCTTTTTGGATTTGGAAACATATGCATCACCACACCTGAAAGTAATAAGTTTTACTAAAATTTAATGTACTACCAGTAATTACATATTATTACATGACTATTTCAAACATTGCTTTTAAACAAAGCTCTGTATTTTAGAATAAAAAATATTTTATACATTATTCAAATCTATACATTGCTGGTTATTTTATATTTTTGTCTTTAATTTTTATGATTAAAAGTGCCGGCAAGCAAACACCTTTTGAGTACCGCGGGCATGAATTCGTTATGAAATGAGTATATAGTTACCACTGTTGGTGTTTTTACATCCAAAAGCGCAGCGATGAGGCATCGTGTTGCTTTTTATAACTCACACACCACAGAAAAGCGTCCTTAACGCGAAATATCACTAAACTACAAAGTATGTACGATAATTCGTCGCACTGTAGCAGACACAATAAAATTGTGTGTTTTGGTAGTAATCTTGGTATCAGGACGGAGGAGTAATCTCGACTCAACGTCTGAATCTGATGAATAAGAAATCCTACAAAAAAGAAAAATAGGTACACAAAAAATGGCCAAAAAATGTAATTGGAAATTTGAATTTTGTCGTTACCACTTACCAGTATTGCCATAATAGGAATATTAGGAATTGCTTGTAAAAATATTAAAATTGCCACTTGGAACAAGTATTGATAGTTTTTTTTTATTTTATAAAATATTTTTGTATATAAAATAATAATCTTAAGTCTTTAATTATCTATTTAATTAATATGGTATTAATTACAATTAGTACAGGATCGAATATTATTTAAGCGACATCTATTGTCAAGTAAATAAGACACTGAGCATTTTTACCAGTTAGGAAAAGTAGATGGCGCAACTTTCTTTAGAAAAATTAGCAATGACTTGAGTGTCCCTGCTAAGCATGGAAATGATTGCTACTTTTAAATCATTATCACGTGATGAAATTACAACAATTTTTCACGTGATTTCACCTGCTACTTTTCACGCATAGATTTTTGATTTCGACGGTCTGGTGTCACACTTTATATTATTTGCTATTAAAATGAAGTATGAAATGTCACCAATGGCGCTACTGATGTGATATGGAGCAGAGATATAGATCTGACGTAGTTGCATACGTACATGGTGCTTTGAATGAACCTATTTTCAAACAATGAACTTTCCCTCATACTTCTACAGGCTTGGGACTGACAATGTAAAATTAAATGAATTTTAAATATATCAGAGTAATCACACGGTAAAATTGTATTAAGCTAAGTTCCATAATTACATTGGCGTATTTAAAAGTTCATTGTTTTTATGTACAATAAGAATTTTTCTGTGGAATAATGCACGATCAGCAAACCATTTCGATTGGAGAGTTACAGGATATCTAGAACCCAGAAATTTTAATTATTTATAAATCTTTATAATTTTTAAAAACTTTACTAACAATATTTTTTTATGAATAAATTTTGAAATTAAATAATAAATAAAAAATAGGTAATTTAAAAATAAAAAGTAACGCCATCTTTCACGTTAGTGTGACGTCGTAATGCATATATTATATTTTAAAATCAATTGCGCGAATGATTTATTAAATCATAATCTGTACGTATTACACATAATCATTCAGTAAAAATTATAAGTATTTGTTGGATAAAAAACTAAAAATGTGCTCTAAATTTAATTGTTGTTTCTAATTTAAAATTATTTCTAAACAATATTTCTAAGAATCCGAAATCATGCAACTCGAAATAAATAAACTCCCCAATTTACTGATCAACGGTATTAACTGAAAATTGTATTTTGTTGAATAAAAAATCAATAAAAACATCAGTACGAAAATGTATACGGAAAATGCGAGTAACGAAATGCATTCGTGAGTAACGTTTCGGTACTCGGTACTAGATGGCGTACCCGTTACTCAGTAACGAATACATACGGTTTGCTACAGCTCTAGATTTCACCAAGTTGTGATTTGTAGCAGCCACTATGAATTAAGGTAGCAGGTGTGACGTATGATTACGCATTTCACGTGATTTTTCACTTGCTACTCGTGAAATGTTCCATCCCTAGCGCTTACAGCAGGGACTCCCTGCTGTAAGCGCAGTAGTGGTGGTTCATACTAGGAAAAATTGGAAACCTGTTACACCTGTTCCTGTTCCAATGAAATAACAGTTTCAATAACCTGTTCCAAAATAACAGCCTGTTCCATCAATACTACAGTAACAGACTAAGCCGTTCGGATACACGTAAAAAACATACTATTGAAATTTTAGTAGCTAAATTTCATTTTTAATTTTATTGAACTAAATTGTAATATATTAATTAAATTAGGTATTTCAATAACAATATTTAATTTTAAAGTTTATTTAAAATAAAATCACAATAACATAATAATATTACGCGAAAATATTGTTGTTTTTTTTTATTTCATTTTCAACTGTAAATTCCCAAATAGTTTTTTATGTGTATCCAAATGTGTGAACAGTAAGTAAAAGAGCTAAGAACCACAGATCATACATGAACAATATTAACCTGTCTCTTTCTAAGTTCCTATTAGCATATATTAGACTAGCATTGCCCGCGGCTCCGCCCGCGTTCAGATGACCAAAAACCAAATTCTTAGGTTTTACATATTAGTATACTCTTACTTAAAATTAACCAAATTCTTAGGTTTTACATATTAGTATACTCTTATTTAAAAGGCAGTGGTAGCCCAGTGGTAACGCGCTCGCTTGGAAAACCGAGTGATGCGGGTTCAAATCCCGGGTCTCGCACCTCTGATATTTTCATGTGCGAATCATTTCTAACATGATGACCACTTGCCTTACGGTGAAGGAAAACATCGTGAGGAAACCTGCATGTCTGAGAGAACCTAGCGAGTTTTCGAAAGACATGTGAAGTCCGCCAACCCGCACTTGGCCAGCGTGGTGGACTATGGCCTGATCCCCTCGTATTGAAGGGAGGCCCGTGCCCAGCAGTGGGACGTTAAAAAGGGCTGAATACATACTCTTACATTGCAGTTTTTGTATTTTTTCTCAGAAATGAGATATTTTCCCGCGGTAAAAGTATCCTATATGTTGACCCGGATAACCAGCTATCACCATACCACATTTCATAAAAATCCCTTCAGTGGTTTTTCTGTGATGCGTTAACAGACAAACAGACAAAAATTCTAAAAATATAGATATTCTAAAAACTAAACTATAGATTCGGCCTCTGTATCGATAATAATGTTTATTTCAATAAGATTTTCCAAAAAATATTTAATGTACAGATTCGACATAGTACAATTCAAAGAGTATAGTTATAAACTGGTACAATTTTATTATATGTATTATGTATAGAACATAGAACAGGCTAGTTCCATGGTGTTCCAGTTCCATTTTGTATCTGTAACAGATTCGTATTGACAATTGTTTGCTGTTTCGTAAATCGTAATAGGTACGTTTTGGAACAGGAACAGGTTTTTCGGTTATGACGGAACAGTTCCATGTTGTTACTTTTAAAAACCTGTTTTTTTAACCTGTTCCGATATATACGCCTCACTCTTAGCGCACAGTCCATTCCACAGAGCACAATACTAAGTCCATTCCATAGAGTATATTGGTCCATTCGATCGGAACGTTTATCCAGTGAGTATTTTGAGACGTGTTTTTTAATTTTCAATGTTCACCGCAATCACGCCATATATTAAAAGTTTAATTTTATATCAATTTTTGGCAAGTTTTATTAGACTAACGCGTGGTTTTACATGGTTATACAGAAACACTAAGGGAGTCAATTTTTTATTTTCTTTTAATTTATATGTTAAAAAGTATTTTATGATAAAAATTGCTAAATATATATAACTTAAAATGTCTAATTGGCAAAAACTAAAAAGCTATAAATAAAAAAATTCCGGACAAGTGCGAGACGGACTCGCCCACCGACGGTTCCGTGCAAATTGTAGGAAATCTGTTTAACTTTAATTTTCAACTTTTTTATTTTTTGGCATTTTTCCTTAATTTGTGGTGTAAGAACTTGCTGATTGCCTCTCGTGATTCTAGGTCAATGGAAAGTACCTACCTACCTAGAGTTGTCAATTTTGGTTAAAAGCAAGGTCTTATGGCCGGTTTACACGTGTCAAGTCGTTTAGTTGTTAACTAAATTTTAACTTAATTTTAAGTGATTACTTGCGTGTAAACAGACAATTTAGTAGCAAGTTGCAAGTTAAAATTAAGTTAACTACTTATCTACTAAATTAGAATGTTTCCTATTTTTTCGGTTTAGTTGCTGGGCGGGGCTTGTCACTTGACACGTTTGGACACTTGTTTAGTTACAAACGCATAAGTAGTTTAGTAAAACGCATAAGTAATGACGAGCTAAATTTAATTTTTTTTTCGTTATTTTTTTTTAAGAAGCATATTTAAAAAAAATATGCTTATGGAACGTAAAAAGCATGAATTATCTCGCTTAAAACAAATTTAAGCACAGAATTTACGATTTCAAAAAATATATATATTTGTATGACTGAACTAATATAATTATATAATTTTATAAGTATAGTTGTTTCAAATTATAAATATTAATAATTATTTTTATTGTTCATATTATTCTAATTTTAACATTAATTTATATTATGATTATTTAGTTATAGTAGTTAATATGTGTAATTCTTTAATTTAATTTCATCTATTATAAATATTTATTAGAAATTGTATTTAACATTTTATATATATTATTGTTTTAAAGCCGGAGATGTAATTAATGCTGTTTATGCCTATAATTAATGCTTGTACTAGAATAAGTAATCTTATAATATAATAATTTAGAATGTAGGTACAATGTATTGTTGGCATATCTTGCAAATAAATAAATAAATCTTGAATGAAATAAAGAGCTTCAATTCAATTCTTTAATTGAGCACAGATTACTTCGCCAATGTCACGTAGAATGGAGAAGACAACTAAAGAGCTTATCTACTTAACTACTAAACACGTTTGGACAGATAAGTCACTTAAAATTAAGTTAAAATTTAGTTAACTACTAAACGACTTGACACGTGTAAACCGGCCATTACAGCAAAAGTAAAGGAAAATTCCGAAAAATAAAAAAAGTTGAAAATTAAGGTAAATTTAGGTACAAGTTACAAGTTTTCGCGAAAATCTTTTTTGCCCATACCTTTTTATCGTGTTGACTCAGGATCTTGATTTTTATTCACCCGATAGGGACTGTAAACCTCAGTATCTGGTATAAATTTGAACTTGCTAGGTCCAGCCGTTTCTGAGAAAATCGGTGGTGACACACGGACGGACGAACAAGAGCGTGATATTATAAGGGTTCATATTATTAAGCAGTCAAAGATATACACGTTTCATCCTTGCCGCGATATGTACATTGTACAATGTAAATATGCCGCGAGATATGCGTACGCGGGAGTCTGAATCCCACCAGGCTCGCCGTAATTGAACAAATAGGAATAAAGATATAAAAGATATCTTATATATTTAAACGAGCTATTCTTGTATATATATATATATATATATATATATATATATATATCAATATATAATCTGAATCTCGGAAACGGCTCCAACGATTTTCATGAAATTTAGCATACAGAGGGTTTCGGGGGCGATAAATCGATCTAGATTAGTCTTATATCTGGAAAAACGCGAATTTTCGAATTTTCATGCGATTTTCTTTTGCATTTTCACAATTTTTGTATTGTCACTTATGGTGAGTGGGCGGCGCCACTGTGCAACTGTCAACATTAGACATGGGTAACTCAATGAATTTTTATGAGCTGCAGGTCAGCTCATGAGTCATATGCTTGAACCGGAGCTGTGAACCGGCTCACAGTTCAGCTCAATTGATGTTATATGGGTACTTATAACTATAGATTTACAGCTAATTTATGACTCTGTTCAAACAAATGACATGTATGATGTACCTAAATTATATTTGTATGTAATAAAGCAGCATTTCGAAAAAAGTTATTATAGTCATATTTTTTCGTTCTTACACGATTATATGGTAATGCTAATTTCATGCAATTATATCTTTACGTCGCGATGAAATGTCATACCGTCAGTCGCAAAGAGTATAATAATATAGATTATAGACTATAGTACAGGTCCGTCGGCTCGGGTCCATCAAAATAGCTGACGTTAGGTGGCGCTAAAGTGATGCACGGAGCCATATTAAGTAATATTGAGCTGTGAACCGATTATCTAGCAACTGAGCCGCAGCTCAACGGCTCTAGCTACTGTGAACTGAATATTTGAACCGGCTCTGAGCTGAGTTACACATAGTGAGTCAACATCGTGTCCGTATTTACATCAAGTTTAAATATATTTAAGTGAAAATAATCTAAAGAAAAATTAAATATAATCTAAGTAAATTTTTAAATAAAACCTATGGGTAATATGTAAACATCGCCAAGTCTTGATGTGTTGAAGAACAAATCAGTTTTTAAAAATTCACCTACCAAACAAATACAAAAGTGACAAACATAACTTAAAGATACTATCAGTGCAAAACCATCTTTTCTGTGTGTGATGACAATAAAACAAAATAATTTGTGAAGTGAAAGCGTAAAATATTAAAACATAAGTTTATAACCTCAAAAACTAATACTCTGTATAAAATTGAAATTCAACTAGGTATAATTGGTGCTCTTTTTCAATCAGCTTTTCTTCTTCCGACTTCACACTTAAGATGGAGGAGATAAAAAAGTTGCTAATAAACATACAACAAGAAATAAGACAGCAGAAAACAGAAATGTTAGAAATGAAAGAAGACATTAAAAATACAATCAACAATAATATACTTAAATGAAAAATTTAAACACTTAGAAATAAAAAATTCCTCAATAAATAATATAGAAAGACGCAAGAACTTGGTTATGTTCGGAGTAAAAAAAGGTGAAAAATCGGCACAAGTTTAGAATATGGGACATTACCCCTGGCGGAGTGGGTGGTATTTCTGGATAGGGGACGTGATAGGGCGTCGAAAAGTTACATAAAAAAATTTCCGAAAACGTACGAGTAAAAAGTTATTGAGACTTAAAGTTACAACATTTCCATACATTTTCATATATTTCTTTTCCACCATTCGGAGTGGGTGGTATTTTTAGATAGGGGAGGTGACAGAGAGTCAAAATATATTAAAAATATTTGAAGGAAACGTACGAGTAAAAAGTTATTGAGACTTAAAGTTATAACATATCTAACACATTTCCATACATTTCTTTACCTAAATAAGTGATTACAACAGATAAACATACCTTTAACGAATAGTACGCATCCTTTTTTATGTACAAGACATATTTTCACAACAATTAATGCTTTATTGTATTTAATATTTTAATAATTTCACAACACAAACAAAATGATCTTACATTTTGACAAAAGCGAAACTGACACTTTGTTTTATATTACCGCTTAAATGACAACAGATTATATTTGATTATTTTTGCTTTTTCTGTTGGTAATATTAATAAATAAATAAATAAAAAGAAAAATATTATTTTCGTTTCATAAATACATTTATGATTTTTTATCTGATTTATGTAAAATATATTGTTTTACAATTGTACATTTAGTAAAAAAAATCATTTTTTATCTGTGAATATTTTTAATTATTTATTTATTATTCGTCATATCTGGGTTAGGTTAGGTTAGAACATTTAAGATTATTTATTTATTATTCCTCATATCTGGGTTAGGTTAGGTTAGAACAGTTGCCACAACGCACGAGCCGAGCGAGCGAAGCGAGCGTGCCGCGGTAGCGGCCGGCGAGTGCCATAAATGACTAGAAAACTAGAAAATTCGAATTTCACGCAAAGTACAAATAAAGACAATCATCTGGAGATCATTTTGGCAATTGAAAGTGACGTTTTGACTCCAAGTGTCTAAATGGTAGTAATGTCAAAATAATGTATGGAGATGTTGTAACTTTAAGTCTCAATATTACTTGTACGTTTTCGGAAAAATTTTTATTTAACTTTTCGACGCCCTATCACGTCCCCTATCCAGAAATACCACCCACTTCGCCAGGGGTAATGTCCCATATTCTAAACTGCAGCCGAAAAATCCTATCATGAACTAGAGGAAAAAATAAAGTCTTAAACAAACACAAGGAGTTACAAGCCCAACTGAAGATAAAGAAAAAGACCTAGACAAAACAGCTTTCATTAAATATGACAAACTAATTATTGTGGATAATAATAAGAACACGTCTCGCCAATACTCAAAAAAAAGTCTGCCTGTATCTTCAGAAACGCCTTACCTCAATTATAAACAAAAACTAACAAATAAACAACATACAAAGAAAACCAAACCTGCTAATATTAAAGACTTTATATTACAAAAACCAAAATTAACTTTCAACCACACAAATGATAACCAGGAAGAACTAAAAACAACACAGCAAGATACAGTATATTAAACACAGTAGGAACCTCCTCATTTTTATCCCCCAGTACGGCCGGTCACTGTGGGGGAGTTCGACCGTAACCCTCCAAAGAAAAACAGACATACAATGAACAAAGGTAATACATATCTTCACCAGAAAAACTTCTAGAATTAAAAGCAGCATTTCCTACAACAAATCAAAAGAACACAAAGATAAAATTATAAACTTTATAGGCGTATCAAAAACAAATTATAGTATCTTGGAAACAAAATTTGAAAAGAAACCCTTTGCAATCATACAAGCATAATCTCGAACGGAGAGCTCTATGCAGGAGTACTTTGGAGGAGGCTTTTAACCGAGAGGGGACATGAAAAAGACATTTACTAAATAAATACATTTAATTATGAAATTAAATACCTAATTTATAACTATTGTCAGAATTAATGTATGGAAAGAAATTTTATTTATATGTATTATTGTAAAATGTTTAGTATTTACTCAATTGAATTATTTAATTTACTGTCATTGTTTATTTATTTGTTAATGATAATTTATATATATACAATATAATTTCAAATAATATTAAATTTTTTTTAAATAATTTAATTCCAGATTACAAAATTATTAGTTAAAAAATTATAAGTTAATAAATAGTCACTAAATTATATAATTTTATATTTCAGCAATGTGATATAGACATTTTTTCTGATAGTTTAAATTTATTTAAAAAGAAAGTGTATTTAAATATTTAAATTAGTTTTTTTTTCTTCTTTTGTTTATTGTACAACTAAAATGGCTCCTTATATTATCCTCTTAACCAAATAAAATTATAATGGAATACTTTTATAAAAAGCTGTGCATACTTTTAAATTAAATTTATATACAAATAGGTAAAATTATACCTAATTTTAAATAAATGTTTTTATGTAAATTTAGTTAGTAAGCCTTTATAATAAATAAATGAATAAATAAATAGAGCTTTATTATTATTATGATACCTTTTGCATTATTTCAATAAATTAATAATTAATAATTCCACGCAAAATATTATGTTCGATAATTTCGCATGCTCAGATATAAGCATTATGGTCAAGCGGCCAATGCGCAATTTTGATAACCACAGGTGTCTGGGTTCGTATCCCGGTCGGACACAAAGTTTTTAATTTTGTTTTTTTTTGTAGTTATTCAAATTCTTAGTTTTTTTTTAATGTTTTTTTTGGCCAAACACTCCGAGCAAGGCTCGGTCGCCCAGGTACTTATATTTAAAAAGCGTTAGTTGTAGGAATGGATTTTTAATTTAATTATTTTTTTTAACGCGGACATTACCGTATAAATCCTTTAACTTAAATAGAGTATTTAATTTAGAAAATATGGCCCATGAATAGATAACCCACGACCCGGAAGTTATGTTTAACTAGAACAGTTACTAAATAACCATATGTTATATACATTTAAATCATATCCGTTTCAAAACCAGTAGCAACTTCACGTCAAACTAATACCTAGTTACTTGCGTTTTTCTTATTAAAGGTTCATTTATTGATCCTCTAAGATATTCATCCGTAGGATGTAGATATGTAGTAGAAAATAGAAATAAAGTAAAAAGAAAATTAATATAAGTAATCTGAATAGATTACTTATATTAATTGTTTTACAACACCTCGCGGTTAATTTCTAAGAAATAAATTGTTAACCAAGTCACGTCACGGTAATGTTACAGTATTGCAACTCGGCCCTGTCCTTGAATTTATTTTTAGATGTCGCGACTAGATTTGGTGATATTTGGGGCCACTGGCTTCACGGGCAAGTACGCTGTAGAGGAAATGTGTAGCATATCAAAGAACTACCCCGAGATAACATGGGCTATTGCCGGTCGCAACCAGAGCAAACTGAAGGATGTGCTAAATAAAATATCTAAGAAAAATGGTAAGTTATATGAATAATTTAAATAATGTAAACTACTTATTTATATTGTACTAGCGACTAACGTCCCCAGATTGCTTCCCCAGACAAACTTTCATCCCCAATCACATTCCCTTAAAGAATGATTTCCGGGATAAAATCTATCCTATGTCCTTCCCAGGATCTCAAACTATCTTCTTACCAAATTTCATCTAAATCGGTATAACTTCACAATCTAACAAACTTTACCTTTTTATTATATTAGTATAGATAATATTTCCATTATCTACACTAAAATTATTTCCTTTGTTAATCTTAATAGCAGACTGCTTTTTGCTGCGACGACCTTCGTAATTACCAAATAGCATAACCAATTTAAATAAATTATACGTCGTTAATGTCTAGAAAATGCAAATGTCCCAGTATAGTATAAAAATAAAACTTCGAGATATTGCTTGCATATATTCTTATACTCAGTACTATTGCAATATATTTATAATCGTCGGTATGTCTGTCCGTCTAGAAGCTACCACCGGCTTGGAAAGCATTTCTGCTGAGAAGAGCCGGGGAGAAACTCAACTTTTGCTCTTTTAAATGGTCAGTTACGTTATTTATAATAATAATTTACAGTATTAGTCCAATCGGAATACGGTTTGGAAACAAAATATTATATATTATTATTATAATATTGAAAACCTGAAGTTTTATGATTTTAAAATATTCGCAGGTATATATTATTTCCCATTAAAACGATAGTGGTCCTCTAGCATAAAAACTTAAACAAAAAATACAGAAAGTAATAAGATTTTATAATGACCATACAAACAGAAAGGTGGAATTATTTAAGTCCACATAAATATGTGAGGTATTTCTTCAAAATTGAGATAGAAGTTTCTAAATTACTTTATACGACGTACTTATAAAATACTTAAATAAATAAAAATATTTTAAAGAAGATAGCTGAGATTTGGAATATTTTTGGATCCACAACTTCGGCTGGGAATTCGAAAGTAACAAAATTTTAACTATTTATAATTAATATACCGTAGCAAAAATATTCTTTTACGATTACCAATTAACATTTATCATTTTTAATTTCTTTTTAATTTTCGGCTACACCATCGACCATGAAGCCGAAGCCACCTCTTTTTACTTTTACTTTTTCATAGATAAAGATTTATCTTCTGTGAAGATAATAATAGCTGATGTTCAAGACGAGAAGTCTCTGCAAGAAATGTGTTCTCAAGCGAAAGTGTTGGTGAACTGCTGCGGGCCCTACAGGCACTACGGCGAGCCGGTTGTCAAGGCGGCCATAGACAGCAAGACGCATTACGTGGACGTTAGTGCCGAACCTGAGGTAAATTTAAGGAAATTAGTACTTTTTCGCTGTAAATAATGCGATTTGCCTGCAAGAAAATCAATTTAAAAGAAATTCTAGTTCTACATCAAAACACACATACAAAAGTCCGCATTTATATTAATAGTGTAAGTTTTCAAAATATGTTCTAATTTTTTTATAGTTCATAGAAATGATGCAGCTCAAGTACGACGAAGCAGCTCGCGACGCTGGTGTATACATAATAAGGGCGTGCGGGTTTGGGATTTTTCACCGATATGGGAGTTATTTTCCTCCAACAAAACTTTAAAGGTAAACTAAAAGGTAAACAACTAACTTATTTAGTGTCAGGCATATTTTGAGAGAACCTAGTAAGTTTTTGAAAGACATGTGAAGGCCTCCAATCCACACTTGGCCAGCGTGGTCTATGGCCCGATCCTCGAATCGAAGGAAGGCCTGTGCCCAGCGGTGGGTCTTTAAAAAGGGCTCAATACAATACAGTATTTTGGGAAGAGAGAAAGAGAATGCTACAGATGTGGGCAGCCTGCCGGTTGATGAAGGTTAGGAGGTTGCAAAATTCTTTCTTACAAAAAATAGAGTAACTATTCTTTCAAGTATAGTTTTAAAAGATTAAGTCCTATTATTATTTCGAAAAATATTTTCCATATTGTATTTTTTGGTTATCGTAAGACATAATTATGAAAACGATTTTTGTTAGTTAAAATAATTTTTATCGATAAAATGTCCGAAAAAGGCTTGAATTGCGCAAGCGACACCACCCGTTTTCGGCCGTATTTTCATCCCTCCGGAAAATTATAACTATTGATCTTACAGTTCCGAGAGTCCAGACTTTTTTAGATTTGGAAAATCTTAACTAGTTTTTGAGATATTTGCAAAAAACTAAACCTTTTTTAGTTAATTATTTATAACTTTGCGATTTTTGCAAGCGGAACTTGATTTTTTTTAAATCATCTACATGCTATTCCGAATCGAATGACCTCGTTCATATTTTACGAGATTGCTGAAAAAAGTTGTCCAAAAAGGCACTCATTAACTGTAATTAATATTTTAATGATAAGCGTCGCCGCGTCGGAGAAGACCGCTAAGTAATTAAAATAAAAACCAGAATACAAATAAAAAGAGATTGATAATGATAAAGTATTAGCCATTAAAAAAATAAAACTGTTATAAATTATATTGAATTAGAAAAATTGAATTAGCCGATTGAAATTTTACTCAATGCTAATAGTGAGTATGCGTCATTTTTTTTATACGATACCTGACATCTTTGTAAAATTGTAAAAAAATATTTAGCTCCAAAAAACTAAAATTTAGTAGGTTTATTTTTTTTAATATCATACCGATACGGATACTTTAAACGACCGCCGACACCGACTTCGAAAATATCTGATTAGGCATCTATTCTAAATGAAAACCTCCGTTTAGTTATTTTTTACATTTTAGTGCCTGGAAGTCGGTTTTTATTTTCCATTTTTAGTGTAGGTATAATAAGCAGGTAATTTGTAAGAAGAAAGTTTTTAATAACATATTCGATTAAACAATTTATTTAAAAAATAAATTATTGTGGATTTTTAAAAAAACCGCTTGACTGATTTCGATAAAATTTATATGGGACCTGGGAGTATACCCTTTGAAACAAAAAAATTTTTTCCAAATCGGTTCGGGCGTCTTCGAGTAATCGGTGAACATACATAAAAAAAAAGACTCCGACGAATTGAGAGCCTCCTCGTTTTTGGAATTGGAAGCCGGTTAAAAAGAAAAAATTAAATTAAATCAATTAAACGTGTAGGTATTTATAAACACGTTTTAGGTAACATTTAAGTGATCTACAAAATAAATTGCTTAAAATGACTGCCGTCCTCACGAATACATAAGTTCACTTGTTTTTGTACTGAGCAAGTAGCAGCCGATAATTTTCTTGTATGGACATCGTGCTTAAAAATACACGTTTAATTTTATTTTTATTTTTCGATGCAACGACGACTTTCTACTTAGGTACTTTTACTAAGTACAGTATGCCACGAGACCGGCTCGACAAAAACTGAAATATTTATTTTACCTGCCTGCGTGTAAACTCGGTTCTGTGACCGTAGTTTCTGCACTCAAACTTCTTTTGGCCTCAAAGAGTCTTTTGATCATAGTAAGAAATAAAACCATTTGGCACCAAAAAATATTCCGAGTTGATTAATCGTTTTACCGTACAAAATGTATGGGAAAAGCTTTTGGCGATTTCTGTGATTTCTAGTACTTATACCTTAAATGGTCCCATAAGTCTTTTGATCCCTGCATGAAAGAGGATCGATTGACATAAAAAAATTTTTGGTACATATTTTAGCATTTTTTTCTCTAACTGTACATTTTTTCCAAAATCTGTGAATGCAGTTCAAAATATCTTAAAGTTATGGATGGTCTCCTAGGAGCGTTTTTCTGTAACTATAGCATTTAAGGTACCTGCCCTTAATGTCCCGTATCAAAATTCCATCCTGTATATTGTATAATTTTTGCATTCTGATAAGGAAAATTAGTAGTAAATCTGTACATTCTAATCTATATTTTATGAAACATGTAGTAAGCGTAGCACCCGTCGACCTAGCCTACTAGTTCTCCCAAAAACTAGAACAAATTATGCAAATAATGATATTACACTTGAAGGTGCACAAATTTATAACAAATTACCATTTACTTTAAAAAATGTAACCTCAATTAACGGAATTAAATCTCAACTATCACAATATATTTTGAAAAATAACCAATTTCAATAAGTTTAATATATATAAACTTATAACTATATCCTATCTCGGTAACTGAGTACCTACTTATATGGCGATTTTTTTTGTATATTTTCACTTTGTTATTATGTTGTTCTCATGTAAGTGACTTTTTCTTTTTGAGAATAAAATTCAATAAACTTATTTGTATATATATATCGACTAAAAATCTTAAAAGTTCTTGATGAAATTAAACGCAATTTTAATGAATTATCCAAAAAAAGAGCAAATAGATACATAAGCTGTTAAATTTCAGGGACGTTGAACTCGGTTGAGTCGTATCTGAGTCTCGCAGTGCCGCTCAAGGCTGCACCGGCGGGTTGGTCAACTACGGCACCTGGGAGTCGCTCTTATATGAGTATGTACAATTACATATTATATTGTATAGTATATTTTGACCGACTTCCAAAAAGGAAAGCGATTGTGAATTGAACGATTATGCTCGAATTTCTACCACTGAGGGAACACTAGATGTTTTTTTAAGAATAAGTTATACCTCGTGAGTCAATCAAATTAAAAATCCACCCCTAAATGTGGAATAATCAATTTTATCTATATTTTTATCTATATTTAATGTCTATATAGTGGGTTTTTTTATTTTATTTTATGGAATACTAGCGACTCACCCTCGCTACGCTCGAGTTTATCCCTAGAATGTACAGATTCGGCTCGGTTAAATTTTTATTATATGTATAAAATATGTATAGATAAAGTTTTACCAACTATAAAATAACTATAAAAATATTATCTAATATTATATATATAATAGGCAGTGTACTTAGTTTTGTATTTAGTGTAAAAACTAATAATAAAAACTCTTTATTTCACACACAAAATTTAGTCAAAAACAAAATAATGCCAGGAATCAATGGAGAATCACTCGCGAAGTTCTCCGAAGTTCGTCGTACATTACTGCTCAAATCAGCCTTTTTTTTAATTCTATGACTTAAAAAAGCAATGTACAGTGACTTCGGCTAACTTTAAACGAGAGTGAAGAGAAGAGATGTAGGAAATAGCAAAGTGTGAAAGTAGAAGGGATGTGACCACAGAATTATAAATAAAATGATATATGCATACTATACATACATATTATAGTGTAAATAACATATATATCGTTATTCGTCTTTATTTATTAATCTAATACTAATATTTTAAATAAAACTATCTTTTCGGATTTTGTCTCTCCCGTGACCATGGATGCTGTAAAGCATTCGAAACGTCGGGAAACAAAAATACAAATAAATCCGCGACAAAATCCGAAAAGATAGTTTTATTTAAAATGTCAAATATTCGCGTAAATCTAAGAAAGTATTAATACTAATATTATAATGATGTAAAGTTTGTTCTTTTTTAGTTTGTGAGTTTGTAGAAATTAATCTCTAAGACTGGAACTACTGAACCGATTTAGATTAAATTTAACATGAAGATAGTTTGAGACCTTGGGAAGGACATAAGATAGTTTTTACCCCGGAAATCATCCCTTAAGAGGGATGGGTGAACGTTTGAATGGGGAATCAAACTAGGGAGTAGGGACGAACCAGAGCGAAGCGAGAGTGAGTCGCTAGTCTATACTACAAATAAAGGAGTAACATAGCGAAATCTGTACATGAAATATTTTTTAAAAACAATGCTTGTAACGTATTATGTACACAATGTAGACCTCAAAACAATAGTTATTATTTTTTTTTGTCTGTTTGTCTCTTTGTGTGTGCGCACTTCACACAAAAAGTAATGAACCGATTTCATCGAAATTTGGTGAAGTGATAATTTATTTCTCGGTTCAACATTTACCTTTTACTTCAAAAAAATCCTTCTTTCCCACGGTTTTTTCCCAAGGGAAAACACAATAATTGGTTTTATCGAGTCAATGTGATGATGTTCTCCTGACCGATTCCGGCCACGGCGGCCAATCTCATTGAGACTAGCCAACTGCGCAGGAGATATTATAGTGCACAAGTGTACGCGCAGACACAACGTGCACTCTCCATTCCTGTCACTCTCATACTCCGGTGGGACGACCACTCGACACGACCAGTGAGAGTTCAGGCGCAGGACCGACGGCTTTACGTGCTCTCCGAGGCACGGGGGTGAAACACCGCCAACTTCCCAACTCCGGGCTGTTACTGAGACTTAATATACATAAAGACTCAATAACTAAACTTGTCCCGGCCCGGGACTCGAACCCAGGACCTCCGGTGTGCAGCCGTACATGCTAGCCACTACACCACCGAGGCAGTTAAATGACACGAGTCGAAACAATGTACTAGAAAACTGTAGGTCTTAAAAAAGTCTACAGAAAAGTCCACAATAGTATATGGCTAGTTCCTAAGGTACACTCGCTATAACTATTTTTATTATATAATATTATTATATTCAAGGCAATGACTCACCGACTGACTTATCAATGTTCAGACCAAGCCGATGATGATAGACCGGCATCACTAAAAAGCCAGCTTTATATATCTCTGCTAATATTAAATGCGAAAGTAACTCCGTCTGTCTGTCTGTCCGTCACTTTTCTACTGACCCGGTTTAGATGAAATTTGGTATGGATATATTTTGAGACCCTGAGAATGACACAGGATAGTTTTTATCCCAGAAAACATGTCATATATATAAGGGGGTGAAAAGGGGGGTGGAAGTTTTTAAATAATATCTTTTCGGATTTTGTCGCGGATTTTTTTGCATTTTTGTTTCCCGACGTTTCGAATGCTTTACAGCATCCATGGTCACGGGAGAACGGGAGAATCTTCTCCCGTGACCATGGATGCTGTAAAGCATTCGAAACGTCGGGAAACAAAAATGCAAAAAAATCCGCGACAAAATGACTCTCCCGTGACCATGGATGCTGTAAAGCATTCGAAACGTCGGGAAACAAAAATGCAAAAAAATCCGCGACAAAATCCGAAAAGACAGTTTTATTTAAAAATGTCAAATATTCGCGTAAATCTAAGAAAGTATTATAAGAAAGTATTAGGGGGGTGGAAGATTAATTGGAAAATCAATTATTTCCCAAGAAGGGATGTATATATATATATATATATATATATATATATATATATATATATATATATATATGTCGTGTTATCCATATACTACGAACATCATCTTTAGTGGGTACTCATCTTGTGGGCGTTATCAGGGCTCAAATAATAAAGTATTCAGTGCTCAATACACAATTTAATCAGGGAAGTCACAATGTTATAAACTTGAAACGGTAATTCTAATGATTTAGAGCTAGCGGGTTCACAGTCACCGATCATCGACTTCCAACTACAATATCAAATATAACTCTCTATGATCAACCGACTTTACTACACCACGTATCTGCAAAGAATGTCGTGATGGCGTCTCGACCCCGCTCGAGACTAAATCTCTGCTCTACATTCAAAATAACTTTAAAAGTAAATTAAAGAACATAGTGACTTTAAACAATAACAAGGTTTCATAACAGAAAAAGGTAACTAAATCCTCCTCCGTCTCGGCCGTCCTGCTGTTCACACGCCCTCGGGTGATCTTGTGGGGCACTCACCACCGCTATTTCTTCTACCACGGCCGTCCTGCTGTTCACGCGCCCTCGTGTGATATTGAAAATCGATCTATAGAAAAAGTAACATTAGCTCGGCTATTCCTGACCAAATAACTGACCATGGTGGCCAATCTTACTAATACTAGCCATCGGTGCAGTAGATATTTAGTGCAAATGTGTACGCACAGACAGGCATAGACAGAACCAGACAAATTCCAATGTGCCTAACACAGTGAGTATTGGGCAAATTTTTGCTTTATATGTTAACAATATACAGCGATTCACATCATTCATTCTCCCTAGCTAGTTTTCTTTAAGACAAATTTGTTAATACTGAATCTTTAAAATGACTAAAACTTAAAAAACTATACACACGAAGTTATCATTGAGTACAAATTACAGAAAATCTCATTGAGTACAAATAACCGAAGTAAGTGTCTCATATTATGTCAATCAAGTTAAGTTGGTCCTACAAAAATCAATCGATGCGACACAACCCAACCGATGCCACACAGACAACTCTCGCCATTCAGGCTACATGTGCCACCAAGTTACTTTTGCCACACAGGCAACTCTCGCCACTCAGGCTACATTTGCTACAAAGACTCGTCAACGCCAAATAGGCACCCCATTGTCTAAATACCACCTTCCACCATCGTCGCACAGCAATATCAGAATCATACAGCCTCATCGTGCTACTTCGGCTTGTCAATGTTACATAACTTCGTCAATTCAGTCACCCTAGCTTGTGCTACGTAGGTTCATTAATGTTAAGCTGCTAGATATTATTAGAAATAACTACGATCACAACCGTCTTTAATGGTACATTCGGAAATCACTTGCCTCACACACCTAAACAAAATGGAAACGTCTCACCATATAATATTCTGAGTATTAGATTAAATGAAAGAGTCCACAGATATCCATTTTTTTGCACAGCCTGGATGCATCTCTGTACACCGTCTTCTTTTAACGCATCGTATACGTCTGATGTAGTCTGGTTTGGCGTAACTAAACTGGCTAAAGCAAGTCGACCTCTTTACGCTAAATACATATTTTGAACACTTGAAACAAGGCACCTGAAAATTCATATTATTAATAATTGTGTCACATAGTTGTTACTACCATCGACCCGATCTAATTATGTTTAATCTTTAGACCAAATAAGGACATGTGAAATCGGTATTATAATCAAAGATTTCTATCTTAGCCTGCGTATGAGAATGTCTTCGGAGTGTACACAAACATTAGTTTTTCGCTGTATCACCATTAATACAGTTGACTATTTCTCATATTTCTTTTGGAACATCTTTTACCTGATGGACTGCTAGAAATTTTTTTAATTAGTATCAACTGCTAAATAAAAATTTTATAACCGAAATGAATACGCAAGTTAAAGGAACTATGTAATTTTCCCAATATAATTCGCAAATATCGTCCGTTTATTTTCCGTCGATAAATAGTTAAATCTGTTAGTCAAATCTTTAAACAAAAATATCAACTCATTATTTTCACTTTAGAAATCCTGAAATAAAGAAAATATAAAGCAAACAATTACAATACAAAACATTTTTGACACTCTAAAATTCTGACACGATTTATATTTTATTTCATAATTAGAAGAAGGTCCTTATAAGCATCAAACAAAAACATTTCAAAAATAATTCTCGTAATTTATCGATTAAATATATTAACTTCATATATCATCCTGAAATAAACAAAATTTCCATTTAATTTTTCCATACATATTGTGTTCAAAAATATTTCTGCGATAATATCAAGAAAATCAAATCGAAGCTAGCAACAAATCTTTGTCGACGTCATGTCATTTCATAAAAATTAAATTGAGACATCTATGATTATTTTAATCTTTAGAGCATCTTGCATACGAGTATATCATATCATCATGATTCATGATTATCAAAAAGTAAATCTTCTGTAAAACAACCCGCATATGCATCGCCATTTTGTGCGTCCGTTTTAAATAACATTTGACATCGCATTTCGTTTCAGTTTGAGAAAATTTTTGCAACAAAATTTTCAAATGGCCGCTGTCATCTATCTTTGCCCTGTTCTTCAGGTATCATACCACTTCTGATGTCGTGTTATCCATATACTACGAACATCATCTTTAGTGGGTACTCATCTTGTGGGCGTTATCAGGGCTCAAATAATAAAGTATTCAATGCTCAATACACAATTTAATCAGGGAAGTCACAATGTTATAAACTTGAAACGGTAATTCTAATGATTTAGAGCTAGCGGGTTCACAGTCACCGATCATCGACTTCCAACTACAATATCAAATATAACTCTCTATGATCAACCGACTTTACTACACCACGTATCTGCAAAGAATGTCGTGATGGCGTCTCGACCCCGCTCGAGACTAAATCTCTGCTCTACATTCAAAATAACTTTAAAAGTAAATTAAAGAACATAGTGACTTTAAACAATAACAAGGTTTCATAACAGAAAAAGGTAACTAAATCCTCCTCCGTCTTATATATATATATATATATATATATATATATATATATATATATATATATATATATATATATATATATATATATATATATTATTAATAATTTTCTATTTAATTTAACACATTTTGCATAAACTGTTAATATGATATCATAATATTTAACTTCAACTTACGTGTCTTTGAATATTGAAAATATTACTTATTTTTTTTTATTTCTATATGTATTATAGAATGGCGCATTACAACGAGTTGCCAGCTTTGAGGAAAAAAATGTACCCAAAGGAACTGCCCGCGTTTGAGCCTAAATTAAAGCCTCGGTAAGCATTGTTTATATTTGAAATTACCAGCGCAATATTGATTTGCCCCTGATAATAAAAAATAATATAGGTTCAAGTAATAATTATTTACTAACATACCTAGATCATGCATATTTCAGCCTAAAACTTATTATTTAAAAAAATAAATACCTATGTAGATACCTACATAAAGAATGTATAGCGATTAGGTAGGTACATCCAAAACAAAGCTTTCTTTTTTATAATTATACTAGCATTGCTATGACCAAAACCAAATTCTTAGGTTTTATATATTAGTATACTCTCGTATTAGTAGGTATATTAGTTAACCCGGATAACCAGCTATTACCATACCAAATTTCTTCAAAATCCCTCCAGTGATTTTTCTGTGATGCGGTCACAGACAGACAAACAGACAAATATTCTTAAAACTATAGGTTCGGCCTCTGTTAGCGATAATAATGTGTATTTCAATAAAATTTTCCAAAAAATATTTAAAGCACAGATACTGCTTCATTAAATTTTAATGTATCTATAGATGTAACTAATTTATAAAGCCAAAAAGATTGTTTTTTGATAATTTAAACACGGGCGGGGCCGCGGGTAATTTAGTAGTAATTCTAATAAAATCATAGAAAGGTCGAATATGTACATACATTTTTTTGGAATTAAAACTACGTATTTTAAAGACACATGGCGACATCTATTGACAAATATCTAAATAATACAAAAATAAATATTCATCAAAATAATTCTTTTAATGAATAAAATAGTGTGCTATTGATATACTTTTTCAAGATTAGCTATTTTTAATAGTTTTTGACAAATTTAGTAAGTTAACTTACTAAAATCTATATAGTATCATCTTTTTTTTATTCTAACCAGTTTTTGTATTTTTTCTCAGAAATGAGATATTTTTCTGCGGTAAAAAGTATTATATATGTTGACCCGGATAATCAGCTATGATCATACCAAATTTCATCAAAATCCGTCCAGTAGTTTTTCTGTGATGCGGTAACAGACAGACAGGCAGATAAAAATTCTAAAAACTATAGATTCGGCCTCTGTATCGATAATAATGTCTATTTCAATAAGATTTTCCAAAAAATATTTAACGTACAGATTTAACTTAGTTAGAATTTTATTATATGTATAGATTTAGTATTTATTAATAATTATTGCGAAAGTACTTGAACAGTCTACACATTTCTTATGTTCATGGCCGACTTCAAAAAGGAGGATATACTCGATTAATTTGTATTTTTTGTGGGTATGTGAAGATATTGTAACTACACTCGACGTCTCGTGGAACACAGAAAAATTAGCTCTGAAAAAAGCCAATTCTCTGCATGAAGCATGATGTAGTCCTGAAAAGAACTACATATATCCTACACTCGACGGTAGCTATAATATCTTTACCAATTATAAATCGATTTTCAGAAATATTTTTTTATTACCTTTTTTACGATACAAAAATGATATTTTAAAAATGTTTATTATTTCCATACATTTTTTATTTCCTGTCATTGGTGGCCATACACACAAAAATCAAATCTCAAGCCCAAATTATTAAATCGGTCTGCAGGCGGGTGATACACAGGTGGATGTCCGCGTGGTGCGCCCCCTTCCCGAGTTGCGACGAGGCCGTGGTGTACAGCACACAGCGTTACCTTTATGAAAAAGAACACATACGACCGGCGCAGATCAAGACGTACGTGAAGGCTCCCAACCTACTGCTCATGATAGTCACGTTTGCTGCCGTTTTGTTAATTTACTTTCTTTCACGCTTCACGCTTACACGCAAGTTTATGCTGAACTGGCCACGACTCTCCACTATGACCGTTATCTCTAAGACACCAAGCGAGTCGGCGGTGAATGCGACGAAGTTCAAATTCAACCTATTCGGCGAAGGTTGGGATGCTGGGACTGATGCAGATGCTGTTCCGCCTAATAAGAAGATGATGGTTGAGGTAAAATTATTTTCACTGTTAAATTTTTTTAGTTGCGATGTACTTAATAAGGAATCTTCGCGTTCAAATTAAATCATATCAAAGTAAACTTTGTTCAATTAGAATTTTTAACACCCGACACAAAACGAGGGGTGTTATAAGTTTGGCGTCGATGTCTGTTTGTATGTGTGTATGTGTCTATTGTGGCAACCAAGCTCTCAAACGGATGGACTGATTTCGATGCGATCTTATTCATTTGAAAGTCGGTTTCCTTGCGGTGGTTCTTAGCTATGTTTGATTAATATCGGTCTAGTAGTGTAAGAGTATCAGCTCTTTTCTCTTCCAAAATGATAATCATTTTGGCGTATGATTACTCGATTAAGTGCTTCACGCGTGCCAGTGTAATCGTTAAATGACAATTAATTTGCGAAGGGGGTTTTTAAATTTTTAATTCATTAATACAAGTAGGCTCTTCTGAATAATTGATTTTTGTATTTTTTACATGTAAATTAAATGTTACTATTGCAAGCTCTTGAGAAAGCTACCACCGGCTGAAAAGTCAACACGAAAAGTCCCGACAAAAAACACAACAGTTGCTTTTTTTAAAATAATAAAATAATATTAGTACAGGATTTACTCATACTGGGTTTTAGATATTATTCATTAGAAGATTTAGATGGGCATAATAATAAAACAATGACTAGCGTTAATTCCAGCAAAGGAAAAATAAACTTTACACGTTGTCACCAGGTGTCAGGCTCGAACGGCTACAGCATGACGGCGGTGGCGCTGATCTTCTCCGCCATCACGTTGCTTAAAGAGAGCGACAAGATGCCCGCGTGAGTAGACACTACAGTACACCTATTTATACTAATATCCTACTTGCCGATTTCGGACACAGCAGGCAATCTCACTGGAACTAGCTAATTACCCATGTGACACTTTATTGGATAAATGTGCACGTAGTTCTATCGGGACTTTACGTGATTTTCATGAAACACCACCAACTTCCCAAAAACGGAGAATTTAGAATTTCTTGACATAAAAACTCAATTACTAAAACTGACCCGACCTGACCTTGAACCTAAGATCTCAGACTCCGTAGCCGTATATTCTAGCCACTAAAATATATAGTAAGATAAATCTAACGTTTAATCTGTCTTAATTAGGTACGGAGTGATAACACCAGGCGTCGCGTTCCGCAACACAAACCTCATAAACCATCTCAACAAAAATAATCTAAAGTTCGAAGTTGTCGACAAGGAGTAAAATTAGCCGAAAGAGTATTAGAAATTAAGGCAGTATTCTTACGGATAAAAAAGTAAAAAAGTTTTTTTTAACAACCGAGAAAAATGTGAATAAAAATCTTATGGTGGAATTGGTTATATAGATGGCAATAAAAAATAGATCAAACAGATCCTGGAATGTATATATTCCAAGTAATAAAAAAATTGGGTAAAAAGAAAAGTAAATAATTTTTGTTGTGGTATAAATCAATTAATGATGTTCGAGTGTTTTTTTTAAATAAACATTTCGAAGTAAGATACTTTTTTTTAATTTTTGGTATATTTGTAATTTATATACGGGAATATTCAATATTCCCAGTTATATTATCTTAGTCACTGAAAATTCAGACTTTTAGCTTTATCACCAACAAGGTTACAAAGAGTCTCGGAGTCGAAAATGTCCTGAACGGCATGACGTCGAAAAAAAGGATGCGGCTGTGCCTTTTTTACTCGACTTGGCAGGGACAATGGACATTAGACATTGTCTTGAATAATTATATATTCATATAATATTATATGATCTGTGATTACACTTATAATGTTAGAAGAATTAAAATATTAATTATTAATAAAATACTAACTAAGTTGCAAACAAACGACATGGCTATAAAATTTTATAAGGCAATAAAAAACATTTATTACCTAACATTTTACAGTAAAGTCGACTGATTGCAACTTAATTGGATTAATTTCATATAGTACCTTCACTTGTAAGATGTCATGACAATGTTTGTGTGGTGTTTAAATGAAAAAAATACCATAGAAACAATGTAGCAGCAATGAGTACCTATGTAATTAAATATGCTGTATGTCGCCCAATGCCATCGATCAAAAAAACTAAGTTTAAAAAAACCGACTTCAAGAATTAAAAAAAAGTATAACTGAATAACTTAATAAAGATTTAATTTAATACACCTCTTATGCAAACTTAATGCCTTTAATATTAATAAAATACTATTATTTGTATGTGCTACCTATTGATAGGTTTGAAGTCGCGGCCAAGCCAAATGTAATAGTAGGTAACTACACTCGCCGCTGAGAAATCTGTACTAAACCTAAAGGCACTGATTTTCATGTCAGTAAATACTTAAATTTAATAAACGTACACAGCATAATAATATATTAACGCATTTATATTAACGGAATTTGATTATAGATTCAAATTTCAATAAAAATCTTTAAAGCTTAAAAAAAACTTTAAAATCTTAAAAGATACACGGTAATATTGGCGTCTATAACGCCCACAGGACTATTAAATAGAAAGCGGCACAGTGGCGTAGATAACGATAAAAAAAAGATTTCTTAATTCTTTGTAATGCAACCAACCACTCCGAATCCGACTAAAGTATAATTATACATATAGATGGAATCCGTCAAAAAACATCGAAAGTGTGATTTTCCTGTGGTTCTGAGTCTTTTGTATTTTTAAGCATTACATCGACTTCGAAAATATCTGATTAGGTATCTATTCTAAATGAAAACCCCCGTTTAGTTATTTTTTGCATTTTAATGCCTGGAAGTCGTTTTTTTTTAAGTTTTTATTTTTCCATTTTTAGTGTAGACGTAATAAGCAGGTAATTTGTAAGAAGAAAGTTTTTAAGTTTAAGATTAAGCAATTTATTTTAAAAAAATAATTTGTTGAATTTTTTAATCACCGCTGGACCGATTTAGATAAAATTATTTTTAAATAAATAATTTAAATTAACCTGGGAAGTATACCCTTCGAAACAAAAAAAAATCCAAATTGGTTCAGCCGTCTTCGAGTAATCCGTGAACATACATAAAAAAAGATTCCGACGAATTGAGAACCTCCTCCTTTTTGAAAGTCGGTTAAATTTCCTTGCAACCATTGCACGTTAGTCTGAGTAACAAGCATTGTTGCTAAATGTTTATATTTTAGAACTTATTTAAAATAATAATTATAAACACAACTAAACGGACCAATCCGTGGCATATTGATAGTTTATAAAACAAAATATTATAAAATGATTATTAACGGCCACTAGAATGCTGCCCACTGTGTGGGTTGACGAATGCATCAATAAAGTTATAAACTATACGGGCATACTTACGAAATACCGCCTAATTCAGTAACCTTCGAACTCGCAAATGATACTTGATTATCCAATTAAATACTTTCTACGTGCCGCCACCTACACAATAATAAATTCGTTCCGAGTGAGCACCGTTGTCCCTTCATAGTTCATGCTTCAGTTATTATTCAAATTTCAAATTTGATCTTCAACAACCGTTCCGTTGTACGCTCGTTTCAATCTGTCAAATATTAAAATTATAATTCATTATCAATTCAAAGCTTATGTTGTAAATATTAAGCATAATAAAAACTATAAATAAACGAATATACTATATTGATAATTATTCTTACAATTATCACTTATTAGGCTTAATATAAATTTGTTTATTGTTTATACGTATAACGGAACGCACTTCTGTCTTCTCCCAAACGTAAACAAAGAAATGCCGTGCGTGACTGACGTTAATTTGAAAAGTTAACAAAAAACAAATTTCGAACAATGTGAGCACAGTGTTTGTAATAATCTAATAGATTATGAGTATTATATCAGATATTTTAACTATAAAAGATTATATTTGACATTCAATTTTGTAATCTATAAATAAAAGTGATAGCGCAACAGGAAATCCCGCAGGAAATGAAGACATACAAGTCGCGAGCTCGCAGACTTTTAATTTAGTTTCCATTTGCGAAAACCATGGGTACGACGTACCGGGAGCTTTTTAAATTATACGATTTAATTCAAAGCGGCGATGCGGGGTAAATGATTTTTTTATAAATGTAATTTTACAAGAGTTTTTATTAATTATGAGCGACGAGTATAAAAATTATTTGTTTTTTTTTAATACAGGTGTGTCGAGAGATTTTTACGTGAAACCTCCGCGGATTTAAATATAATTTTACCATGTAAAGGTATAGGAGTATTACACTTAGCTGTAGGAATAGAACCCCAAGAAAAATCTAGGAAATGCACTGAACTAATTTTAAAACATGGTGGAGATCCAAATTTAAGGTAAATATTTATTATTTTTTTTACTTTCATATATATATTTATATTTTTTTCATATATATAATTTGATTAGTGCTAATTTATTTTTTGAAAATAAAACCACTATTTTAGCAATGACGAAGGCATAACACCAGTACATATAGCCGCAATATGGGGCAAAGTAGACAATTTAAAACTTCTTATTGGCTGTGGTGGAGATCCTTGCAGACAGGACCTGGACGGAATATCTGCATTTGACTATGCAGTGAGGGAAGAACAATGGGATGTTTACGATTATCTACACAATGTAATTGACCAAAGCGATGATTCTATTGAATCTGAATGTGCATATACTTTAGATTTGGGTAAGTTTGTATTTAAATTTTTGTTTTTATATAATTGTAATTGAATAATAATTAAATTATAACAAAATAAAATAAGTAAAACAAAACACTAACAAAATTAAAAACCTAACCAAATGAAATTCTTAAACCTTTCTTCCGATTATTAAAATATTTAAGATGGCTAGTTCGATAGGATTTTTAAATTGTTGTTGGATATTAAAAATATTTAAATGCTCTAAACAAAAGTAACTGTATACACCTTAACATTATAAAAATACACTAATTTTAAAATGAAATATAGTTTCTAATTACTAGGTGCATGGTACTATTTGGATTAAATTAGCCCGAGGGAAAACATTAGAAAGAACAATATATCACTGTTGGCTACATATATTTCTGTTGAATAAAATCCCATATCTCGAATTTAACACAGACCTAAATAACTTTTTCTATAAGAATATGTCCCATGGGAAATACTTGATAAAGAGATAAAAATTAAAACGTAACCTGATTTTCTGATTAGTAAGGATTGCAACTACAGCGATTTCATACAAAAGGTTTAAAATGACAATTGTTTTGCTGTTGTTGTTATTTTCAGTTACCGTCATAAATATAATAATTCTCTTATATTATTTACACAAAATATCGAAAATATGTAATAACTAATATTATAAATATAAAAGTTTGTGAGTACGGATGTTTGTTACTGTTTCACGCCAGTACAAGTGAACGGATCTGGATAAAATTTAGCACAGAGATAGACTATAGTCTGGGATAATATATAGGCTACTTTTTATCCCGGAAAATTGTACGGTTCCCGTGGGATAGGTGTGTTTTTATTTTCCTAGAGGAGCAAAGCGAGAGTGAGCCGCTAGTATGTAATAAAACTAATGTTCTAAATGTAAAAGTCTGCAAGTAAATATGTTTGTTACTTTTTCATGTGGTAATACCCAATGGGTTTAAGTGAATACTTTCTTAGATTTACACTAATTTCAGTATCTCCCGTGACTATGATTGCTGTAAAGCATTCGAAACGTCGTCGGGAATCAAAAATCAAAAGAGATAGGCGAAGAATTTCGAAAAGATGGATTAAAGTGAAACTTAAAATAGAAATACATAGCTTATATCCTCGTTTATCATATAGCTACTTAAAGCTAAATTTATTGACGTACCTACGGGACCATTCTCAAAAATGTTAGAAATCGCACATTTTGACTTAAAAAATACGCATGTAAAGATTTTGTGAACCCCCCCCCCCTCTCACCCCCTTTCCCCTCAGTGCCTTTATGTAATTAATTAATGACCCCCCCTAATTTGAAATCTAAATCGTGGGCAAAAACCAACAGGAAACATAATTTAGAACTTTTATGCTTAACTTATCCTGTTACAAACAACTTCCATGATTGCATAATATTTAGTGCCAAAATTTCACAATGTGAGAGACAAGCTCGCAAGTTTTGTTTACTTTTTGCGAACAGTGAGTGAGTCATCGTATACTACATCTTTTACATTTCTTTTTTTTTTCAACCAACTTCAAAAATAATGTCATGCTACAATAGATAGATACGTTTTTTTTATGTAAGTAAATTAATCCATTTCGAGGCTGATCTTACTTTTAATTAATTATATTCTATTATTGTAAATCCCAAATTGGCCCCATATAATTTTCTTTGACAGAGCAACTTTCGATCTATAATATTAAAGCTATGTTAGTTTCTCGGCGTAATATAATTAAGTTTTTGTTGATTAGAGCAGTATTTACCTGGATTTATATTAAAATTTAAAATCAATTCTCATGTTATGGTTTTTTTTTCATTTTAACTTTTTCACATTATTAGTAGACTAAATACTTTACAAAAAAAAAACTATTGCAAAAAAAAACGAACTAAAATTGAGAACAAGTTGACAAAGAAACATAGTACTAAAATTAATATAAATTTATAAATAAAAATAAAATACATACATACAGGTCAAACACATAACCCGCACTTGGGCTTCGCCGCAGTCGGGTAAAAAATATAAAATAACAATATATAATTTATAATAAATAACAATATATAAATTTCTTCGGCAAAATATTATTACCCCCATGATATTCTAAAAAACTTAACTATAACCAAAATAAAAGTAATTACAAGAAAACGTAGGGATGAACATACAGACATATATACAGGTCAAACACATAACCAGCTTTTGGGCTTTGCCGTAATCGGGTAAAAATCACTTCAATTTGTACGGCTTTACAAAAATATGTGCCTAGTAGGCACGTTGTAGCTTATTATTACCTTATCATTTTAGAACACGTTTCAATCTGTAACAGTGACTCACGCTCGTACTATAAGTAGGGGTCAATCGTGGAGTCATCCGTAAACTTAAAAAGTTAATATTTCATTTCATTCCATAATAATTATGACTATTTATTAATTTGTTTTATTTATTTACTTTGCTTTGGCCTGTCTCCTTCTGAATAAACAAAGAAAATAGGGTTTGGTACGTATTCCGCTAGTATAAAAGTTAGATTGGTTGATTTCAACATTACTTAGAACAAAGTATAATACATATTAGTTAAGCTTAAAAAAAGCATTCACTTCCGAAATCGAACCTGCGTCCTACGCACTAGACAAGGTAATAAATACTTGTCATATTGCGCCATGATCACGAAAGTCGGCACTGACCAATGATATGTATCTATACAACGAACTTCTGTTATAATACGATAGTTTATGTGTGTATGTTTGTTAAACCTTCCTTCCCTCCTCCATCTCCATCCTCCGATTAAAAGTACACACATATGACCTGACATAGGATACCTAGTGTTAAGCCTAGGGACGCACGTTATCAAAGCGAAATTCGCTACACGCTTGTACATAATCGATAGATCTATACATATAATAAAATTGTAACCAAGCCGAATCTGTACATTAAATATATTTTGAATTTTTTTATTGAAATAGACATTATTATCGATGCAGAAGCCGAATCTATAGTTTTTAGAATTTTTTCCTGCCTGTCTGTTACCGCATCACGGAAAAACCACTGGAGGGATTTTGAGGTATAATGGTACCTGGTTATCCTGGTTATATAGGATACTTTTTACTGCGGGAAAATATCTCATGTCTGAGAAATCTATACTAAACGTTAAAACGTAAGTAGGAACGAACCCGAGCGGAGCGAGGGTGAGTCGCTAGTAAATAACTAAGTTTTGCATCGATTAATAATCCTTGTTAACATACTTTTATTAGCTTCTCTTGTAAATTATAATTAACTTTATCTTATCCTGGATATAATGAATGTATAAAATGGGAATAATAATAGGTACAAATACTTTATGCCATCGTTTTCCTACTTTACATATGGTCAGAAACGTATTGAAAGTTTATTTTTTTTTAAAGTATAATTTTAAGAACACTATTTACGTAAACAATTTAAGTTTTCAATTCAATTCATTTGTTAATGATTTCAAAGCACATTTTAATCGACATGATCGCAATTATTATAATATTAAAAAAAAATCACAAATACGAGCAAAACCGTATACAGTCTTTAGTTATCAATAAAACCTTGTCACATCATGTTTAAATCACATTTTCATATTTACGACACCAGTGGGTGTTCAAATTTAGTTTATTTTCAAATTAATGTATTACATACGTGGGATGGCTAGGCAATTTATTTTGTTGCTAGTTTACGCCTACGACACGCACGAATGCGCTCCCTTTCTAAGATTATAAGCGGAAATAGAAGCCACCGCAAAGATGGTTAATGTGGTCGTTGTACATAACATTGTAAAAATAGCTATATCTCATTAAATATCGTGGTAAAGCTCTTTGCTGCTTATTATTGTAATATCCTGTATTATCGAATATCTCGATATACCTACTCGTATACACAATGTATGTATTTTACATGCACAAATAAAACTTTACGTATTTTTATTTTATTTATTTGAACATACAATTTACAATAAATAAAACTAAAAAAAAACCAATTAGGTACTAAAAAGAACCAGGTACTAAGAATAAAAAATAACTGAGCGGAGGTTTTCATTTACTATAGATACCTAATCAGATATTTTGGAAGTCAGTGCCACACTTAGCTTTCCTTAACACAAAACCATTTAAAGTAGCAAAATCGGTCAAGCTGTCTCCGAGAAATCGATGAACATACATAAAAAAACATACACAGACGAACATAGAACCTCCTCCTTTTTGGAAATCTGTTAAAAATACACTCATTTACCAAAGAAGTTTTTCACAAATAAGAAACACTAAGCATTAACGAAACATTAAGCAAAAATGATTGACAAAGTCTACGCAATATAAAGTACATAAAAACAATACTTATCTAAAAACTAAATATTAAAAATTATACTCATCTACAATCTTCAAACTAAAATATGTATGTAGATCGGCATTTAGATAGCTATCGCTTTGCCCACGTGCTGTTTTAATTTAGTTTATTTATATCTATTACATTTTTTTAATTATTTCATTAACCTTAAAAGTTTCATTTAAATACGTCCAGCTGTTCGCGGATCATACGGAGGTAAACAAGGGGACAAAAATTTTAAAAACTTTATCTACTATCAATATTATATGTATGTATATCTTATCTGTCAACCCCAAAAACTATTAAGACATTTTTTAAATTAATAGAATAAGATGTAGAGTCATATTATCATTTTGAATTCAATATAATTTTTAACATTATCGTTGTGATCAAAAATTAGTATTGCTGTAAAAAAACTGTAATTAAACGTATGTGTGTTTAAATAATTAATTAAAACAATTGAATAAATATGATGATGGTCTAGGTATTTAATAGCTTAAAAACATTCAGTAAAATCAGTTCACGATTTGCGAAGGTATCGCGATACATAAAACATACACACATCCGAATTGAGTACCTCCACCTTTTTTTAAGTCGGTCAAAAATGTCATTTTATAACACACTCAAGAACATATGAATAAGTAAAAAAAAGTTTACTTTTTAACTAAGTTAGAATTCCGAACAGCATCTGCTGTTTGTTAATTAGCTCTTAAGAGCAACCGCAGACTGCAGACTTTCTTACTATCTATATAAATTTTAATATTTTTTTTTCATTGTAATTAAATACTAATATATATTTTTTTCTGGATGCCATGAGCAGGTACCAACAGGGTAGATTCATGACGTCCAGAAAAAAATAGCTTTTCGGGTATAAAAAGTATTGAGAAGAATAGGCGAAATAAACTCAAAAGGATTAAAATTATTTTTTATCTCGAATATGCGATCAATAGAAAGATATAGGTTCAATGAATTTTTCATCGCTCCCTACCGAGTTTATAACGTGCGCGCTTGATATTTCTTGCTACTGATTTATGAATCCGTATCTGCCGTTAGAAAGTCTGCAGTGTGCAGGTACTCTTAAGATTTGCGTGATAATACGCTCAATGAACAGCTGTGCGTTCCACCTGCATCTTACTTTTGCGAGATTTGTGCCTTACGAGCAGGTTTCGTCATACACCTGCCATATTTTGTTTTATTTCTATACTAGTACAAATACAGTACAATTAAAATAAATGTTCTTATACATAAGTTGAGCAACTAAAATATAGAATAACTATATGTAGATATGAGATATTTTTTCGCAGTAAAATGTTGACCCGGATAACCAGCTACCATCATACCAAATTTCATCAAAATCCGTCCAGTAGTTTTCTCGTGATGCGTTTGCAGACAGACAGACAGATAAATATACTTAAAACTATAGATTCGGTGTCTGCATAGATAATAATGACTATTTTAATAAGATATTCTAAAAACAACATTGAATGATTCGATTCAATTAGAATTTTATGATGTAAATATTTTAATTACCTACAGGCTAACCTAAGCTTTTGCTTTTTCTATTAAAACTTATTTTTAAAAAAGCTAATCTAAGATTTAATTTTTTCTATTAAGACTTGTTTTTAAAAATGTTTGTTTTCTATTAATTTATTTTATTATTTTAAACATACTTGTTATCTTATCGTGTACCGCGCATCACATACCTACCTTTTTAACGTTGAAAAAATTAATTAGGTACAATTAGCTGTCAACAATCAAACCAGTTTTTTAGATGGGATATTATAACTGTTGATACATTTTTTACTTAATTAAAATTATATAAATTAGAAATATTTCAAAAAAATATTTTCCAATTAAATACTATTTATTTTAAGTTCACAGAAACGAAGAGACATATTAGACATGTATATAAACTGGCGACTTAACAAATACTAATTGTTAAGTGCAGCTCTTACCACAACTCATTAGTGAAAACCGCACCCAAATCAGACAAACAGACAAAAATTCTAAAAATCATCGTTTTTGGTTCGTTTTTGGATCAGTTACAATTTTATTATATGTATAGATAACGCGTTTGCTTGGGAATCTAGTGAAATGGGTTCAAATCCTGCACTCGCACCTCTGATATTTTTGTGTGCGAATCATTTCCAACATGATGAAATAGGCAAAGACAAGACGGACACAGTTCAGTACATCTTTCTCCTCTGCTTGTCAACCGATGGTCTTTTTTTTGTTTAGTAGCTATCGGCTAGTTATAGTGTTATCAATAAAAAAATTTGGTAAATATTTCTTTTTTAACGTAGATAAGTAAACTCTATTCATATATGTTTTCCTCAAATTTTCAATTTTTTTTTATGCTCAAACTGGGCGAACACTGGTATATACAAAACTATCAATTTAGAATCTCCTAAGCTCGCTAAGTAAGTTTTGCTACGATTAGTTAATTAATGAATTAAAAAAGTTAACCGGAAGCGAATTAACAGGAAGTATTTAACTAATATGGTTCAAATTCAAACTATTTAACTCGACTGCATCCGTGCAATTGCTCTAATAAAACCATTTATGCATTCGACATAAACTTAGATGAAAATGATGAAACCGTTTCCTGTGGGTATTGAATTCTTTAACAAAACAATAGATTAAAAGGAGCTAATGAAAGGTTAGAATCTTTCATTTTCCTTGATCATATAATAATAGTATTTAATAGCAGTGGTCGCCCAGTGGTTCGCGCTTGCTAGAAAACCAAGTGAAGCGGATTCAAAGCACAGCTTGACATATCATTACCATGAAAATATCTTGACAAAAACGGCACGTCTAAGAAAACTTAGCTAGTTTCTGAAAGTCATATAACGTCCGCTTGATTTTGAGCCAGACTTGGCCAGCGTAGTGGACTATGATCTGATCGTATTAAGAAGAGGTCTGAGCCCAGCAGTGGGATGTTAAATTATTCTTTAATAGTATTTACCCAATCGTCTATTTGTCAGTAGTTGTTAATTCAAAATATAATCTATATTTCCGTTACGAATTCTTTTTCAATCTAACATATTACTCAATCACTAACAATTTACAAACTTTCACATTTATCTTAGTATCATATATTTTTTTTAATAATAATGAAAGCGATAATTTAATTATGAAGATGCTAAGTTTCAATCATTTCAAAAAGTTTAAATCTAGAAAGCCAAAATAAAGCCTGAACTCCACATTCAGCTCGCTCCAATACAAAGTATAGTCAAATATAATTGTTTTGGACTAAAAATAAATACACGTATAGCCCAAGCTGTAGCAGTTTAAAATGATTGCCATAGATATTAATTAATAATTACTTACATCACTTCCAGAACGAATTTTAGTGACAACAGACCAAATGGTCGCAGAATACGAGGTAGTGAATGAGAATCAAAACAACACATCAGTTAGAAAGTCCGAAATGATAAAAGATTGGTGTGACAAGAATAGCTTAGTGATAAACAAACTGTACCCAACCATACTCGGCGAAACATACCTCGTAGATGACGATTGGAAGAGCAATGATAAACCAAAAAATTCAGACAATTTAAACGATACGATTACAACCTTCAAAACATGTGTCTCCCACAAAGACAGTATAGACATAAGTGGACTATGTCGTCTAGACCAGACTATAAACAATAGTGGACTACCTCCTCCTCAACAGACAGACAAAAACTCGAAACGAAGTAGTATATATGAGAACTTCTCACTCCCCGGATCTCCTAACAGTATTATCCATAGGAACTATAATACAAAGTCGAGTTTGAAAAAGAATAAAAACTTATCAAATGAAATGAGTAAATTGACTTTGAATACTAAAGTGGACTTAGATAAAGCTTTAGCAGTGGTTCAGAATAGAACAAACGAATGGTTGTCGTCTTGTAGTGATGAGACTTGCGACAAAGGCAACACGAGACGCTCGTCTGCCAGCAGTGGGGTCAGCAGTAATTTCTCAGGGTCAGTTCTTCTAGCAAGTGTCCAAGAAGAATACAAATATGAGGATAAAGAAGAAGATGTGGTTCTTATTGAACGGAGGCTTCGCGTTTCTTCTGTTATGTAAGTAGAAAAATAATTATTTGAAATTTATTATAATAGAAACATTTTCTTATGAATTCTGTATTAAAAGTAAAGTTCTAAGTAAAAATAATTTATTTTTTGTTAAGATTTGTGGTGATCTATCCCAAAAACAGACGAATCGGCATTGATAATATTCATCCAACTGGGCGTTGATCTTCTAAGGGCTAATTTTTAAGAGAAGATATAACGAATATATGTATGTACGAGTATGTAATCTAAGCGACAATGCTTGTAGCGATCATATCATGTTGTTTGTATCTAAAATAACATTTTCAGAAAGTGACAGCTGATAAAATAATCGCTTTGTCTCGCTCGCACTTTTCTGTTAGTTCTAAGAAACATTCTTACACATTATGGCTACATTTCTACATATTACACCCAACATCATGGCTTAACTTATAACATATACAAGTGATATATATATCCCTCCACGACCGCGAAAACGCCGGCGTAACAGTTAACAATAGATTTCTTAGAAATTTAATTTATTTCTTAGAAATTTAATTTATTTCTTAGAAATTTACCTGGAGGTGATAATACCTTTTTTAATTTTCCCAACTACAGATTACCTTTAGAAGAAAGTGAATCGCCAGACGAAACAATATTGTCTCTGGCATCTTCCCTACCTCCCACTATGGAGTATGACGCCCAAAGTCTTAGAGCAGAGCTGATAGAACTAGGCTGTAACCCCGGACCTATATCAGATAGCACTAAACACTTGTATCTGAAGAAACTTCAAAATTTGAAGAAACAGCCTGTTGTTGTTCAGAGTAATAAGAAAAGTAAGTATTGTTTCTGTTTAATAATAAATATATATGTTGAGACATTAACACACAGCACCATCTAGTTCCATGGTAAGCTACGAGGCTTGTGTTATGGATACCAGATAGTTGATACACTACACATATATAACTTTAAATACAAACATATCATAAATATAAACACCCATGACTGGAGTACAAACATTCGTGCTCATCACACAAATGAATTCCCCCAACGGGCTTTGAACCCACGACCGCTGGCACAGCAAGTTGGGTCACTACAAACTGAGCCACACGTGTCGTCAAATAACCACATGTAGTACACCGAAGGTCGTGGGTTTGATTGTTATACTCTATATGTTTATGCATTCTCTTCTTTTTTTTTGGGGATGTTAGGAATTTTTAAAATTACCTTTTATGGTCATTATTTAATATTTGAAGACGATTTTGTATTATATGTTCAAAAATAAATTTGACAAATAAAATTTTAAATTAAAAAAAAATAACTGTTGGAATTTTGGCAGTGACAAATTATTTGACATTAATTTTATATAATGTAAATATTTTTAATTATTTTTTTATATATATTTTTACAATGATTTTTAAAATTTCAAGAGGCATTTCGAAATTATACGTTCAAAAAGGTAATTAGTTCAAAACTTTGCTACAGTAAAATAAATAGTAACTTGGGATAAAAGTAATAAATAAAAAATGTTATAACATAATATTATGCCATATTAAATGAAATAGATTATAAATAAATATGTTGGGACATTACCATACAGCAACATTTAGTTCCATGGTAAGCTAAGAGGCTTGTGTTATGGATACCAGATAGTTGATACACTACACATATATAATTTTAAATACATGCATATTATAAATATAAACACCCATGACTGGAGTACAAACATTTGTGCTCATCACACGAATGAAATATGATTGAGTACAAGTGATATAAAAAATAAAATATATAAAAGATCTCTTATCATCACAATAATTGAACTAAGTATCCTAAAAAACATCACATTTAACTAAATCAAACTTGCAGCGTACACAACAGAAATACAGAAATCTTTCCAAACCGAAGCCTGGATGGACAACCTCTCCCCGTACGTGGAGCTGCATGAGGAAATCAAGGCTGACTTCTCAGAAAAAAAGTGCTGGCGTGAGGGAGGCTCCAAGACCTCCTTCACCTACCTGCTGCTGGACCCGCGCCGCACCTCCCGTCTCCTGCCTTGCAAGGGCCCCCCGCCCGCGCGCCTCCGCTCCTGGCAGACCTTCGTGGACTCCATATTTTATGTTGGGAAAGGTATTCTTTCAAATCCATTCTAATAATACCAATACGAAAGTAACTATCTGTCTGTCTGTCTATCTGTTACCTTTTCCCACTTAATCTGCTGAATCGATTTAGATGAAATTAGGTATGGAGATAGTTTGAGACCTTGGGAATTGTATAGGGAATCAATAATTTCTCATGTAATGTATATAAAACTCATGGTACTCACATAGGTATATACAGTCTACCTATTCCATACTAACTGTGGAAACGTACCCAGGGACGAATCTGAGCGGAGCACTAGTTAATAAATAAATTATTTATTCTTTTAAATAAAACTATCTTTTCAAATTTTACGCTGGGTAGGTAATGTCTGTTACAAAATATATAAATCTATATATATAAAAGAAAGTCGTGTTAGTTACTTCGCTTATAACTCAAGAACGGCTGAACCGATTTAGCTGAAAATTGGCAGGGAGGTAGTTTAGAGCCAGGAGAAGGACATAGGATACTTTTTATCCCGTTCGACCGCGTTCCAATTTTTATGATATTTTAATTTTTGGATTTCTCTTAGTCCGGAATAGGTAAGTATTAAAACATATAATTAAAATGTGAGAAAGAAAGATTTTTTCTTTTTATATCTATTTAAAACGTACCTAGCGACGAACCCGAGCGAAGCGAGGGTGAGCCGCTAGTTACTTTTAAAACGTCTAAAACCTTAGTCTCTCCCGTGACCATGTGCGATGTAAAACATTCGAAACGTCAAAATAAACCCGCGAAAAAATCCTGAAAATATACTTTTAATACTTATATACGGTACGGTTTTTATATACGGTAGTTTCCGAATTAGCGTCCGTTCACATGTCGTCTATACATGCAAAACTAAAACAGTGAGACAAACTATAGAGTGAAACTTAAACTAGTTTATAGAATAACAATCCCATAAACCCCATATCAAAAAACCATAAATTATTATTTCAGGAAAGCGCTCTAGGCCATACGCACACCTCTACCAAGCGTTAAACCTATGGAAGAAAGACTTCAAAACTTCCAGAGACGAAAAAGTACAAACAATATTAGACATATGGTCGGCTAAACTGGGTGTTGTATGTCTGCATGTCTTCCAAAACGTCATACCCGCTGAAGCTTACACCAACGAGGCAGCCATGATAGATGCTATCGGTATACAGAATTTGAAGAATATCAAAATAGGGAATTATTATGGTGTAGCAAAAACATGGAGTGCGAATAAACATAGGATGCTTGGTGTGTATTTACTTTATAAGGCCATGTTGATTTTTCTTAGCGAAGGTGAAAGGCAGTTGGGGCCCGATGACATATAGTGTGACTGCAATCCTGCCGTCATAAAAAAGGAGGGGTGTGTAATGAGTAACCATTAGGTTTGATTACACTTTAATTCTGCTCTAATATAATAAGATACACTAGCTGAAATTCTAACTTAGTAGGCTAATGACATCTCTATATGACTGACACCACAGGCCTCAACTTCTTCTACTTCTTCTTCAGTCACGGCTTTTTCCGCATTTAGGCACCTTGGCCCGTCGTATGCGAGCGTGTGTTATTCCTTCTACCCCAGAGCGTCGCAGTAGTGTAGCAAGCTGCCGGTGTCCTGGAAGATTTCTGGGATCGATTTTTTGGAGGCCACAACTTCTTCAAAGTTGATTTCGAGATATTTGAAGTTTAGTACTTAGTAGTATTTTTGACGTTATTACGATGAAAATGGTTATGGTATCTCCGGATTCATAAGACTTAGAGCTTTATTAGTAAGACCATCAAGTAGCATTTTTTTTGCTGATTTCGAAGCTGCATTTTAGTCATTTTTGACCAAATTGCTATTTAGCGCCTTCTTTATTATGACGGCAGATTTTATATGGAATTAGTATTGAAATACTTAAATTTGGTGAAATGAAAACCATCTGCTTCTGTAGTTCAAATATATTTGCAATTATCTAAAATAAACAGCAACTAAATTAATGAGATCAAAATTATTTGAAAACTTCTATTGCGCTCTTAAAAGTTGAAATTTTCTTTGAAATCTAAGTGTAACTGCCTTTAAAGACTGAAATGTATTTTTTTTAAACAATAATGAATACCTTACCGCGGTATTGTGCTTACAAAAAAACAAAAAAATAAATCCGAATGGAGTACCCTTCCTTTTAGAAGTCGGTCCAAAACAACCTTTAAAACTGAAACAGGAATTTTTTATATAAAATCTCTTAGTATAATGACGAACGAAGGCATTTAAATTATTATTAGTGAAATTAGGTATTAAATATTATTTATATGCAATACTTTTGTATATTTATTGTATAAAATAAAAATAATTTTATTTTTTATTTACTTACTCTATGTATATATATATATATATATATATATATATATATATATATCACGTAGTATATAACTTAAAAGGAAATGTTTGTTTTAAATATTTTCAATGAACTTGTAATTTTTTCATACTCTTCTATTTATTTATACTCTATCTTCTTCATTATTCTTCTTTATATTTTTAATTTTCTTTTTGTTTACTTTTTACTTTCATAAACCGTTATATTTCTTGAAATTTTCATCATCATATTCTTTGGCTTACTAAAAAAATTATTTCATAGTAATTATAATGTAAAAATGTAATTAAATTCCTTTTTACTAAATGTAAAGTTTAAAATGGACATATTAAGCCTATTTAAATATATCCAATTCTCAATTATATACTTAGACTAATTCTACCTCTGTATAACAAATATGCCAAAAATACTACATTTTATTTTAATTTTAGACGTAGAGTATGGGCTGAGCAATAATCTCATGAAATTGGCCACTCTCTGGAAAGAGAGAGAGAGAGAGCGAACGTACGGCCAATATCAGTCTTTTATTCCAATTTGAATTTATAAATGGAATGTAAAAAATTATAATATTATTAAAAATTATAATATTCGCCGCACATTCGTTTTGTCTCTGTCGCGCCTCCGCCATTTTCAGCTGATTGCTGGTAAAGATACCTTCAGTCCACTCTATGTCTATGATATCAATTTGCCTGTTATTATATACTATATTTTTTTAACAAGTTATAACCTATTTTAATCTTCCTATTCACTCACAAACTAAAGTGTTGTTCAAACCATGGAAATATTATGCTTTTTGTAACTGTTTTTTTTTTATAAACCTTGTGTATATTAAGCTCGAAATGATAACATTCATTGTAAATTGTCATTTTCATCTCCATACATGTATCTAAAAAGTACTAGCTACACAATCCCATGCAAAAAAAAAATCACTTAAAACTGTCACCAATTGTGTTTAGGTAATTATTCTAGTTGAAATAAATATACAACAATGTAAAATGAACCTTAAATTCAATTGTTAAAGTTGTTTTCATAAAAAAAGTTCAAAGCACGCTCAAGTGTTCAAATGAGCGCTTATTCGGTGAGGACATTTTTTGTCGCTGATTGTGTATATCTAGTACTTTTTTGATAGATGTCTCCAAATAAATAATAATGCCCCATTCTCTTCTAATTCCATTTTTTTAATTGAATTTGAAACTGAACTTCTTCACAAGTTTATTTTTTTTATATAAATTTTACCTTTTACGGTTACCATATTGGAGTACTTAATACAATTTTAACTATAATATTAAAATTTAACACAGAAAATACAATTCCAATATAACAATTATTGTTTTAAAAGTGCACTACAAACGTGTAGCTTTATATTTCATGAATTCATGAAAAACTTTTGCATCCTTGCCAAATCGAACCCTGTACCTCTTTAATTGTGACGAAACACTGCGACTGACGACAGCCAAAGAAATATTTTATATTTAAAACATTTTGTGCCTTTTCATGACATTTCTATAATTTTAAACCTATTGTTAGTATAAATAGAACTTTCAAATTTTAACTATTTATAATTTTAAATAAAACTATCTTTGCGAATTATTTCGCGGATTTATTTTGATTTCCAACGTTTCGGATGCTTTACAGCAATCATGGCAAAGACTCCCGAAAAGGTAGTTGTATTTAAAATGTCAAATAATCGCGTAAATCTAAGAAAGTATTATGTAAACTATTTATAAATTATGTATAAATGTAAGTTATGTACGACGGTTCCATCTGAATGTGGATATAGTTATACTAACTTTAGTCCGCGACTCCACTCGCGTTTGTTTTTATTGCTGCTTTTTAAAGATTAGTTAGTGGTGTTTTAGATAGCCCATATTACAATATATACCTTAATCCCTCCACGACCGCGGACACGCCGGCGTTACAATTAACAATAGATTTCTTAGAAATTTTATTAATTTCTTAAAAATTTACCTGAAGGTGTTAATAAATTACAAAAAATATGTTGTATTTTTTATCGATTCGGAATTCAGCGTGTTCAGACAAACAAAAAGACACTCATTTAGTTTGTATATTAGTATATCTTTGCAATAACACGTACTTATTATGTTTATTTTCTGAAACTATAACGTTCTGTAACCAAAATTACAATAAACAAAACACAATTATTTTTTTGAAGTTATACTTCTTTTGGCACGTTTAGAAAAAATTATAGGAGTAAAATTTTTACGATGCGCGCGCGCACAGTCCTTCTTTTTACAAACAGAGAGTTGTGACGTACGGGATGAAATCTTTAGCTATTTTTGTTCTGTTACGCCAAAGAAGTATAACTTCTTACGTGCGTACATAAGTACACACACACACGTTCTTTTTTTTATTAATATTTATATTACACAAAATACAAAATTACATATTATAATTTATGATAAAAAATAACTATTATACTAAAGCATTAAGATGGAACCGTGGCAATAAGTTTTTTATATTTCTTTTTTACCCTATCACTATGTTACCGTAACTTCAAAATTAACATTTGTAGTATGTATTAATTAAGATCTCAAAATTATTTATAATTCGCCCATCTTGGACTCCCCTGTGCCCTGCTAACGGTTGTTCCTAGTCATGCCTAGGTTAAGTGACGCATAATTAACGCTTTACACCTTATAGATTGTACAATAACATAGATATTAAGGAAATAAAGCATTTTTAAAGCAATATTTTTATTTATTTTTTTCCCCTCCGCCCCAGAAGAAGAATATAGAACGACTGTTAGATAACTAAATTAAAAAATTTAAAAACCTCCGACCATACATAGCATGGGTTGTGCGAACCTCTGAAGGAACAAAGTAACATCAACAAAGAAAAAATAGTTCCAATAAATATCAATAGATGGCATTTATATAGGACTAGCGACTCCCCCTCGCTCCGCTCGTTCGTCCCTAGTTACGTTTTAACTTTTAATATAAACTCAGATATGAGATATTTTCCTGCTGTAAAAATTTTTTTGTTGATCCGGATAACCTGCTATCATCATACCAAATTTCCAGTGGGTCAGTCCAGTGGTTTTCTGGTGATGAGTTCCCAAACTATAGATTCGGTCTCTGCATCGATAGTAATGACTATTTCAATAGGATTTTCAAGAAAATCTTTAAGCACAGATTCGACACAGAATTTTATTATGTGTATTTTTAATAAAACCACATGAAAAAGTTATATTTCTTTATTAAAAAAATCAAAATATAATCACAGAAAAAGTCACATGTAACAGACTAGTGAACACAGAATACAAAAAATTGTTAACGAAATAAATACTAACGCTTACAACAATTTAAATAAAACTATCTTCTAGGATTTATTCGCGTATTTATTTTCATTTTTGGTTCCCGATGTTTCGAATGCTTTACAGCAATCATGGTTACGAGAGACTCCAGACTCCCGAAAATATAGTTTTATTTAAAATGTCCAATATTCGCGTAAATCTAAGAAAGTATTATGAATACCATTGTAATAATATTATATTATAATTTTAACAAATATTAAACATGTTATATTCTTATTTATATAATTTTCTTACCATCTCATTACCATCGTTATATATAGACATTAGATACATTGCAAAGAAAAGACAAACCTCGATTACAGACTAAAAGCTAAATTCACATCTAAAATACACTCAGCTTCGTATTATACATAAGTCTGTCAAAACAAAAATGGCCATAACTAAAAGGCAATTTTTGTTCAAAAAATAACTATAAATGGAAAAATATATTGCATTTGCACACTTGTAATAAAAAATATATATGTAACGGCCGTCATAACTATTATAGATTAATTGTCGTTTAAACTCACATTTAATATCAATGAGTAAAATTATGATTTAAGGGAGTATTATTTGTTTCACTTCACATATACAGAATATTTTTTTTAAATAATAATACACCTTTTTTGTATCTATTTTTTTTATTTTTTGTTAATTTAACACAACCATAATAACAAATCGATACATGTAACGCGTCCTCTATTGACATTTATTTGAACTAATTTTTCTTTGTTCGAAATGAGACCCACATGGCAACACATGTACGACAAATCGCTTACGTTATTTTATTCATTATTTCTTATTTAAATTTACATTGCTTCTAAGAAATTGTTATTATATTAATGCCAATTAAAGATTAGGTTTTATATTTCCTCATCTGTATTAAACCCACGAATGCTTCTGGATGAAAACGTTACTACACATTTATGTATACAGAAATAAGAAATTAAATGAACTAAGCACAAACAAAAGCCGCTTAAACCACCAATTAAAAAATAACCTTTAGTTAAAACTACGTGTTTTAATTAATCTATAATCGTTATTACGGCCATAACTCAATTTTTGAAGTGAAACTTCTTTAGAATCGTTGTGATTAGAAAGTCGATAAAACTGAAATGCGATACTAAAAAGGGACAAACATATTAAATATATAGGATAGAGGCGGCGAGAGAATGAGATACAATACATTGTCATGTTGCCATGGTAACCGATGTTATTGTCTGACATATATAATACTAGCGGACCCGACAGACGTTGTCCTGTCTACACGTCTTTAATTTGAAAATTTCAAACTTTTTTTTTAATAATTTTTTTGATGAAAATTATTATTCAAATTGTGAATCTAAACCATTCCCAGATCCCCTTGAACACACACAAAAAATTTCATCAAAATCGGTCCAGTCGTTTGAGAGAAGTTCAGTGACATACACACTCACAGAAGAATTATATATATAAAGATTATATTCTTTCCGTATACGATATTCTATATATGGTTGTAATATGCCTAATTTAATAATTGATTTGTTTTAATTTAATTGCGATAGTTGCCTAAGAAGTTTCACTTCAACCGCGCGTACTAATTTTTTTATTTTATATTCGATGAAATTATTTCAGAATAGCACCTTTTTGCACAAACTAATAATATATTATAAAAACATTGAACAAAAGCAAAAATATTTTCAATTAGAACATGTATCCTTTTCAGTCGCGTACTAATTAAATTTATTTTAATTATTTTCAGTAATGTATTTTTTACTAGTAAAAAAGTTGACTTTGTAATTATATTATATAAAATATAATAAGTTTTAATATACAATTCATATTTTAATAATTTAATTTGACTTTAGATGTACTGTCTAATAAATATTAACTTTTTGCTTATAAAAGCTTTGAATAATATACAATATTTGCATTAAAATAATTATACATCCGTATATAATAAACAGCTGTTGTTATTCGCCCGATAACCGGGTGAACAAAAAATATATTATTCCTTCAATTATAGTCGGTTTGTACGATTATATTTTATCATTTTTTTGTTTTTTAATGTAAAATAAAACAGCTCAGGAGGATTTTCCAGGAAGACAAATATATGGCAATTAACAATTATATTTCTCGCTTTTTCTGTATACTCATTTTACATTTATATTTTATATTCCTAACTCATATAATTCGAATCACCGACTGTCCACTTGACATATCAAAAATCTATTGTCAAAATCTACAAACTGGCACATAAAATAACTGAATGTTACAAAAATAAGTGAAGGTGCGGACTGCAGACGTTTCTATATATGCAAAAAAAATCCTATACTGAGCAGAAATTTTATTCTTTTAGGTCCCAATGTTTTTATCTATACAGATAAATAAAATTGAGGTATCTGTTTATAATGTTAAAATAACAACTTTTTACTAAATGCATACGAAAGTATATATGGTACTAATAAGAAAAATATATCTGTTTGTCAATCTGTTTGTTTGTTCCGGCTAATCTCCGAAACGGCTGGATGTATTTCAGTGGGATTTAGACTGGCAAGTAGCTGGTATTACAAGGAGTAACTTAGGCTACTTTTATTTTAGAAAAAGAATGAGGGTCCCGCAAAAAAAAATAATTAAAATATACCTAGACGTAACCGAGGGTAAGTCGCTAGTAGAAACATAAAGAACATAAAAGTATTCGCAATCACAATATATCACACACCAGCAATAAACGGACGAAAAATATATTTCTTATTCATCCGATTATGTGACAAACAGACACACAGACAACATGTACCTGCGCCACATCACTCGTGCGCGGGGAGCACCTCGAAGCGCAGGCCGGCGGCGGCGAGGCGGCGCAGCAGCCCCGTGCCGCGGAAGGCGAGCCCCGGCGTCAGCACGCCGTAGCTGCGGGGTACATTATATAAATAAATAAATAAATCTATACTCATTATTGGAACATGGCCATAAACCAGAACGCATTTTTTATTACGCTATATATTTATTATCTATGGTGCCACTCGAGCGCCCACTCTGCTCTGTCTTTGTTTCTTCACTCTCTCTTGTTTTCGTTGTAACGCCGGTGTCAGATGTACTATTTACTTGTAATATTTAATACTTTTATTAAATCACTAATTATACAATAATATTGTTTTATTTCTTCACTAATAATATAAAAGTTTGTGAGTATAGATGTTTGTTACTATTTTATGCTAAGACGGCTGAACGGATCTGGATGAAATTTGGCACAGAGATAGATTTCATTCTGGAATAACAAATAGGCTACTTTGTGTACTGTGTGTGGTGATCTGGCTGTGACCTGCAGCCGTACAAGTTAACTAGTACACCACAAAGACAGTATAACGACTAAACGATACGAAAAAAATTAACGACTCACACTCGCTTCGCTCGGGTTCGTGTCTAAGTGCGTTTTAACTGTTAGTATGAAATACATAAACTATATAGATTATATGTACATACATACAAATATGGCGAGTTGTTGTGGGTAGTATATGTATATATATGTAACGTGTTTTCCCGTAAGAATGACACAATCTCCAGCAATAAAAATAGCCAATATCGCTCTCCGACCCTCCAACTATCTCCACACCACAAAAAATCACGCCAATGCGTCACTCCGTTTTGACGTGAAAGAAGGACAAACAGACACGCATTCAACTTTAAAATATGGATAATATCAGATAGACACTCACGTGGGTATCTTGTCGCTCTCCTTCAGCAGCATGATGGCGGAGTAGAGCAGCGCCACCACGGTCGCGCCGTACCCGGGGTTCGAACCTGACACCTGACAATCATTGTTATTCATTATAATTTAATTTAAAAAATAAAAATAAAAATATCAAAATAAATTTTCAGGACAATCATTGTTTTTCATAACATTTTAGATAATACATTATAATTCTCAATTTAAATTAACTATTGCTCGTCCCGTGGTCGGAATTCGATCATAGTAATTATTGAAAATTTGTTAGAGGTATATGTATAGAATTTACCTAAATATATGTATATTAAAAAAACTATTATTATATTATTTATTGATAACACTAAAGCTTGTTAATAGCTACCTAAAACAAAACAAAAAAAAATCATTTGACAAACAGAGGGGACAAAGCTACTAATCTGTTTTTGTCTTTGGCTAATATTTAAAAAAAAAATTGTAAAAACATAAATTTAGTAAAGTTTAAAATAATGTCACCTCGAGTACCAGGAGCGCAGCAGTACAGAGGAGCTCTCTGCTGTAAATACTAACAATATATTTAAGTTACTCGCTTTCGGTTATAAACAAAATGACATTCTACAATTGTTTACACTAATTTAAATTTGTTGATTGTCGTATGATGCTTCCATACAGCAGTTTTTTTTTACATAACATAAAATTTTTTCACATCGTGAGTAAATGCATGTCTGATGGAACCTATAATCTGTTTTTTAATCTCATAGAGTAAATTGACACATGCAAATGTCAAATTTTCAAAATAATGTTGCCAGCTCTTTTGTGCAGTGTTGTACCAACGATACGGGTTTGTTGAATCGTAACTTTTATCTTTATTAGACGATTCGCTTCGAAATTTTATATTCCAAAGCGTATCTTTAAAATTTCCATTATTAATTCCAAATCATAAATTATCGTATTTATTAATTTTAAATCATTAAGTATCAATAAAATCTACATAATTAAATTTAAATTTGCATTTTTAATAGTGTATTATTGCGCTTTAAATTAGCACCGACACATTATTTCAGGATAACTTATTATAACAAAACGAATTAATTATAAAAAAAAACGAAAATTGATTTTATTCATCCTTCCACGGCCGCCGGCGTGTCAGTTAACAATAGATTTCTTAGAATTTTAATTAATTTCCTAGAAATTTACTTGAAGGTGTTAACGATTATATTAATTTTCGATAGTGGCTCATCACTATTTAAAAACTGGAAACCCATGTAATGTCAGTTTTGTCTCTTGAGGTTAAAAAACAGTACAGTAAGTTTTCGAAAGACCTGCTCAGTCTGCTAGCACTCGACTAACGTGATGGACTATGGCCCGATTCCCCTCTCGAAAGGAGGCTCGTGGCCTAATAACACACTTAAACTCACCCTAACGGTCATCTTCTTATTAGGCGGAACGGCCTCCACGTCGGTTCCCGCCTCCCAACCCTCACCGAACAGGTCGAACTGGAACGTGGTCGCGTTGATGGCGGCCTCGCTCGGCTCCTTGGTGAAGATGCCCATGGTGAAGAGCCCCGGGTACTTAAGGAGTAGGGCGCGGGTGGGGCGCAGGCGCGCCAGCACGTACAGCAGCGCGGCCACGGCCACCAGCGCCACGGCGTGCAGCAGCGCGGGCAGGCGCACGTAGGCGCGGCACTGCGCGGGGCGGCGGTGCTCGCGCTCGTACAGCGCGCGCTGCGTGCGGTACACCACGGACGCGTCGGCGCCGGGGAAGGGCACGCACCAGCCCGCGTCGCGCGCGTGGATCACCCCGCTGGGGAATAGGGACGGTCGGGGTAAAAAAATATCGATACACATATGTACGTATAGTAAAAAAAATCGATATATCGATATTGTCAGGGAAAATCACGCATCGTCCGCCGTATCACTTGTACTACGCTGGAGATGTTAGCATTATAGTAGGGAAGCCCGGGAGGGAAATTTTGCGATTACTCAAACGCGGCAAATTAACGTAAAGGGGTATGTATGGATACCTTACACTCTGTTGAGTATCTCCACCGTAGTATAAGTCCTCTATATAACGGCGCGCGTCTAGGGCGGCCGATCAGTATATTTAAAAAATATTTCGAAGGTATAAATACTTGAAACCGTTAGATTAAGGTATGGTGGACTAATTACATCCTAAAAAGTGTACAATTCAATAATCTACCGATTTGCACAAGCCGAAGTTTATAGTCGAGTCACCACACTTGGAATATTTACTATTAATGAACTCCATCTTATGTCTTATAACTTATACATATTGTTGGAACAAAGTCCCTTAACGCAGCTGACGGTAGAAATCGTCACGTAACGAAAAGGTTTGTTTATATGCTTTATTATTTACTAAGACTATCCCATGTGACGTCATCACAAGTACCAGGCGAGCATAAATGTTAAGGAGGTCGTATGCACTCTTTGACGAGGCGCTGCGTATTATACATATATTTAATGAGCACTCTTTCAGGTTCGTGGTCGCCTAGTGCTCGTGACAAAAGTACCAGGCGATCATAAGTGTTGAGGAGTGTACGTATCTTGTAAAAGATTCCTGTGCAGTGTCCAGTATATTGTGCAGGGCTTTCTTTGATGAGCATCAACATGTATGCAGTAGTTTGCTCCCTTACCCACCCTTTTTTTAACGTTGGGACATGCATTTACGCACGAGGTGTGGGACTCACCGGCTAAGCCAGTACTACCCACTAAAACCCAACAGAGCCTTCTCCCGTCTTAATGGGGCGTCGCAGGATCGCTTACGCATTCAACTACGACGCCCCGACGGCAGGTCTGCCGAAGCAGACCACAACAACCACGGGGTTACTCCAAGGTCCACTCTGCTATCAGAGAAGTACCAGGAGCAACACGCATGGTACACCGCCCCCCGAAAAGGCCCCCTCCCACACCGCCCACCGAAGTGGGCCACCTCCCTGTGCGTTTCTTGGCTTCGCGCCCGGCTGTATTGCCGGGCACTACTGAGCCCCCCCACCACGACAAGGTGCACGTTGTGGGGGTGCCTATGCTACCCTGGTACTCGTGACAATGTGTAGGAGTTAATGATTCGTCCAACCATTTCAGCGTTAAGAGAAGTATAAGACACACATACAAATTGTCGCATCTTGAGCTATCAACAACTCACCGCGGCTTCAGCTTAGGCTTGAAGGTCGGAAGTCTCTCCGGGTACAACTTTTTCCTCAGAGCCGGCAATTCGTTGTAATTCGCTATTCTGTAATACAGTAAAATTAGATTAATAAGCTTAATATTATTGTCAAACGCATTATCCATACTAATATTATAAAGAGATAAAGTTTGTGAGTTTGTGATGTTGTAGGGGGTAAGCTCTGGATCTATTGAACCGATTTAAATGAAATTTGGTAAGATAGTTTTTGAGACCCTGGAAGGACATAGGATACTTTTTATCCATCCTTAAGGGGGTGAAAATGGAGATTAGGAAGCAAGCTAGGAACGAACCCGAGAGAAGCAACGGTGAGTCGCTAGTGTATTATATTTTTGACCGACTTCAAAAAAGGAGGTTCTCAATTCGTCGATATCTTTTATTTTTTATGTATGTTCCCCGATTACTCGAAAACGTCAGGACCAATTTTAAATTCTTATTTTTTTTGAAAGGGTATATAGTTCCCAGGTGGCTCCATAGTCATCAGATCAGGACCTGATCGAGTAGATCGAGAGATCGAATCGAGGGAACTCTACAGATTTTATAGGCACACTTGAAGCGATTTGGGTATTTTTTATAGTGACGCCTGCATATGCTTTTAAAAAATTACATACTTTTATACTACTACGTCTGCTCTAAAGATGGAAAAATAAAAATAAAAAAAATAAAGAAAAATAAAAACCAACTACAAAAACAACAAAGTAAATAGCTGAATGGGAGTTTTCATTAACTATAGATATCTACCTAACCAGATATTTTCGAAGTCGATAGCTATGATTTGTATGTACGATCCACTTTTGCTTCAGGAGACACTTCGTCTCCTTCTGATGTCACAATAAAACAACCAGTGATTTGGACCGTCATTTAATATGTTTCTCAATTATCCTTTTAGCTAATTCGAAAGAACCAAACGATAGCGTGATTCAACATACCCATAACTCCATCTATCAGCAACAAAATGTAAACTAAATAAATGTAACGCAAATGACAACATAGATTGTACATTCCGCCCACCATGGACCGAACGGTTCATAAGAAAATTAATCTAACCTAATAATTTGACTAAGTCTAATCCATTATAGATGAAGTGCAAACAATTTAAAAAATATATAACTTATAAACAATATTTACACAAACTTAACAAATAGTCAATATAAAGAATTTGAACTACTACAATATAACTCAACTTAAACAAAACCAATCTTCAACAAACTTAAACGAACAAACCATAAAAAAATTATTTAAAATCTTAAACTAACATTACGCATTATCTTAGTTTCTCAACTTACTGATTAGGTAACTGGTAAAATACAAATTTTAGAAATAGGTCTTTTGATGATAATGCCTTTGCATTTTAAACTTACAACACGCGTAACATTATCCTGACCAGTGTGTTTGTCAACAATTATGCCGTAAAGCCATCTGGCTGGTGGAAGATTTTCTTCCTTAACTAAAGCGACATCTCCAATTTTAGGCTCAGGAGAATGACGATTCCAACGATAACGGTGTAGAAACTGAAATAAATACTCACTAGACCACCGTCGCCAAAAATACTGCGTCATTCGTTGTACATACTGCCATCTTCGGAGACTAGTTATAGTTGACTTCTCGTAATTGGCCTCTGGAACTAGTAAGAGAGGTTCTCCTACAAGAAAATGTCCGGGTGTCAATGGGTATGGATCCAGTGTGTCATCACTTAAAGTTGTTAATTGCCTTGAATTAAGGCAAGCCTCAATTTGGGAAAGAACTGTACTCATCTCCTCGAACGTCAGAGTTGAGTTCCCGATCACTCTCTTCAGGTGGTGCTTCGTCGATTTAATTCCTGCCTCCCATAATCCACCAAAGTGTGGAGTATAGGGTGGGATACGATGCCAAGTAGTGCCGTTGCCTGAAAGCCATCTAGCGATTTCAACAGATACACTTGACCTTTCTTCAAGAATTAAATTTTTAATCTCCTTTTCAGCACCTACAAAATTAGAACCATTATCGCTCCATAAATCTGAAACGTGGCCCCGCCTGGCCACCATACGTTTAAATGCGGCTATAAATCCTTCAGAGGTCATATCACTCACAGCTTCAAGATGTATAGCTTTAGTAGCCATACATATAAAGAGGCAAATATAACCTTTAGTAGAGCGATGACCTCTACCCTTTGTGGTTTTTATTGCAATGGGTCCTGCATAATCTACTCCGGTCTGACGAAAAGGTCTGTCGGCTGTCACTCGAGATGCAGGCAACTGGCCCATAATGGGTTGATTAGACGGAGGAGCATAACGAATACATGTGACGCATTTGCGGACATACAACCTGACTAAATTCTTAGCGTCAACAATCCAGTACTTCGTCCTAATAAAACTGAGCATTAGCCGTGGGCCTCCATGAAGAGTCCTTTCGTGTGCATCTGCGATGATGAGTTGTGCTAAATGCGAGTTACGTGGAATCAAAATAGGATGTTTCATGTCGTCACTTAACTTAGCATTCTGCAAACGTCCCCCAACTCGTAACAAGCCATTGCTATCTAAAAACGGATTAAGAGACACGAGTTTGCTCTTCTTAGCTACTGATTTAAATTTAATGATACTTTCGATGTCACAAGCAAAGAACTTCTTCTGAAAGTTACTTATACATTTTTCTAACGCCTCTTTCAACTCTAGATTTGTTAGATAAGTAGGAAAAACAGTTTTACGAGAAGAACGTAGCCATTTTAAATAACGCCTTAAATAAGCCACAGTTCTAATGAGTTTTCGAAGTGTTGAAAATCTTGTAAATAATTCTTCATCCAACTCTACACTATCTACAGCATGACAAAGTTTTTTATCTCTTTCTTCCAGTTTGGTATCTTGGCATTCTTCTTGTGGACTGTAATTGATCGTAGCTTCGCTTAGCCAAGATGGACCATGTCTCCACAAGCTTAAATTGTCATAATCTTTAACACCCCTTGACGCACAATCAGCTAGGTTGTCTTTAGATCTTACGTGTGCCCATTGACTTCGATCTAAAATTGTCAAGATCTCCGATGTGCGATTCGCAACAAAGGTTTTCCATTTACTTGGGTGACTACTAAGCCACGCAAGTACCACAGAAGAGTCTGTCCAAGCGTGAATTTTCTCTTTAGGAATCTCTAATGTCTCTGAAACCTCTAAAATCAGTTTGGCAAGAAGCTGAGCACCGCAGAGCTCCAACCGAGGGATGGAGACTTGTTTAATTGGCGACACCTTGGTCTTCGATGTGACTAAATTCACATTTACTGCATTATTCTTATCTATACTGCGAACGTATATCACTGCAGCATAGGCATGATTTGACGCATCACTGAAACCGTGCAGCTCTACTTCCTTATCATCAGCATTTGTGTGAATCCATCGAGGAATGCGGAAATGGTTAAGTTTTGCAAGATCTGACCGGTAAGTAAGCCATTCCTGTAACAAATGAGGTGGTAGTTCGTGGTGCCAATCTATACCCGACATCCAAAGTTTTTGAATAAAAATTTTAAAAGTAATAATAGTTGGGGCTATCCACCCTAAAGGATCAAACAAACGCGAAATATCCGAAATTACTTTCCTCTTTGTTACTGGAAATTCTAACTGCGGTAGTTTAACACTGTATTCAATTTCGTCTGTTGTACTATTCCAGGTAAGTCCTAACACTTTCTGAATAGTTTCTGATTCTTTTCCTTCTCCTATTTTTAACCTTGATTCTTTCTCTCCTCTTCCCTTTCCCGCCTTCTCCATAAACTCCTTATTATTGCTTGCCCATTTCTGCAATTCAAATCCTCCCTTACTTAATATGCTACTAATTTCATTTTTTATTTTCAGGCACTCTTCGACAGTTTGGCAGCCCGTCATAAGATCGTCCATATAAAAATCATTTATAATTTTCTCAACAGCAGCGGGATGATTTACACCTTCATCGTAGGCCACTTGCTGCAGGACTCTAACGGCAAGGTAAGGTGCAGACGCAACTCCGAAAGTGACACGTAACATTCTGTAATGTTGTATTGTTCCAGATTCATCGCGCTACAAAATACGCTGAAACTCATCTGCATCCTCCAGCTTCACCTTCACCTGTCGATACATCTTAACGATGTCTGCTACCAAACAAATAGGATGTTTGCGCCATCGCATAACAATATGCCTCAAAGTATTCTGAAGAGATGGACCCACTAACAGATCGTTGTTCAGACTCACACCATTAGTTCCAGAGCAGGAAGCATCAAAAACGACCCTAACCTTAGATGTCACCTTATCATTACGTACTACGGCATGGTGTGGCAAGTACACCACATCTGGTTTATCGCGCTGCCCTTCAGGAACTAACTCCATGTGATTAAGATGTAAGTACTCCTTTATTACTTGTGCATATTGTTCTTTAAATTCTATATTTTTTGATAATCTCTTTTCTAGTTGAAAAAGTCTCCTAGTAGCAATTTCTTTAAAATTACCCTTTTTGCAGATTGGATTGTTGTCACGGAAAGGAAGCTTCACAATATATCTTCCGCAATCATCTCTGGTCACGGTATTCTTAAATATCTCCTCACATTTCTGTTCATCATCAGTAAGCATTTTGTTCTTAAAAGAAACATCCTCTAATTCCCAGAACTTTCTCAACAGATCATTGTCATTGCACTGGCATTGCATGCTGACAATAATACTATTTTCTTGGCACGATTCCGGACTTTGTTCTTGACATGAATGAATTTGACCAGATAAGATCCATCCCAATTGCGTGTTCTGGGCTACAGGACACCCGGGAGGACCCTTGATAAGACCTTCAACTAAAATCTGACCATACACGTCTGCGCCAAGTAACAAGTCTATTTTATTTGGTACGTCAAACTTCGGGTCAGCTAACTTCAATCTTGTTAGTTCTGGCCACAACTGAACTTTTACTTTCTTTGAGGGAAGAAAAGATGTCAGTTTGCTAAGCACATGGGCTTTGACGACCAAAGTGAATTGAGGATTATGAATTGACCTTAGCTTGATTTCAACTACCGACATAGAAGCTAAAGATTCATTTCCTCCTCCGATTCCGGAAATATGGACCTTGTTGGGAATTTTCTTCAGTCCAAGGGCTTGGACAGCAGACTCCGTGATCAACGAAGCCTGAGAGCCTTGATCCAACAAACATCTATAGACTAAACCAATACTACCTGTTCTTGACTCTACTTCAACAAGAGCTGTAGCCAAGAGGACTTGGCTATAACTATTTGAAAAATAGGTATCTAATTTAGTTATAGTCTCACCTTGTGAAGTGGTTGCTGAAGAAACTACTACACCTTTATCCTTAGATTCGGCATTCTCCGTTCCCTGCATTACATTTGGGGGGTGGAGCAAAGAATGATGCTTCCGTCTACACACTCTACATCTAGTGGATAGGCGGCATGAGTAAACGGAATGATTCGAGCCAAAACAGTTAAAACACAAACGACTGGTCTGGATAAAGCTATGTCGTGTTTCATAATCAGCCTTAGCAAAATCTTTACAATTTATTAATTTATGATTAGCCTTACAAAATTGACAATTTAAATTAGTATTATTAAAACTAGCATTATTTGAACTTTCAACTTGGGCGACATTAATTCCCTTTCTTACATTAGGAGCCTTAGATATAATACGCTTAGTGTCCAAAAACTCTAATGATCTAAATTTATGTTCTAGGAACTCCCTAAAAGCAGACAAAGTGGGCAATCCTTCAGTTTCATTTGACTTTAATTCCCATTGTTTTCTGGACTCAGGATCAAGCTTTTGAATCAATATGTAAATAACAATAATATCCCAATTACTAATGTCAACGCCTATGTTCTGTAGCGCGCTTAAACATTCGTTCATATTATCTAATAACTCCTTAATAGCACTCGATGATTCATATTGCAAAGATTTCTGGCTCATGAAACGTCTTAGAATATTATTAGATAAATATTTTTTATTATCATACCGATTAGTTAACTGAGTCCAGCAAACACTATAATTCTTATCAGTAATGGGAACATGTCTTAACAGCTGTTCCGCTTCTCCTGTCAAATGACTCTTGAGATAATGTAGTTTCTGAACATTATCTAATTTAATATTATTATGAATTAATGACGTAAAAAGATCTTTAAAACTTGTCCACTCCGTATACTTTCCCGAAAATTTCGGTATAGAAATCTCAGGTAATTTAACAAAATAATTAGATTTATCTTGTATATTTGATAATTTTGAAGTTTCTGCTACAGATTTAACTTTATTATGTAGTTTATTCAAAACATCTTTTAATTCTGTTTTATAATCAAAGTACACATTTTCAGTTTGATCATAAATTGAATTTGTATGATAACTAGAAGTTTCTAATTCGTTCTTACTGACTTCTGTAATTATTTGCCGATGTATGTCACAAAACGATTGCCACTGATTCTCTAACGCCTCTAAACGCGTTTCAACATATGAGACTGAAATACGATCTTTAGGTGATTTCCTAAAGTTGATTTTACCTTTAGAGATAAGCTCCTTATTATTCTCCTGAAGTTTAGTAAATACTTCCATGGCAATCTTTTAATGACACTTGACAATATTATCAAATATTTTTAAAACAGATTAAATTTCAAATTAAAAATAATATAAGTCCACAAACTATTCACTGTTCCGAAATTCACACAATTTTTTCTAAGTCAATGTAAACAATAAAATTCTCTAAGTGTTTGACAATTTGGGACATAGACAAATTTGGGCATAGGTTCCCCGTCAGTTCACTTTTCTTCGATAATCAGTCTATGTTTATACTAACTATAATTTTAATGTTTTATTCTTCTCTTTGACTTAAGGTCCACTTTAGTTTGGCAAAGTATTAAAGAATAAAGTACTCACGGTTTACCGGCACACTTCACTCACTATTATAAACTATCTTCTCATACTCCTGGTCCGGTCGTGTCGTCATGGGTCTTCTCCGTGACGTCATCAGCTGCTACCTCTCGCTCCCTCCAATACTGCGCTGACGTCACTGCCTTCTTCTTGGCTGAAATCCCTGGCTCCAAGCTCCAGGGTTGACACCATCGATGACAAACCGCCACCACGTCGATGCCGACTTACAAAAAACCCTAACTTCTAGGGGCCCGTAATCCGGCTCGAAGGACCAAATGTACGATCCACTTTTGCTTCAGGAGACACTTCGTCTCCTTCTGATGTCACAATAAAACAACCAGTGATTTGGACCGTCATTTAATATGTTTCTCAATTATCCTTTTAGCTAATTCGAAAGAACCAAACGATAGCGTGATTCAACATACCCATAACTCCATCTATCAGCAACAAAATGTAAACTAAATAAATGTAACGCAAATGACAACATAGATTGTACATTGTATCGGTTGGCACCGACTTTGAAAATACCTCATTAGGTATCTATAGTTATAGAAAACTCCCATTTTGTTATATTTTAGTGTATTGAGGTCGGTAATTTTAATGTTTAAAATTACACTCATGGTTTTACACAAAGAGCTATGTAATGCATATATAAATTATGACCTTAACAATGTGTAATTAAACCGCACAAAAAAACTATTTAAATTATAATCTATACATATAATAAAATTGTAACTAAAAAGCCAAATCTGTACATTAAATATTGTTTGGAAAATCTTATTGAAATAAACATTATTATCGATACAGATGCGGAATCTATAGTTTTTAGAATTTTTGTCTGTCTGTCTGTTACCGCATCACAGCAAATCCACTGGAGGGATTTTGATGAAATTTGGTATGGTGATAGCTGGTTATCCGGGTCAACATATAGGATACTTTTTATCACGGGAAATGTCTCATTTCTGAGAAAACATACAAAAACTGCATTGTAAGAGTATAGTAATATGTAAAAACTAAGAATTAGGTTTTTGGTCATCTGAACGCGGGCGGAGCCGCGGGCAATGCTAGGTAGGAATAAAATAATAATTCGGTGATATAACAATGTTGTTATTGTGGCCCGTGTGTATGAGACGATTTCCTATTCAAGGATATCCGAATGAGTGAACATGATAATAATATTATTTACATTAATGTTTTATATCGATTTTTTATAAACAATAAAATATACATATTTAAACAATAAAATTAAATAATTATTACGCAATATCACAACAACGCATAGGTCATGCCGACCCGTTTCTCTAAATTATTCTACCTGACCTATAAGCCTGGGCTCAGAAACGGTAAAAAAACCGGTTTATTTTGGTAATGTAATGGATAATTGATCGCTCGTTCTTACACCGGTTATAACAACGAACGATATCTATACGTCAAGTGTCCCTGTAAAATGAATACGTTTCAAATATATCTTTAACCGACTTCCAAAAAGAAGGAAGTTTTCAATTCGTTCTTTTTTTTTTACTATCTAGTCTCTCCCGTTTACCGTAAAGCCGGTCGAACGGCGATAAAATCCGAAAAGGTATTTATATAAACATTTTAAATGTAAAATATTCGCCTAAATCTAAGAACAAATATAATAAACAGCTGACATACCCATACACTAAAGACTCCCAGGTGCCGAGGTTGGCGAGCCCGCGGCGCTCCTCCAGCGGCGCGCGCGTGCTCACGTACGACTCCACCGAGTTCAGCGTGCCTGCGGGGCGCGGGGAGTGCATTTATTGTTAAACCATTGCTTAGCTAAATCAAATTCAAATATACTATAGCCTAATAGATTATTAAAAGCAGTTTTATATGGTATAATAGAAACAGTAAAACAGTAGAAACAGAAAAATAATAATAATAGATATACCTTAAATAACACAACATTAAGCATCCTTTAAATTAATCTGAGAACTATTATTTCGATACATTTTTAATGATGATCAAAGGTTTTTATATTAAAGCTATATTCTAACTTGCAATTTCTACTAAAACAAAATTGGTGTATAAAAATATGTGTGAGTGTCCAAAGTACAAATCAGACCTCCAAAATTCTGTTGAAGGTAAATAACCCCCATATCGTTGGGGATGCTGTCGAAGCCGCACGCGCTGACGACGTACACGCCGGCGTCGCGCGCCGCCTGGTCGTACACCAGTTGCATCGTCTCCATGAACTAGACCAACAGTCACACAAACACTATGTAAACCATATGTATATTAAAACTAGGTTCCTAGCAACGGCATATCAGTGTACTCATCCAAATCCGTTCAGCGGTTTCAGCATAAATGAGTATCAAACATACACACACGCATGTTCATATAATATGAATTCCGTAACTCGAAAAGTTATGTTCTCTCAGACATGCAGATTTCTCAACGTTTGCATTCATTATGGGAGATAAGCTCTCTCGCCAAGCTAATGATTAACAATGTCACTCTCCAGCCCTCCAACTATCTCCACACAAAAAATCACGTCAATCCGTCTCTTTGTTTTGACGTGAAAGAAGGACAAACAAACACACCTTTACATTTATAATATTAGTATGGATTTCTGTCAAGAAATTCTCAGTAAGAGCCCGGAGTTGGGAATTTGGCGGTGTTTACCCTTGGATTGAGACAGAGCACGTGTCGCGTCGCTGCTGCGGCTGATCTCTAACCACGAGTGTAAATAGAGTGCACTAGTCTCTCTTATAATGTTTCGACATTTTGTTAAACTTATTGTTTTAAGTAATATAGATACATAAAAATCTTGCTGAATGGTATCAGTAACAGAAATCGCTGTCGCCCATAACACCTACGGTTCATGCACTTAGATTTAATGTAACAAAACTGCAGAACCGCAGGTGCGTTGTCACTGTGAGGACTTAGATGATATGCCTCTTGCCTGTAATTGCACTGGCTACCTTATCCTTCAAACTGGAACACAACAATGTAATCATTGTTGCTTGGCGGAAGAAATAGATAAGGGGGTGGTACCCATCCAGTCAGACTCCTTAGACTTGACCTGCTACCACCGGTAGAAGCCTCGGTCGGTCGGTGGAGCGATCGCCTTATACTCGAGCTCGGTATATTATACAATTATTTTCGCCACGTCATAATCAGGAGTTATTATAATAACTTTTATCACTGTTTATGATATCAACAAATTAGCAAAAAACTGTCTAAGAAAAAATCTTTTGAGGGACATATTATTTCATTAAGATTCAACGAAAAAGTTTATTTAGGTCTTTACGTTATCAGCTAAAATTACTTTTCAATTAGTTATCTCATCATATCCAAAGAGCATTATGTCAAGCTATTATAGCAATTATCGTACATTGGGTCAAACAATTATGGAAATTTCCAACAAAATGAAAAAAAAAACTATATTTATTTTTATTAACATACTAGCGACTAACCCTCGCTGCGCTTGGGTGCGGCCCTAAGCTTAAATGTTTTAGGAACGCATAAAAGACAAACGCGTAACGAAAAAGTCTTTTTTTTGGGTCTGGACCCTTTGCAATCACAGAATAACCAGAGTTTCATCATAATCGGATCAATCGTTTAGGAACGTATAGAGGGCAAACATACGAACATTTATTTTATTTTTATTTATACAGAAATAAATTCATATTATATTGAAAATGTATTAAAAAGCCGCACGAGAAGGACAAAAAACTGAAAAATCTATTGATTCCTACAAATTTACTCTAGATGTTTTTTTTTTTCATAAAATTCACATAGTTGCGCACGCGCAACAATGTGTTACTCGTTTGTGAAGGAATACAATAACATTCCGTGAGTGGAGAGCATTCACGCTATCGCGATCGCTGTGTATTTCAAGCTGAACGTATGCAAGTTTCTCTACACATTACTAGATAACATCTATCGTACATAATTCGTTATCACAAAAATTAAACTCATTTCGAAATAGCCTCAAATGTCTAATTGCTTCACTCTCAGATCTAAACCTATTCAGTAAACAATAATTAGGTACTTTATAATCATACTATATAATTACTTAAGGTGCATTTTTTATGCTCAATTTATGTGTGGGAAGTAAACGTTAGTAAAGTCTATTCATAAAAAAAGAATAATCGAAAATGTAACTTACAATTCACAAAAAACACGTGTGTGTGTACTTATTTATGTACGCACGTAAGAAGTTATAATTTTTTGGGGTAACAGGACAATAATAGCTAAAGATTTCATCCCGTATGTCACAACTCTCTGTTTGTAAAAGGAATGCAGCTAACTTCATCGTGTCGCTATTTGGCTGTCGGTGTGCGCGCGCATCGTAAAAATTTTACGACCATATTTTTTTCCAAGCGTGTCAAAAGAAGTATAACTTCAAAAATGAATTTAAAACGCACGCACCCAATATTCTCTTCTTAATCAAAGTCGATCTAAAATTGACTGATCTTTATATAACCTTAAAAAGTAGCGTGAGTTTTATTCCATATTATACTTATATAAAAGTTATACATATTGAAGTTAATCTGAGTCGGCAATTTTTTTTTTAATCTTATTGAAATAGTCATTATGATCGATAGAGGCCGAATCTATAGTTTTTAGAATTTTTGTCTATCTATCTGTCTGTCTGTCTGGGAACGCATCACGAGAAAACCACTGAAGGGATTTTGATGTAATTTGGTATGATGATAGCTGGTTATCCGGGTCAACATATGAGACACTTTTTACTGCGGAAAAAATTTCTCATCTCTTTGAAGTCAGCTAAAATCTTTTCGACAACGAATTTGTTATAAGAAAATCCATTAGTTATGTACGATTGAAAATTAAACGTAGGGGTATGTTTTTAAACACTTGGCTCAGTGCCCGCCACCGGTCCCGCCCACTTCGGAGGAAGTTGAAATTTCAACTTCCTGTTAGTTTTTTAGTAATATTAGTTTTTTATCACCAGTAATGAAAATCCGGTTAGGATAGTAAAAATTCCATAAATATGATACGACACATCACGATCTACGTACATTTGAAAAAATCTTCCCTATATATATATATTTTACCAGCGGTCCACCCTTGCTTCACTCGGGTTGGTCCCTAGGTACGTTTTAACTGTTAGTATGGAATAGATGGACTCCCTTGAGTAGTAGTATGATGATATATAGCTTATAGCCTTCCTCAATAAACGGGTTATCTAATGCAAAAAGAATTTTGCAAATAGAATTAGTAGTTCCTGAGATTAGTGCGTTCAAACAAACAAACAAATAATGCTGCCTCTTTATAATTAAGTATAGATTAAATCTTTCATCATCTTTGCCATTAGCATTTAATGCAATACCTCTATCGTTTTACATATTACAATATTAATTTACCTGAGGTTCCCCACTAACGTCCACGTAATGCGTCTTGCTGTCTATGGCCGCCTTGACAACCGGCTCGCCGTAGTGCCTGTAGGGCCCGCAGCAGTTCACCAACACTTTGGCTTGAGAACACATTTCTTTCAAAGACTTCTCGTCTTGGACATCCGCTATTATTATCTTCACAGATGATAAATCTTCATCTGTAAAGGAAAAAATACGTATCTATGAGATTGTTGAACATTTTTCACGGAAACGAACCCCTAACCAACCTAAACCCCTATTTATGTACATACTTGTAACTTTTTCCATCTAGTCCACCAAATATGTATGAAGTAAACCGAAAAAAATATCAAAGGTCATGGATGTTTATTATTTATATTTAAATAAATGTAGTGTATCAACTATCTGGTAACCAAAACACAAGCCTCGTAGCTTACCTTGGAACTAGATGGTGATGTGTGTTAATGTCCCAACATATTTATTTATTTCTAAAATATATTATGCTAAGAAAAAACCCATATATTCATACAAAAGTACATTAAAAAATAAAAACCGTATCTTCTCGCTTCGATAGTATTATTTAAACGAAATGAATATTCACGTGATTTATTATCAAAACATTTTTCAATAATAACAGCCCTTTCAAACTTTGGACTATATTGGGCAAGCGGTTCGATAAAAGCAAATATAGGTCAATGCACTGGAAGGAGGATGTACACCTACGCAAATTCCTGAATTTAAATCGACTCTTTTAACGATGCAGTCATAAAAGTAAAAAAAAAACAATACTTAAAAAACTGAAGTAAACAAATTGTTTATATCCATACTAATATTATAAATGTGAAAGTGTGTTTGTTTGTTTGTCTTTCTTTCACGCCGAAACGACTTAGCGGTTAGGCGTGATTTTTTGTGTGGAGATTGAGTTGGAGGGCTGGAGAGTGATATAGGCTACTTTTTACTGCGGGAGATTTTCTGTTTCCCATGGGAAAACACGTTATAATACAATCCAAAAAAATATTTATTATCAGAATTACTTGAAACTTGATATAAATGCTCTTCAATACAATTCATTAGTAAATACGTGTTTTAGCATTTTTCGAAATTCATCCCATAAGAGGGTAAAATAGCGCAAAAGTTTGTATGAAACCTAGCATTTTAGTTTTTTTTGTAGTTTTAGCGCGTTAGCAAAGCCGCGGGTTCTGCTAGTTATAATATATATGATATCATCATCGTTACTCATATTTTTTGTTATGACTATTTTAAACAAGGTCATTGCAAAATAACTAGTCGAGTAAAAACTCAAAACGTTATGCTTAACATTTTTGTATTTTATTATATTTTATCAAAAACTTAATTTCATTAATAAGTTTATTTTAAATGAATTTGTTACTTTTTACAACTTGTTTTTCATTACGATCGGATTATACGCACGTTATACCTGTACACTTACTTTCAACTATTTCAGAACACGTTTTACGATTTTTTTTGGATATTATACATAATACATTCAGCCTGCAAGTCATTTTCAAAGGAGATTTTAAGCCTCATTATGTTAAATACAGGTGAATATGTACAAAGTACAAACGACATGATTACAAAACAAAAAAATATATCTCATAATAACCGCGTGGCCGAAATTTCAAAACTTCAATCAAGCGCCAATTAAAATAATAGTATTATAATTTTTATTATTTCACCCGGTCGCGTACTGTATGTAACAAACTAATATCTTACTGAACTAACTACCGCTAGAGACTCGACGTACCGCTGATAGAAGAGCTGAACCTCTGCTACTCTATAACCCATAAACCAATATCTATCCTCATGCAATGAATTGCGACATAACAACAAATAAATATGTTGGAACATTAACACACGTAATGTATGTAACAATCACCATGTAATGTCAATAACATAACAAAAATCCAATATGCCGTGTCCATTTTCTTCTTTCTACCTCATTGGTCTAGCGAGTAGCATGTAGTAGGGAGGCAGATACCGGACCCACAAATGTGTCCAGAATTGCCGGATTCTATCTCCAGTATAATTATTAAGATTTCCTATCAATAAATTCTCAGTAACAACCCGAGTTGCGAAGTCGGCGGAAGAGCACGTAAGGCTTTCGATCCTGCGTCTCTCTCACCGGGTTTGTGATAGTGAAAAGGAAGAATGCACTTTAGTATGCGCACACATTTTTTGTTTGTACTATATTGTACTTACCTCTTGCGCCAAAGGAACATGGTCAATCTAAGTGTATTCAGCCCTTTTTAACGTCCCACTGCTGGGCACGGGCCTCCCTTCAGTACGAGAGGAATCAGGCCATAGTCCACCTCGCTGGCCAAGTGCAAATTGGCGGACTTCACATGTCTTTTGAAAACTTGCTAGGTTCTCTTAGACATGCAGGTTTCCTCACGATGTGTTCCTTCACCGTTAAGACAAGTGGTAATCATGTTGGATATGATTCGCACATGAAAATATCAGAGGTGCAAGACCCAAGATTTGAACTAGCTTCACTCGGTTTCCCAAGCGAGCTCGTTACCACTGGGCTACCACTGCCTATCTAAGTAACCGGTCAGAACTCAGGATATTATGATGCCGTTACCAGGTAGAAGTTTGTTCGTTTATATGAATAAAATTTGGCTTTATTGCCTTATTTGTTATTTAAGTAAAGATTATTTTACTTCAATTAACTGTTTTGCTTTTTTTATGAACAAGGTCGATATTAATAATATAGGTATGTATATCAAGTATAAGTAATAATTATATATATTTATAATATGTATGTATTTAAAGTTATATATGTGTAGTGTATCAACTATCTGGTATCCATAACACAAACCTCGTACCTTACCATGCAACTAGATGGTGATGTGTGTTAATGTCCCATTTATTATTATTATTATAATTAACTGTACATTTGTATTTATATTATTGGTATATTGGTATATTGTAATTTCCTTCATTGAACATTCAAAAAAAGAAGAAAATTATAAGTCAGATTTACATATGGATTCAGTTCCGTATGTATATGTTACCATTTTTATCATGAATTACTGATGTAATTCTCTTCTAAATTTATACATATATATGTATGTATAAATAAGACTTTAAACTTAATATATCTAAATAATTTCGAATATATTAAGTTTAAAGAATTTTTATTCTCAAAAAAGACAAAGTCACTTACACGAGAACAACATAATAGCATAAAGTAAAAAATATGCAAATGGTCGCCACGTAAGTAGTTCCAATATCTAACGGTCACATTTTAATACTATCTTAGATTTACGCGAATATTTGACATTTTAAATAAAACTATCTTTTCAGATTATTTCGCGGATTTATTTTGATTTTTGGTTCCTGACGTTTCAATGCTTTACAGCAATCATAGTCACGGAAAAGACTCAGGTTTTAGACGTCTCAAAAGCAAGGAAACGTCGGGAAATAAAAATTAAAATAAATCCGGGAAAAATCCGAAAATATAGTTTTATTTAAAACTCATATTTATACTATGAAATGTTGAACACGACTCAAAATCCAAATGTTATGATTAAAGTCCATGCCACTAAATAAATCTGCAGTAATTGTAGAATTTTCTAGGTCATTGCATACTTATTTACATTATCGGTTAGAATAATTTGTGTGAATACGTTGAAAATAGAAAACGCCCGAATACAAAACTTGCCTCCGTCGAGATGGAATGTTCTTCACAGATTTAACGTTTTTGTTTTCATTGGTTTTACATTTACGAGAATGTTTACATCTGCATGTTGTTACTACTACCTATTATAAAACCACAAAACCACGCCTAAATTGGAAAATGACGACTATAATCACTTTGTAGCTAACTCAATGATGAGCATGAGACGCAAATTAGGCTGAGATTTTCCAGTTCGAATCAAAAATTAGAAGAGTTGTAGAAGAAATATCGGATTTAGATACCAGAAATATTTTACTGAATGGTAGAAGATGGTCGTGTAATAGCCTTGTATAACTAACAGCGTTCATTCGATTACTACAGTATGCCAATTCCGTTTTTAAATGACCAGTGATACGACCCCAGATCATGACCGATGCACCTCCATGAGCTCGACGAGACGTTATATTACGTTTAAACCTTAAATCATACCAATAATATGAAAACATGGACCAAAAATTGGACCGTCAAAATTAAATTTCATTCATCAGTGAAAATCACGTGTTGTCAGAAGTTTTTTCCTTTTTTGATATATGTTTCTGTAAATTTTAGTCTTTATGCAACAAGCTGTGCTTCTAAGACAGGTATACTTAGATACTCCTGATATTTAAAGCGTCTGGGCTCTTGTGCCCACTTTATCACAAGACTAGCATCATAGTTTAAATTAAATCTACGCATTAACGTCGATGATGATGCTCCAGTACTTGATAATACTCTTAATACTGCTCGTTTAACAGTAGGAAGAAATTTTGGCAGGCGTTCTGAACGTTCTATTTTGCCATAGCTTTCAACACCTAGCTTCAAAAAGTTTTTCACCACACCCTGTGATCTACAAATAATATCAGCTTTTTGCCTTAGAGTTTTACCGATCAACAATTCTTTGTTTTTCAAAAGAATTACTTCTTTACCGCGAGGCATCGTAAAACAAAATAAATTTAATAATTAACTATGATTAACCCCGAAAGTCATAGTCGGTAAGAAAAGCCGCGTTGACACGCTCAAAGTCTGCTTTGACGAAGTAGCTTCGATCAAAGTTTACTTGGATACCTGTTGACACGCTCAATTTGACCAATAAACTTTGACAAAAAGCTTTGAAATGAAATTTACTATGATAAACACGGCTCCAAGTTTACTTTGATTGAGCGCCAACGTCAAAGTGCGCTTTGATTGCTTGTTTACATGATCAAACTTGCGTCAAAGTAGTCATGAAAACTTTGTTAAAGTAGACTTTGTAGTAGGGGAGCCCAAGAGGGGATTTTCTGTAGTTACTCGAGCGCGGCAGATTAACATAAAAGAGGTTACCTTGCACTCTATTGAGTACTTTCACCATAATATAAGTCTTCTATATAAAGGGGCGCGTCTAGGGAAGCCGATTAAAATATTTAAAAAATGTTTTGATAAGGTAGAAATACTTGAAACCGTCAGATTAAGGTGTGGTAGGCTAGTCACATCCTGAAAAGTGTCCAATTCAATAATCTGCCGATTTGCACAAGCCGAAGAGGCAAAAATCGACTATAAAGTTTATGATGAGTTTTGCCTCTTAGGCTTGTGCAAATCGGCAGATTATTAAATTGGACACTTTTCAGGATGTGACTAGCCTACCACACCTTAATCTGACGATTTCAAGTATTTTTACCTTATCAAAACATTTTTTAAATATTTTAATCGGCTTCCCTAGACGCGCCCCTTTATATAGAAGACTTATATTGTGGTGAAAGTACTCAATAGAGTGCAAGGTAACCTCTTTTATGTTAATCTGCCGCGCTCGAGTAACTACAGAAAATCCCCTCTTGGGCTCCCCTACTATTGATCGTGTCAACGCGGCTTAATGTAAATTTCATGAGCACAATGACAAAAGAAATATGTTTAATTCAGTAGGTTGTCAAAAAAATGTCAATAGGTTCAATTCAGCGTATTAAAAACAAAGTCACATTCGCTCCAGTATTAAGGTCACGCAAATAAAGTATACATATTATAATTATAAAGTATATTGCGTAGTACAAACCATGTCTTTATTAAACAGATTATTTTGTTAGATTAAATTTTTCAAGTACTGAAAAACTCGTCGAGTCTATATTTTTTCACAGCACTTTATATAGTATAGATTATTATTATTGTAGATTATCCCGTGACAAACTTTATCAAAACTCCGTCACTTATCCCGCGGGATACTTTTCTTGGGATATAAAAAGCGGATAAAATGTCACCTTCGATCTAATTCTAATTTAAAGTCCTGTTAAAAAGATGGGGATTGAAAAAGATGAATTGAGGAATAGAAATTTTAAAAATTGTATTTATAGGTCTCGTTTTGTCATACTCATTATATATATATATATATATATATATATATATATATATATATATAATATGGTATTCCCCAAATATTTTTTAAGATTTTTCAACAATTGTAAGCATAAATATGTAAGCCCAAACCGAATACGTACAGGCTACATACCTCAAGCCATTTGGAAACTTAAATACATTTACATACATGTATTACTGTCATATTTAAAATGTATATCATGGCCCAAAAACAATCTCCATATAGTCGTCAAACTGTGACCTTTACTGCACAGAAAGAAATACCAGCTTTAGAATGATAATAGCTTTTACGTGTAAACGTACTGTCTAGAAATCCTTCTCCTCCTATTATAAATGCGAAAGTTTGTGAGGTAGTCTGGATGTATAGATGTATGGATGTTTGTTACTCTTTCACCCAAAAATTACTGAATGGATTTTAATGAAATGCAATAATATAGCTCATACATCAGAATAACACATACTGGCTACTTTTTATCCCGGAAAATTTACGGTTCCCGTGGGATAGATTTGTTTTTGTTTTTCTAGAGGCGAAACTGAGCGAAGCGAGGCTAGTAGTTAGTATATAATATGATAAACGATGACATCTGATATGTTTACCTACAAATTATTATCTTTTCTTATGCAATATCACTGTTCTATATAATTACACATTATTAATCTATAAGTACACTAGCGGCTCACCCTCGCTTCGCTCGGGTTCGTCGCTAGGTACGTTTTAAATAGATATAAAAAGAAAAAATCTTTCTTTCTCACATTTTAATTATATGTTTTAATACTTACCTATTCCGGACTAAGAGAAATCCAAAAATTAAAATATCATAAAAATTGGAACGCGGTCGAACGGGATAAAAAGTATCCTATGTCCTTCTCCTGGCTCTAAACTACCTCCCTGCCAATTTTCAGCTAAATCGGTTCAGCCGTTCTTGAGTTATAAGCGAAGTAACTAACACGACTTTCTTTTATATATATAGATATAATAAAATTCTAACTAAGCCGAATCTGTACATTAAATATTTTTTGGAAAATATTATTGAAATATACATTATTATCGATACAAAGGCCGAATCTATAGTTTTTAGAATTTTTGTCTGTCTGTCTGTCTGTTACCGCATCACGGTAAAACTACTGAAGGAATTTTCATTAAATAAGGTGTGGTTATAACTGGTTATCCGGGTCAACATATAGAATATTTTTTACCGCGGAAAAATATCTCATTTCTGAGAAAAAATACAAAAGTGCAATGTAAGAATATACTAATATGTAAAACCTAAGAATTTGGTTTTTGGTCCTCTGAACGCGGGCGGAGCCGCGGACAATGCTAGTGTAATTGTAAAGCATTAGATCTTCAATCAGATAATTCGTGTTACTTTTTTTTTCTAATTTTCTGATAACATGAAACATAAATTTCACAAAGTAAGACCCTTTTAAATTTTACTTATTTTTTTTACTAAAATTAGTTCTAATTAGTAACTACCGTTGGCACCCTTCGGCTAGGGAGTCCTAAAAAAAGAAGGTCAAAAGCAATCCATTTATTAATTTTACCTACGCATGTATCCTGCCGTGTCTAACTGTACCTATTTGGTGGGATAACGAAAGAGAAAAAATATAAAAAAAAATCATTTTATCCTATTCCGCCTTTCTACCGTAACCCATCATCAATCACAAGTAATCACCTATTTCCACCGTAAGGTTATAATGCAAAATTATAGAGCATCGAAACGGCAATAATCCCTTCAATTTACTGACACTACCTTGGCGACCGAGCTCCACTCGGAGATTTTGGCTTTTTTTTTTAACTAAAAAGTTGAATAAATACAATAAAAAACAAAAGTAAAAACTTTGAATCCCACCGGGATACTAGCCCGGACACCTGAGACAGTCACTCTTGCGCCTTGGCCGCTTGACCACGATTCTTATGCAGCCGAGCGTGCGAAATTAGAGACCATATGTTGCGTGGAATAATGCGAAAACTCGAAAACACGCGTTTTCCCAGACATAATACTAATCTAGATCGATTTTTCGTCCCCGAAAAACCCCCCATACCAAATTTCAGCGAAATCGTTAGAGCCGTATTCGAGATCGTCGGTATAAATAAATAGATAAGAATTGCTCATTTAAAGGTATTATTAGATAGATAGATAACTTACCAGTTTTCTTTGAGATTTCCTTCAACATCTCTTCGAGCTTGCTCTGATTGCGACCTGCGACGCCCCACGTCATTCCCGGGTATTCCTTCGATATGCGACATTGTTCTTGAACAGCATGCTTCCCCGTGAAGCCCGTAGCCCCGAATATCACCAAGTCGAGTCGCGACATCTATATTTTAAATAAGTAATATTATTTTATATCTATGTTTACATGTCTTCAGCCCTTTTTAACGTCCCACTGCTGGGCACGGGCCTGCCTTCAGTACGAGGGGAATCAGGCCAAAGCCACGCTGGACAAGTGCGATTTGGGGGATTCACATATCTTTTGAAAGCTTGTTAGGTTCTCTCAGACATGCAGGTTTCCTCACGGTGTTTTCTTTCACCGTAAGACAAGTGGTAATCATGTTGGAAATGATTCGCACATAAAAATATCAGAGGTGCGAAACCCGGGATTTGAACTCGCTTCACTCGCTTACCCAAGCGAGCGCGTTACCACTGGGCTACCACTGCCTTCATATGTATATATAAACATATATGTATGATCGTAAATATTTAGCCAAACTTAAAAATTAAAACCCATGATAGTCCAAGCAAAATCCGCGCACCCGGACGCAACCGAGCGAAGCAAGGGTAAATCGCTAGTGACTGAAATAAGCGTTTAATAAAATATTAAGATATTGAATAGACAATGGAAAAATAAACGAATTTTTATGGGAAATTATGAATGCGTGAACAGAATTATATAGAGGCAGTTTTAAACAATTTATTAATTACTAGCGACTCACCCTCGCTCCGCTCGGGTTCGTCCCTAACGTGGGCCATCCTTATCACTTAGGGGTATGGAAAATAGATAGTAGCCGATTCTCAGACCTATTGAATACGCATATAAAATTTGGTAAAAATCGGTAAAGCCGTTTCGGAGGAGTACGGTAACTAACATTGTGACATGGAAATTTTATATATAAGATTAGATTAGTGTGTACCAAATATGTAAATATGCAGGTAATTAACAAATCATACATCTACCTACGTGTAAAACGACTACTACATTCGAGCTGGTGTTAATTTTTTTGTAAAATCGCGTTTTTTTTCGGAAATGTTATAAAAATTGAATTTTTCAGAAAAAAGTCCTTATCAATACAAAATTTGATCCAAATCGTTAGTTTCCGAGATACACAAAATAAATTTATATATACATAAGTACATATAAGTATTATATTGTTCATTTAATATTAATATAATTTCTTGTCGATTCTTACTTCTAGATTTTTATTAATTACTTAGCTACTGATATATGCAAAAAATTTCCGATTAAAAATCAGCGGACTCGATTACAGACTAAAATAAACTATTTAAACCTAGGACTTTGCTTTTTTATTTTTTTTTTAAATTCAAACCCCAAAATTCGTCGAGCATTTTTTTCTTTTTCTATAGTTTCAAAGTTTAGTTTTATTCAGATAATTGGATTATGAAGTGTTTATTCCAAAATGCTGAGGGGCTTTTTTTACGTAAAGAATCCTACAAAATTCGGCCAAGGAGATATTTTATTCTTAAAACATTTGCTTTAATCTAATTATGAAGCGTACATAAATTTAGTAAGTAGATAATTATTATTAAAATCTATATCTATCTCTATCTATCTATCCCTAGAATTACGTTTTAACATTTAGTATAGATTTCTCAGAAATATTTTCCCGCAGTAAAAAGTATCCTATATGTTGACCCGGATAACCGGCTATCATCATACCAAATTTCATCAAAATCTCTCCAGTAGTTTTTCCGCGATGCGGTAATAGACAGACAGACAACAATTCTAAAAACTATAGACTCTGCCTCTGTATCGATAATAACGTCTATTTCAATAAGATTTTTCAAATAATATTTTATGACAGATTCGGCTTTCAATTAATTAAAATTTTATTATATGTATAGATAACATTCCTAACTCCAAAAACAATTTACACGCAGTTGCGCAGGTCAGATAATATGCGTCAGAAATAATAATCAGTTTGCTTTACGGCATGCGTCACCTTTAGACATCCATATTATATATGGGATTGTTATTTTCCTTGATAAAACTGTAACATGCTAGTGTATTTATAATATTTCTATTAAAATAATAACCCAGTATCATCATCATCTCCCTGCCCATTTCCCAAATTACTATAATGTACAGCATATATTCAAATAATAATTTAAACTGATATTGTTTTAACTCGCAACTGTAAACATAAAGTTAGACAGTCTGGACTCTGAGTCGGGCTTAAAAATAGCTTCCTGATCGTTAATCGAATTGATGATGCGGCGTTGCTAAGTAACACGAGAGTACTTTAGTTAACAAAAATTTATATGTACAATGCGCATGTGATTTGTTTCGCAATTCTTGTTACGGTAGCGTATTATAGTTGGGGAAGTCTTATCAAATAAATGAAAAACAAATTTTATACACTACAACATGCTGTATGATAAGGAAATTTTGTTAATAATGTATGATATTAGATCGATTTTTTCCATGATAACGTAGTTAAGTTTAAATTTACTAAAAGGCACTTACTTTATTGGCTTGTTGATAAATCTTGAAAGATAAAAATGATTTTAGGAAGGTTTTTATTAGCTGTTATTTATCAGTTTAATCCGACTGGATACTGCCGATTACAAATACAATCTGCAGTGTTTTGTAGTTCGACGCTCCGCCGCCGGCCGGCAAATCGAATTATTCTGCGAAAGAAAAAATCGCGCCGCTCGCTACTTACAGATTATTTAAAATATTATACAAGAAGATTTATAACCTGTACTGCCAATTAATACTATTCAATTATATTGGTCCATAAATTGTATAAAATACATAATAAAATTTATTATGTAACAACTTTAAGATAAATTATGAAAATACTTTTTGAAATAATTGATTATATATAAAGTCACTTGTACACATGCTGAAATGAAACGTTGCCATACTCATTTTCTAAGTCCTTAGTCGTGTCAAGTGTCAAAGTCAGTACTCTGTTGATAATTTTGTGAGTGCTCTAACCTAAAAAATATTTATTATATCAATAATTTAATAAAATGGAATTAAACGAAAGGATTTTAAAATACCTAGAAAGTAGTGATAAAATTGATACACTAATATTAGCTAGTGAATTTAATGAAGACCATCAAAAAATAGTTGGGGCTGTTAAAAGTTTAGAAGCACTAGAAATGGTTATATCAGAGCCAGTAAAAAGCACAAAATGGGAATTAACGGATGAAGGAAAGTTAGTTGCAGAAAAAGGAAGCCATGAAGCTGTTCTGTATAGAAGTATTCCCGAAGACGGAATGCCTCAGGCTGAAATAATGAAGGTAATCTAAAACTTTCTTATGGTCATTATATCACTATTGCTTCTCATCATAGCTATACATTACTTATTAAACCTATTTTCAGACTGTACCAAATGCTAAAGTAGGTTTTAGCAAAGCTATGTCCCTTGGATGGATATACATGGACAAATCTGGAGGGCCACCACTAATTAAAAGGAAAATCAATAGTATTACTGATGTAGTACAAGATTATCTCAATCAAATTAGAAAAGGAATCGATAACTTACCTGATAATGTACGAAGTGATTATAAGAAGAGAAAACTTCTTCAAGAGATCACACTGAAAAGTTTCTTATTATCTAAAGGACCACAGTTTTCGACATCAATAAAAAAGTTGGAAACTGACTTAACAAGTGAAATGTTGTTGACTGGATCATGGAAACAATTACAATTCAAACCATACAATTTTGATGCACTTGGTAAGTCCTTTTTTTGATTTAAAATAGATTTTCTAATGATATTAATATACAGTTAAAACCGTTTATGACGACATAGCTTAGAACAACATATAAGTTATATTGACCAAAATCAAAGGTCCCGGCTGAATGCTATATGACCGCCTTATTAAAAGTATTGCTTTTTACAACATTGCTTATTACGAAATACCTCTTTGTCTAAGAATAAACAATAAAAATATATAGGAGTAATCATAATAAGTTTGTGAACTTTAACCATATATTATTTAAAAATAGATCATTTTATAATAATCCTATAATTCAAGATATTCAAAGAACATTTAGATGTTATTATTGAGAGTCACTATATATTTTAATGTGTTATCTAAAGCCACTTATATTTTTATCACATGTTTATATTGATTAATATTATTTATTAACATAGATAACCATGTTCAGTGTTGTATATTTAAATTCAAGTGCAAAATTATTTAAGTAAAAATATATATGCAATAGTAATTTAACTTTTAAAGCCTTGTTTATTAATACAGTCAGATTCATCCCTAGGTACATTTTGACATTTTGTTTTTGACAAAAGTTGATTTAACTCAGTAAAAAGCATTCATGTGAAAAAATAAATTATATACAATAGCATGATTGTCAACTTCACTAATCCTTGTTCAGGGCAACCACCTGAATGCGGCCACCTCCATCCATTACTAAAAGTGAGATCGGAATTTAGGGAAATTTTCCTAGAAATGGGTTTTACTGAAATGCCAACAAATCAATATGTTGAGAGTTCTTTCTGGAACTTTGATGCTCTCTTTCAACCTCAGCAGCATCCCGCTAGAGATGCGCATGATACATTTTTCATTTCATCTCCCAGTCAATCCACGCAGTTTCCTATGGACTATTTAGAAAGAGTTAAAACTGTTCATAGCAAAGGCGGTTATGGATCGCAGGTGAGGGTTACTCATACTTTTTTATTTTATGATGTTTTGAGCAAGGCTCGGAACCGGTTTAAAAAAAATGTTTGTTTCGGTAATGTAATGGAAAATTCATCGCTCGTTCTTTAACCGGTTAATGAAAGCGAACGGTTTAGTAAATCGAAATAATAATGGTTAACGGTTATTCTTAGAGAAAGGTTGGATTTCGGTTTTGATACCGAAATAAATCGGTTAATTCATTCATAAGTATCATTTAAATGTACTGCATCCTGCTACTAAGCCATTTACGATAAGAAAGACACGACAAAGAAAATGTAAACGCACAAAAACTCATTTTAACAGATTAATTTTGGTCATGGATCCTAAATTCGTTATGAACCGTTCTCCTGGATTTAACCGGTTAAAGAACGTAACCGAAACCTTAAGCCGAAAAGCCTTTCGGTTTGGGTTCAATGGCTAAAACCGGTTTAAAAATTGAATGGGTTTTCCGAGCCCTGGTTTTGAGACCCAATATAAAAAAATACATACAGTGTTGTGAGTCAATTCAACATAATATAAAAGATACTCTAAAATGGGTTTCTTCTATTACCTGTGGAACTATATAACTAAATATGGAATTCTTTTCTCCGTTATAGGGTTATAGATACGACTGGAAGATAGAGGAGGCTCAGAAGAACTTGCTCCGCACGCACACCACGGCGGTGAGCGCGCGCATGCTGTACAAACTGGCCCAGCAGAAGGAATTCACTGCCCAGAAATACTTCAGCATTGATAAAGTATGGAAGATACAATTAATATTCTGAAAAAACCTATTCTAAAAATTCTTCTAATATTCCAGACAGTGGCTTAGCTATGCCAATGCAACCAATGCGGTCGCATGGGGTCCCTCATCCAAAGGGGCCTCAGTGGACCAAAAACATTTTCTAAATAGTTTTTCTAGGCTCTCATAAAAGTTAAAAAAAAACACAATAAATCTGTCCTTTTCCGCATATTCTTTTTTACGAGGACCTTGAGGAATGTGATCGTACTTTAGTTCTTTAAAACGATGAATCTCTAAGCTCAGCTTTTTTACTGAATTTTACTCTACCCAACAAAAAAAATCTACAAGAAAATCGACAATTCTAAGTTAATCGGAAGTACCTACCCTATAGGTTTTGGGTCGAAAATCTACGAGTATATGGTCGTTCCCGTTGACCTAGAATCACGAAATTTGGCAAAAAGCAAGGTCTTACAGCACAAATAAAGGAAAAATTCCAAAAATATAAAAAAAGTTGAAAATTAAAGTTAAGCAGATTTCCTACAAATTTATACAAAACCTTCTGTGGACGATTTCAACTCACACTTGTTCGTAAATTTTTTTAATCATATAACTTAAATATGGTATGAATATTACTATGACACACACACGCACACACGAACCACGCAGGTGTTCCGCAACGAGACGCTGGACGCCACGCACCTGGCGGAGTTCCACCAGGTGGAGGGCGTGGCGGCGGCGCGCGGGCTCGGCCTCGCCGACCTCATCGCCACGCTCGACGCCTTCTTCTCGCGCCTCGGCTTCCGCCAGCTGCAGTTCAAGCCCGCCTACAACCCCTACACGGAGCCCAGTATGGAGATATTCGCGTATCACGATGGTGAGCTTCTATCTGTCATTCATTCATTATATAGGACAAGCGACCGAGCGAGGGTGTCGCTTCGCTTCGAGTTTGTCCTGAGATAAAAACAAATCTATCCCTCGGGAACCGGACACTTTTCCGGGATGATATATAGCCTATAGTCTCAATGTTAAAATATTATTATTAAGATATTCCTCAATAAACCAGCTATCTAAAGCGAAAAGAATTTTTCAAATCGGATTTATAGTTCCTGAGATAAGCGCGTTCAATCAAAGAAACAAACAAACTCTGCATCTTTATATTATACTTAAAGATGTTTTCATTATATATAAATGCTAAATTACTATCCTTCTAACCCCCTAGGTTAACTGGAATGATCTCTTTTAGAAATAAGTCCACCTTTGCCTTCCATCTTGCTCTTAATATTTGTAATTTTCGTTTTTTATTTGCAATAAAGAATATATATATATATATATATATATATATATATATATATATATATATATATATATAAAACTACCCTTGCCTTCACCCGACTCACCTTGCCTTCGTTCGGATTCGTCCCTAGGTTGATTCCCCATACAAATTTTTATCCCGATTTTCGCCCTCTTAAGAGATGATTTCCGGGATAAAAAGTATGATATGTCCTTCTCAGGGTCTCAAACTATTTTCTTAACAAATTTCATCTAATTCGGATCCAGAGATTATCCCCTACAAACTCACAATTCACAAACTCACAAACTTTACCTTTTTATAATATTAGTATAGATAAAGTTTTTTCCATCGGCTACGGAACTCTAAAAAGCTTATCACTCTTAGGGCTCGGTAAGTGGATAGAGATCGGCAACTCCGGGGTGTTCCGTCCCGAGATGCTGCTGCCGATGGGGCTGCCGGCGGACGTGCGCGTGATCGCGTGGGGGCTGTCGCTGGAGCGCCCCACCATGATCAAGTACGGGCTGACCAACATCCGCGAGCTCGTGGGGCCGCGCGTGGACCTGCGCATGGTGCACCACAACCCTGTCTGTAGGCTGGATAAGTGAATATATACACTTTGTCAATTGTTATGGCGTTTTATTTGTTTTTTTTTTTCGTTTAGTTTTATATTATTTTATGATTATTGCTCCTTGTAAGTTTGATTTGAATGACAAAAAGCTTTTGGTTAAAAAGTACAATTTTCTTTTTAAAAAAAAACAATAACAACATACAAAAAAAAACAAAAATAAATTATACCTTTGCATCCGACCGGGATTTGAACCCGGACGCCTATGATTGTCAATCTTGCGTCTTTTTAAAAAAAAACTAAAAACTTGAATAAATATAAAAAAATAAATAAAAGTAAAAACTTTGTATGCGACCAACATTCGAACCTGGACACCTGTGATTGTTGATCTTGCACCTTGGCCGCTTGACCACGATGCTTTTTTCTGAGCGTGCAAATTACCGACCATACTTTGCGTAGAATAGCAAAAGAAAACTGCATGAAAACTACTACGCGTTTTCTCAGACATAAGACTAATCTAGATCGATTTATCGCCCCGAAAAACCACCTGTATACTAAATTACATGAAAATCGTTGGAGCCGTTTCCGAGATTCAGATTACAATTATTAAAAAAAATAGTATTTTTATTCGCCAATAGATGTCAGAAAGTATTAAGTGGCAATAAAGACTACCCAAATGCTACCTTTTCATTATATTTTTTTCCAATAAAAAAATAAGTTAATGTTTTTGTTGATTATCGATAAAGTTGATTATTGAAAACACGAATAAAACAACATTTTCTAAAAACACTTGGGCCACCGAGCTTAGCTCGGAATTTTTGGTCAAAAGTACAATTTTCTTTAAAAAAGAACTTGAATAAATACAAAAAAAAAAAAAGAATTACTCGTTTAAATATATTACATTATTTAAAATACATAAATTATACTTTTATTTTACTCAAATATTTGTTTCTTAATATGTACATATAATCTATATTATCTAAATATATTGACAGTTTAAAGTGAAAATTGAATTTTATTTTTAACTAGCATTGCCCGCATTCAATGTTTATTTCAATAAGATTTTCCAAAAAATATTTAATGTACAGATTCATTCGGCTTAGTTACAATTTTATTATATGTATGGATGTGGCAATTTTGCTTTTAAAAAACATAACCAATTATATTACTTCAATACCTTTTATATCCATCTTCTAAATATATGGACTTATCTCATTCATTCAAGTAAATTTATTTTTTGGCCATATTACTGCTATATTGTTTAATTAAGACAAGGTCCAAATTCATGAACACAAGAAAAATGGTTAATTAGTTAATTTATTGAAAGATATGTACAATAAATAAATACATCTCATTATCTGTGGCATACAACATAATATAATCTAATTTCTGGCACTCTGTCTATTCTCCTTGTACCACGTTACAGATTCCTGAATGGCTGTTTCAAAGGGTGTGAAAGTAAAATCCTTATATAAAGACCGTAACTTTCTATTCGATGCAGTCTTTTTGTACTGTCCGTCTGCTTTTGTTGTATCATATAGGATCTGTCCGGAGAAGTTATGAGCTTTCTTGATAGCTTCAGCTACATCACTAATTGATACTTCGTCTTCTTCATCCACTGGAAATAATTAAGAAAATTATTAATTAATAATATAATAATAATAGCGACGGCCTAATGGTATACTGGAGTGGTATACTGGAGTATACCATAGAGCGGAACTCGAGTCTCGAACCCGCGACCGCTGGCACAGCAAATAGGGTCACTACAAACTGAGCCAAACGTGTCGTCATTATACATACTTTTCCTTTTTTTATCATTTAAAAAATTATGTATCCCGATTATGGACTAAAATGAAGAATAATACAAGTCTACCTGCTTTAAATGAAAATGCGACAATTAACTGTACAAACTATTCTAAAGAGTTCATTTTTTTTCAAAAATATAAGGCAGTTAACGACACTCAAATATAATTAAAAGTACACATTTTTTAAAGCATTAAGTGTATGATTGTAACCCTTTTATCTTGTTTCATCAAGTAAATGGAATCTTGATCTTTAAAAAAATAATTGAAATAATAATTTTTATTATCTAGTTTATATAACTAAAATAAGTTTATTTTTAGTGACTAAAAATACCTTTTTCAACTATTTATGTATGATAAATATAAAAAAAAACAATCTAGTTTAAATCTAAAACATATTTGATGCTTATCTGTTGGTAACAATTATATATTACAAAGTCGTGTACAAAGATAACGATTTTATTATTTACATTATAAGTATAAGTTACAACCTAATATAAAATATTTATATCGCAACATATACCACATGGAAAAATAGCTCTTTAAATTTAATATTTAAATGTTTTCTGCTGATACCAAATATGAAGAATAGACAAACACATACACCCACACAAATCTTGTACTCAATGTCATTGGAATACCTATATATATCTATTTAAACAGCTGTATTGACTAAAAAGCCCACTTTAACATTAAAAATACCTTTCGAATATATCTCACCTGACAATATAATAGGTTCCACACTGTTGTAGTGTCGGAGTGTCCATATCATCAATTTAGCCAAGTCCAGTGAGTATATGAACTGTCGTAGGGGTTTGCCGCTGCCCCACACTGAGAATGTTGCCTCACCTAAAAAATATATAAAAAAAAATTAATGTAATATTTACATCTTTTCTTAAACATAATATTTTTTTACCAAAACTAATTTGTCTTAACGATTTCTTTCATTAATATAAATTGTATGCAAATGAACTCATAGTTTTTTACATCAAAAACTAGGATAATTGGTTTTCAATTAGAGAGGTATGGTATAACATACATACAAAGAAACATACACACCAATTGAGTACTTCCTGTTTTTTTGAAGTAGGTGAAAATTCAATTTTAATAGGAATTCAATTATAGGACTTATACCATTTTGTATGGCGTCATCCATCCGCCGGATCAAGGCGGGTATGACGTGGCTGGAATGCAGGGAGTAGTTGTCGTGGGGCCCGAACACGTTGCAGGGAATCACCGACGTGAACGTGCAGCCATGTTGCTCGTGGTAACCTCTGAAGGTACAAAAATGCATAATATATTGCATAGTATAGTATAGAAAAATAAAGACCTAATGTTTTTCATAAGTAATAGCCCAGTCATAAGTGCTTACTTGGAAAACCAAGTGAAGAGGGTTCAAATCCCAGGTTTGCCACCTATGGTATTTGCATGTAATTATTTCCAACATGATTACCACTTATCTTACAGTAAACTTGCATGTCTCAGAGAATCTAGTAAGTTTTCGAAAGACATGTGAAGTTCTCCAACCAGCACTTTATTTCGGGATGAGAGTGTAACCGCACCACTTTCTCACCTCACAACAGTAAAAACCAAAACTTTACTAGCACAACACACAAGTTAAAGCTAGAAAATTGTAATATTTTGAAATTGGGGATAGGAAATATTTCCTATTGATATATTTAGATTCTAAGTACATACATTAATTTATGTCTCTATAATGATATTATAATTATTACATTCTACATCTATATATTATAGTAGGTATGCATTAATTTGTAAGTGTTACATAATTATGTATTTGAATTACTATATTTACTTAGTTATTATTTATAGTATTTATTTATAGTATTTATAATTATTACATATTTCCAATGACACCTACCTGTTCAGGATATCAACCATTCTTTTTGCGTAACTATAACCATAATTAGAAGAGTGAGGAGGTCCATTGTGCACCTGAAATACAATTAAATATTTATTGAACCATTTCTGCTCTTATGTCACAGACAATTTTCATATTAAAAAATCAGCAGCAAAAAAAATAATGCAACAAAAATAAATTAAACAAAATATCTATATACATATTTTGTAACTTACAACTTAGCACAGACATGAAAACAAAATTTTAAAAATAAACTTTTAATATTTTATAAAAAGCTTTATATACATTACTAGATGTATATTTATTTAAATTGTACTAAATTTTATTTCTATACATACCATGGTTTCATCAATAGGATATGTGATCTTATCTGGAAATATGCATGTTGACAGACAAGACACCACCTTCTTGACTTTGGTATTATAGCTGATGTTCAATACATTTTCATTAATTGCCATATTCTCTCTCTGAAATAAATATGAATATAATAAATTATAATTGCAAAATCTGTTTGATCGATCATCTAACAACTTTACTTACAAAAAAGTCCAAATTATGTCCCATGTTATGGAACAAGCCACCAACCATTGCTGCTAAGTGTATCACATGAGTAGGTTTGTGCTTTGCAAATAAAGCTTCAGTCTGTAATTTATCTCTTAAAATAAAGAAAAATATGTATTCAAACAATTAATTCAAAGAGACAGATGAACAAACACCACAGGTCACAAAAACCAATTAATGTTTATAAAAAATATATAAAAAAATGGAAATTATTTATATTTAAAAGTAATAAAATGAAATCATAATTTAAAGAAAGTATCAACAAGAATATTCATACATTATTTACCTAAGATCACCATCTTTAGAGCCACAAAAAATCCAAGTTTCATTTGAAATACTGTCCCCACTATGTTTTCTTTCTTCATCAATAACTGTTTTTATAGCTTGCCCAACAAGACCAGACCCTCCTGTTATGAGAATAACACTTTTCTCTTCACTCATCTACAACAAATTGTTATTTATAGTATAATTTTGTTACTCGAAGTAAATATTTATTTTTACATGTTTTACACACATATGTTTTACACGTATAAATAAAATAATATGTTAATGATGAAAGTACATACTTTAAATGTATTGTAATTTATATATCTGTATTTAAAATTAATTTGCTGCGCCAATTGTCGACGTAAGCAAACAAACAATATCAGCTGCTTACTGCTAACGCTAAGTCACCGAGTACCGACATTAATGACATTACTGACAATGAAAATTAATTACTTTGACAATCATACAAATGGCAACTGTTTAATGACAATTGATGGTGACATAAACGCAGACTACAAAAATTAACAGCAAAGGCGAAAGAAGTGGGGAAGATTTCTCGAAAGGAGGGCGCCACACGTATGGCCTATTTACCTTTAGTGAAGTTAATTTATTTATTGTGATATCTCTTTTATATCTCGTTTTTTGCATCTATTATGTTCGTATCTTACCAGTGCAATGTGTTATACCTGGAAGTTAGATCAGCTGAAGGAAGAATCGAGAAGGAGAGGTGCATCCTGTGGTAATACTGACTGACTTATAGATCACCACACAGCCTAAACCACTGGTCGTGGAAACGTGAAATTTGGAGTATTCCTTCAGATGTAGACTTCCAACAAGAAAAGACTTTTCAAAATTCATCTCTTAAGTGAGTAAAGTAAGGAATTAAAGATGTATGGAACTGTATCATTCTATTAAGAAGAAGAAGTAAAATACACAGAAAGTGATGTTTAGCTTTAAGATAAAAATAAGAAATAATTTTTTGATCGGTTTTCGAAATTTATCCCTTAAGGGTATAATAAAGTTTATATGGGCAAAGAATTGTTTATGATCAGAATTACTTGAAACTTGGTATTAATGTTCTTAAGTACAATTAAAAATAAATACATATTATAGCATTTTTCGAAATTCCATCCCATAAGGGAAAATACTACTGCTATTGATACTGAAACTCTATAACTAATATTTAAAATAAACAAAAAAATATTATTTAAAGATGGTAAGATCTTTAAAAATCACTTTCTTTAAAATGATGTTCGTCCACATAGCCTCGAATACAAAGATTGTGATTTCGCCAAGTTTGGTCGTCTTATTGCTTAAGCCCACACTTTCTTCAGTTTTTTTTTTGGGGACAAATGAAATCCATTTTTTTAGCATGCTGGCACTACACAATTTGTCATTTAAATAAAATAAAAAAAAATCCATCCACGCTATAGAGCTTTACAATATACTGAGGGCCATAGTGATCGCGACGTCTGGCGGGAGAAAAAGGCAAGACTCTTCCCCGTTAATGTATTGGAAGACTTTTAAGACGTATACCACTCTAAGTTCCCTTTATTTACCTAATTCAAATTTATTATCAAATATATTTTTTTAAATATTTGTAAGAAAATTACTATTATCTCTAATAAGTTATTTGGCAATTATGAATAAATTTTTATTATTCTTTTGTAAAGTTCCTTTGTAAATAATTCAGAATTTGTAATCAAGATTTAGACAAAATACTACAGACAAAAATTGTTTGTAGAAAGAACGTTGAGTAGTTTATGAAATATCAAATATTTTCTGTTCGGCTCACTGTATGTGCTTAGCAAATGTAAAAAGTCTGATTCAGATTATATCTATAAAAATTAAAATAGGTCTTTAGCTTAGGTCAGTATTTTAATTTTGTTTTAATGTAGATAAATTGCATTTATAAACAATCGCATGTTGTAGTACGGAACCTTCATTCGTTAATGAAAGAACGTGTTGATACAGATAATGATAGAACCAAATAGAATATTGGCTTTATTCAACAATAAAATAAGACATAGTAAATAATTAGGTATTGACAATTTGATAGTATAACACTGTTGACAATGTCATAATATTATCTAATATTATAAAGAAGGTAATTAAATAACATGTGACCTTCATACTTAACAAGGAGATCACATCATTCACCCCCCCCCCCCCCCTTCCCCCTTTATGAAGAGACGTAATCTTGAAAGTGGGCCGGAGGTTTGCGTTCTCGAACAAGATAGTTTTATTTAATAATGTCAAACATTCGCGTAAATCTAAGAAAGTATCATCGATTATTGTTAAAATGTATCGGTTTTGAGTGTTAGATGGAATCGGCCCTTTAAAGTCTAAGTTTAGTCTTTCGAAAGGTGCAGTTGCCTTTATGAGTTGCCCTTGGTGTTTTATATAACGAGGTTTGAGGATGGCAAAGAGATCGGTGTAGTTCAACAAGTTTGGAGTTATTAGACAAACTATCTATGTGCATGCAGACTCGAGAGAGCGCATCGGCAGCAAAGTTCTGTTTTCCGGGTCGATAAACAATGTCGTATTTAAAACAAGACAATTCTAGGCGCCATCTCTCGATCTTTTCGTTCTTGATCTTATTAGAGTGTGTTTGGTTGAACATAAATGCAACAGACCGTTGATCAGTTACGAGTAGAAAATGTCTTCCAATCAAGAAGTGTCTCCATTTGCGTAAAGCTTCAACTATAGCGCAAGCCTCCTTCTCAATGGAAGGTTGTCTTTTCTCAGAATCGTTAAGTGATCGTGAGAAGAACGCTACGGGACGTCCTTTCTGTGACAGCGTTGCTGCGATTGCGAAGTCAGAGGCGTCAGTTTCAACAGAAAATATCTCTTTGTCGTCTATTCCAGCCAAGGCCGATTTAGAAATGTCAATCTTTAGATTGTTAAAAGAGTTAATAGCCTCTTCAGATAAAGGAAATGTAGCTTCGATCAGAGGTCTGATTTTGGCAGAAAAGTTGTCGACCCACTTTGAATAATGAGCAAATAGTCCAAGGGCTCTTTTCAAAGTAGCTGTATCAGATGGGATAGGAAGATTTGTTAGTGGTTCCAATCGAGACTTGTCAGGTTTGATTACGTTATGACTGATGGTATAGCCGAGAAGATTTATGGATTCTGATTCAAAAGTGCATTTACTCATATTTAGAGTGAGTTTATATTTCTCAGTAGCTTTCATGAATTTGCGAAGGTTATCATCATGATCCTGCTTATCTTTTCCGCATACAGTCACATCGTCTAAGTAAGCATATGTACCTTTCAGTTTTTCCGAATCAATGATATACTGTAAAGTTCGCTGGAAAGCTGCCACACCATTTGTGACTCCAAATGGTATTCGTGTGAATTGGTAGAGATTCCCGCACGCTTCGAAGGCTGTGTATACCTTCTCCTTTGGAAGAATGGGAACTTGGTGATAAGCACTTTTGAGGTCGATTTGGCTATAAATATTGTATTTAGCGACTTGAGTTATAATAGAATCGATGGTAGGTAAAGGATATGCATCTAGTTCCGTGAATCTATTTATAGTTTGAGAATAGTCAATGACAAGACGCTTCCGATGATAATCATCACCAGTAACGAGTACTTGTGCCCTCCAAGGCGAGATACTGGGTTCGATAACCTTGTCTTTAAGTAAGTTGCTTATTTCGTTAGATATAAATTCTTGGTCTTCCTGAGAATGCCGTCTGGAGCGAATAGCTATAGGTTTTATATTTGGTGAAAGATTAGTAAAAATTGAAGCTGGTAGGACAGATGCCTCCAGTACATTGCAAACTTTCAAGGGCCCTTTGTCTCCCCCGAACTTAAGTTCAAATGATGAGTGTTTTCCTAATATATCATGCCCAATGATAACGTCAGCACACAGATCGCCAACAATGAGCAGAGGTTGATGCTGGTATATATGTTCACCAATCTGAATTGTAGCGTAGCATAGTCCCTCAACATATGATATATTGTTAAGAGATGCTAAAGTTATCGCTTGTCGACAGGGCTTTCGTTTAAGGTTCATGGTTAGAGCAGTATTCTTATCGATAAAGCTGATTGAACTTCCGGTGTCAAGTAGCGCATCTGCTTGATAGTTGTTCAAGGTAATTGGAATGGTAGCTTTACGTAGGCTTGATGGCGCAGCAGCGGATATCATTGACAAATGAGAATCAGTAACTTGAGGTTGAGTAACGTCGTCATCGTCCATGGTAATAACATTTACGGTACGTTGACCTGGTCTTGAACTACGGCAAACAGTTGCAAAATGTCCTTTTTTGGAGCAAAGTTGACATTGGGCATCATTAGCGGGGCACTTGATTCTTTTATGAACATTGCCACCGCAGAAAAAGCATCGGCGGTCACTTTGCGTAGGGCGACTGTGATGAAAATTTTGAGGTTTTGATGCTGCCAAGTTGAGCTGTGGTTGCGATGCTTGAGTTTCAGAGATCGTGTTAACAGGAACAGCAGACGTAGATGGAGATGATACTGTTAGTAGTCGTGAAGTATTTTCAGCAGTTTCTAAAGATGTAGCCAGATTCAATGTTTCTTCCAGAGACATAGTAGATTTTTCTAGCAACCTTTCTCTTATTTTCTGAGACAATATTCCGGCAATGAACGTACTACGTACGGTTTCGATTTGGTGTTCATTAGCAGTAACAGCTTTGAAGTGACATTCACGAGCAAGTATGGCAAGAGATCTCGAATACTCTGCTAACGTTTCGCCAGGCTGTTGCTTTCTAGTAGCGAGGCGATGCCGAGCCAAGATAATATTTTTTTGTTTTTCATAGGTGGTACTGAGAGTGGTCATGGCATCGACGTACGTGGTGCAAGCTTGAATGAAGTTAAATATTGATGGCGAGATATGGTTTACAAGGAGTTTGTACTTAAGGGCATCGTCAGCCGAAGCGGCTTCCTGTGCGATAAAATTTTCAAATGAGTACTTCCAATGTATCCATTTCAAGTCTGAGCCGGCCATTGCGGGTTCTACGTCAAAACGTTCAGGACGCAGATACCGAGATATTGAGAAAGACTTTTCCTTTTCGTCAGGCATAGTTGGTATCAGCGATACACAAATTTATTGTTGAATAAATTGATACAGATAATGATAGAACCAAATAGAATATTGGCTTTATTCAACAATAAAATAAGACATAGTAAATAATTAGGTATTGACAATTTGATAGTATAACACTGTTGACAATGTCATAATATTATCTAATATTATAAAGAAGGTAATTAAATAACATGTGACCTTCATACTTAACAAGGAGATCACATCACGTGTTAAGCATGAACGAATTAACCACAATTCGTTCATGGTGTTAAGTTATAAACTTCGCATTCGCAACTCCTCGTGTGTTGCAGATGTCTATGAGCGGCGATAGCCACTTACCATCAGGTGGATCGTTTGCTCGTTTGCCCCTTTTTTCTATAAAAAAACCTATTGTTCTCAGAACTATTCATAAACCATTTTTTAATATAAAAGTATACATAAAATTATGAACTAGTTATCTAGTTCATAATTTTATGTATACTTACTATAAACGCAAATAATAAATTAAACATTAAGAAATGAGGCAACAAATGTAGGGAATTCCAAATTCAATTCAATGTTTCATTTTATTATTGCAAAAATACATACATATAGCAACTATTTCACTTTCTGCTTTCCATGTTGCCAGCATTTTTAAAAAACTTAATTTATTGTGTCTATGCGCAAATCCTCGAAAATGATTGGTTAGCAGTTTCTCTTCGAGCTTCATTCTCGCTCTGAAAACGCCAAATACGCTTTCAAACCAAAATGGAGGATTTGTCGGTCGAGGTGTACGGTGAAAATGGTGCTTATTATAAGGTTTGTAAATCGTGAAGTACGTTAGAGTTTTACGTAAAACGCGTTATTTTTATTAGTGGTTTACATATTCAGTTATACCAAGCCATCGTTTTTCAATTTTGTCACATACTTACTAAAATATTTTTCCGGGAAGATCATCGCGGCTGGAATGGACGCCATGTCCGACTGACAGGGCGTGAATTTTCCATGTGTTTTATTAGTTTCGCTTCTATTATCATAGTCGTGATTGTGAAATTAAATTGGAGCATCAAGTGCTTAAAATCAATGCGTGCACTTTCATATGTTTGACCCAGAAAACTTATTTATTTCTAGCGCATTACCAAGTTATTGGATCATCACTGTTCTAAAATTCTTCTATATTTTTAGGCCATTGTCACCGACGTGCTCGACAACGAGGTTCTCGTAGCCTTTGAAAATGAGTGAGTTATAAGTTCATATTTTTCGTATAATTTTTTTCTTCTGAATCTTTATTTACACGTAATGTTTGCTTTTAGCTGGCAGCCGGAATCGAAATTTCCTTTTTCTCAAGTGTTCTTACCACCTAAGGATACGGGCAAACACACAGAGTTCGTGGAGAACCAAGAGGTCGAGGTTTTCGCGAGGTCAAACGAGAAGGAAGCATGTGGGTGGTGGACAGCAAATATCAAGGTATTGAATTACAAATGCCATATTATAATATTTATGAAATTACGATACTACTTTCTAGAAATGAACAATATAAAAATAATGCACATTTTTTTGTTTCTACCCACAAGTAAGTTAACATTTATTTATAAAAATTTTACATAATGCGATATTGCTAGCAGTTTTTATAATAAGAATAACATCTGTCCATTGATTGATGTCAAAAGAATGGGCATCCACAATATAAACCAGTATTTTATCCCCTTTTTCCATATCAGATCAATATTAGCATTATACTACAATACAACTGCTGTCAAGTTGGTTGATTAATGATTATCTATAAGAACTCAATTTAAGAAGCTTCCAATATGAAGTAATACTAATATAATTTAAAGTACTTCAAAACAAAATGAAAAGTAAATATGGTGTTAATAAATATTTTATATTTAATTAATGGTAGTTTAATAAGAATGTTAAAAATTGAAGAAATATACCCACAATGATTACATAAAACAACGGTCAAGTAACAAATCTAAAATCACTCAAGTATGGAGTGCAATTAATAAAGGAGCACTCGGTTGTATATTGTTGTATCATGCAAACAAAAGAAAATATGCTGTAAGTTGTGTTATGCACCTATATTATGGCCTAGATTACTTCAATTAAAATTTGATTTATGTATGGGTTTTATTTTATATGGTATAAATATTATATAGATAAAAATTAATAGTACTTGATTTGTGTTCAAAAATATAGTTATTTCTCTATTTTTAATCCTATTGTTTAAATGATTTGAGTTCTAAATTATTTTATTATTATTATGATTTATAATTATCAGAATAGATGTATTAAATATGTTTTAAGTAAGAAAATATTTATTTTCTTTATAACATTAACTTGTATAAGTTTATGCTTTAATTTTAGGCAAGTGATAAATAACAAAGACAATATTAATAATTAGTAGGGTTATTATAAATGTAAAAGGTAAGTGAGAGTGTTTGTTATTTCTTCATCTAATAAAAATGTTCTATACAAATAAATATATTGGGATATTAACACAGCACCATCTAGTTTCATGGTAAGCTACGAGGCTTGTGTTATAGATACCAGACAGTTGATACACTACACATTTATAACTTTTAAATACATACATATTATAAATATAAACACCCATAACTGGAGTAGAAACATTCATGTTCATCACACAAATGATTGCCTCTAGCAGGATTCGAACTAGTGACTGCTGGCACAGCAAGTAGGGTCACTAGAAACTGAGCCAAATGTGTCATTAATTTAGAACAAAGTTAGCTTTGCTTATCCTGGATTAACACATACGCTACTTATTGATTACACAATTAAAGACATAGGTGAAAACTAGTATAATATGAACAACAAAAATCTTGCACAATAGTATTTATTCAGTATAGTCAAAATAATTCTAAATAATATGTATTTAATGATTATATGTATACATAGATATTAAATGTTATTTCATTATTTTTTTCGAAGGTTCTTCATCTTCACACAATAATTTATAGTGTAGATGTAGACTGTTGTCGCATACTTACCCCCACTTCTCCGTTAAAGCTGTCTCAAGTATGAGTCATTATTTGTATACATGATTAGTATAAAAAAGGAATTTGATATCTTGATTATTTATATTATATTGGTGTATGTTGATAATAAAACTGCTCTCATAAAGTATTTTGATTGAATTTGAATTATAAAGATAATTGAACAAATATTATAAAGAGAAAAAAAAATGTATTTTTGTTTTTAATAGATAAACAAAAAATCTGCTGAACCGATTTTGAAGAAATTTGGCATGAACATAGTTTGAGATGTTGGAAAGGACATAAGATCATTCATCATCATTCATCCCTTAAAGGGGTGAAAAGGGGATGAAAGTTTGTATGCGGAATCAATCGTTTCTCAAGTTAAATAAAACTCATTATACCTATATGTATATACATACATATATTAATACTAGCAGAACCCGCGGCTTCGCACGCGAACTACATAAAAACTCTATTGTAGGCATAAAAACTTTCATCCCCCTATTTTACCCTCTTATGGTATGAATTTCGAAAAATCCTAAAACGCGTATTCATTTAATTTAATTGAAGAGCATTTATACTAAGTTTCATATAATTCTGATCATAAATTTTTTTTTGAGTTGTATTATAACTTGTTTTCCCGTAGGAATAAGATAATCTCCCGCGGTAAAAAGTAGCCTATGTCACTCTCCAGTCCTCTATTTCCACACAAAAAATCACGCCAATTTGTCACTCCGTTTTGACGTGAAAGAAGAAGAAACAAATAAACAAACACACTTTCACATAATATTAGTATGGATATAGTCTATCTATGCCGTACTAACTTAGTTTAACAGTAAAATCTTAGAGTTAAACAATGAACATTTATATTATTAATCTTGATTTAAATTTTATTAGCAACTATTATATAACTAGCATTGCCCGCGGCTCCGCCCGCTTTCAGATGACCAAAAACCAAATTCTTAGGTTTTACATAATAGTCCCTCAACGACCGCGGACTCGCCGGCGTTACAGTTAACAATAGATTTCTTAGAAATTTAATTAATTTCTTAGAAGTTTACGTGGAGGTGTTGGTACACTCTTACATTGCAATTTTTGTATTTTTTCTCAGAAATGAGACATTTTCCCGCGGTAAAAAGTATCCTATATGTTACCCGGTAGTATAACCAGTGGTGGATAACCAGCTTTTACCATACCAAATTTCATTAAAATCCCTCCAGTGGTTTTTTTGTGATGCGGTAACAGACAGACAGGCAGGCAGGCAGACAGACAGACAAAAATTCTAAAAACTGTATATAGATTGGGCTTCTGTGTCGATAATAGAATCTATTTCAATAAGATTTTCCAAAAAATATTTAATGTACAGATTCGGCTTAGTTACAATTTTATTATATGTAAAGATTTAGGCCATCAATACAGTGGCGGTGAGCCTGAGTAATCAGTTGATGTAAGCAGTTTGATCTGAGCATGTCAAATGACAACAAATATCTAATCTCATTTGCATTTGATATCATATAAATCATCCTAAAAATAATTTTAGTTTAGTTAAACTAATAAAAAAAATCATTATTTACTATATTAGGTTAATTTTTAGAGTTCACTTTTATCTAATCAATAATTATTATTTTTTAAATCATGTAAATTAAATACAATTGGTCTATATAGTACTTTCTTAGATTTAAGCGAATATTTGACATTTTAAATAAAACTATTACGGATTTATTTTGATTTTTGGTTCCCGACGAATCGAATGCTTTACAGCAATCATAGTCACGGGAGAGACTTAATGTTTTAGACGTCTCAACGGTTATTTGGATGTAGGGGCTAATTTCTGAATATTCTTTTAAAAATCCTTTGAAAGTTTTTGGTATTTTTTTTAGAAATGAGATATTTTCCCGCGGTAAAAAGTATCCTATATGTTGACCCGGCATACCAGCTATCAGCATACCAAATTTCATCAAAATCCCTCCAGTGGTTTTTCTGTGATGCGGTAACAGACAGACGGACAGACAAAAATTCTAAAAATATTAGATTCGGCCTCTGTATCGATAATAATGTCTATTTGAATAAGATTTTCCAACAAATATTTAATGTACAGATTCTACTTAGAATTTTATTATATGTATATAGATAAAAATACAATAAAACATTTTTACATTCTAAAAGTGAAATATTCTTTAATTTTTGGGTTACATTCAAAAAATAGTATTTATTTTTTTAATGAAAGATAGTTACATTGCGAGTAGGTCTTGATCTTTTTTCATTATGCGTGAGATAGTGTTGGTTGAAGGTTGTTGAACTTGCTGTCGCTTCGCTACTCGAGTCCGAGTCCTTAACAACTCGTCTTGCAGTATTTTGCAATATATACTAATATTGCATCTCTCCATAATATTCTATATCATCAATTTTATTTATCGGGATAAGAAGTAGCTTTTATTACTCAGTGATAATAAAACTTACTATTTATACATTAAAGAGTTTTAGTAGTTCTGGAGGTGTACTTTCTACATACATACAAACTTACAAACTTGACCTCTTTATAATAGGGTAGATATATTTTTTGGATATAAAAAAAGTATCTTTTTAGTTTTTACATATAATAATAACATTTGATTCTTCTTCGATTAGCGATATTCGTAGTCGTCTTATCCAACCTTGAGTGAGAAGTGGGGCGCGACCTGTTTAACAATTTCATGCGAGTTTTTCTTTATACCTACGCTCCTACCCGAATCTGAAACAGATTAACTTTATATGCGACGCTTTGTCAAGGACGACGTAGTGCGAGCTTATTTTATTGGCTAATGTGCATATTATTGGATACGAGAGTGTGTTAAAGCAAAATGTTTAAAAAATACTATTAGATAATATTTGCTTAGGTTTACACGAATAGTCTTAAGTTACTCCTTATAACATCAACTACCTGCCAGTGAAAGTATCGTCAAAGTCGGCCCAGCCGTTTCGGAGATTAGCCAGAACAAACAGACAGACAGATAGACAAAATTGTTAAAATTGGTGTTTTTCTTATAAATACCGTTTATAATTCCATATGCATTTAGTAAAAAGCCGTTATTTTGACATTACAAACTGACACTTCAATTTTATTTATCTGTATAGATAATATACTTAGTTTTTGTTTCCGTAGATGTGTTAAAATCGGTTTAATTTAGAATATTTAATTTTATAAGTGCAATACTCGGCATTTCCCAATGTGAAAAAGTTTTATCTGCTTTATAAAATTTGTTAGGAATTACACTAATTTTAATGGATTTGTTACGTTTTTGTTTTTTTTTTCACTCGAGCTATTATTAAATCGTGTGCATAGTTATCGTAGGATTTTTTCGGTCGCATTTGGTTACTGTGGTTTTACTTTTATACAGAATTGACTATACATTATTACGTGTTTAAAGTTTGAACTCTAAATAAGCAAAATGTATGCATGACTTTTGCTATAATGAAACTTAATGGTGAAAAATATAAATTAGTATCGGAAACGTACAAGAGAGCACTTACTTTCATACAATACTCGCCTACGCTCCGCTGGGATTCGACCATAGTTACGTTTTAACGTTTAAAGTAAAAAGTATCCTATATGTTGACCTCGATAACCAACTATCATCATAACAAATTTCATCAAAATCTGTCCAGTGGTTTTTACGTGATGAGGTCACAGACAGACAAAAATTCTAAAAAACTATTGAGGTTTTCGAACAAAATATCTAATGTACAGATTCGGCTTAGTTACAATTTTATTATATTATCTATAGATGACTACGGTATAAATCTATTAAAATTACAAACCTAATCAAGAACCAAAATGATTACCATGAGCACTAACCCTTTTATTCATACTAGTGTCCAAAAAAGAAAATTGGTTAACAAACAGAGTAGAAAAAGATTAAGATTGATGGTGATAACGAAAGTAAAAGCACGGTAATATTACATATACACTAGCGACTCACCCTCGCTCCGCTCGGGTTCGTCCCTGGGGTGGGGTCTGGGAGGACCACCCTTATCCTTATCACTTAGGGGTATGGAAAATAGATAGTAGCCGATTCTCAGACCTACTGAATACGCATATAAAATTTGGTAAAAATCGGTAAAGCCGTTTCGGAGGAGTACGGTAACAAACATTGTGACATGGAAATTTTATATATAAGAAGAAGAAGATTACCGTGGTAAAAGTATTGTTTTTCCTATACAAGTTTTACAAAGGGGCTGCCCACAAATATAACATTTTAGTAAAGTCCTCTTCAGTATATCCCCCTCCATGTGTTTAGATCTCATTCAATAATCAATTTATTTAAAACTAAAGTATCTAAGCGATTAGTTTTATGTTTTTTGGTCTAGAAAGTATGACAATCTACATACATACAAGAGCTATCAACTGACTCTCTCTCATCTATATGTCTATATAATGTATATAAAAGAAATGTCTATTTGTTTTATAATGTCTGTACGATAATTAATTTCATATGAATATATTATGTAAATATTAAAGATCAAAAAGCTGTTAACACTTTTTTGTCTGTTTTGTTTGGCTGTTCGTATCCGCTCACCATTACGTATCCGTTTAACATGATTTTCGCTCTATCGGGACTACTCGGTTGAGAGAAACAGGCTATTTTTTATCCTGAAGACAGAAATGGGACACTAAGGATAGAAGTTTTATGAGTTTTTTTGGCATTGGGTGAAATGCAGATGCTATATATAGTGAGTCGAGAGTGGGCCGCTAGTTTATAATTTATAATATAATACTTAATAACAGTACAAATATAGACGTTTGGCTATAACTTATTATAACCACGTGTCTGTATCATAATCCTTATTGCTCTACGGTATTACGAAGTGCGTGCTGGGGAATGCGTGTCGGATAAGTTAATCGGACTTATTAACTTTGCTCTATTAATATTTCCAAACTTCACCGCACCGGGGTCACTCGAACGTATCGATCAAAAATTATTTCAATAACATATGAAAAAATACCATTTTCTTAACCGAATAATAGTAAAAAAACAATTATATTTGCTAAAAATATTAGTTGAGCATTTTTTACGGAACACCAGCGAATTTGTGTTTTTTTAACCGACTATAAAAAAAAAGATTCTCACTATGCGATATTATGCGACGTCGCGCGTCGCTACGTGCCGATTGTGAACTTTTAATTGAAGCTGCTATATCTCAATACTAGCTCGCTTCCCAATACAAACTTTTATCCCCATTTTCACTCCCTTAAGGGATGATTTCCGGGATAAAAAGTATCCTATGTCCTTGCCAGGGTCCCAAACTATCTTAACAAATTTCATCTAAATCAAATCGGTTTACTAGATCCAGAGATTACCACCTACAACGTCACAAACTCACAAACTTTACTTCTTTATAATATGAGTATAGATAAAAAAAAAATATTATTTTAAAGTCAATGCTAATATATATTTCTACTAAAAGTGATTTTTAGTACGTAGAAATAGAGATTGCCGGAGGATATAGCATATTATTGAGAAGTTTTTTTGTAGGTACTATTCTATCACATTGGGTATATGACAAAAAATTCCTAAGTTCAGACGCTTTAACGGGGATAATTTTAAAAAAAAATTTTTATCTTTTCAATTGGGTGTTTAGTTGTAAATTGCTTCGGTTAGCTATTAGTGTTTTCCGTGTAAAGAATGAAATCATATAAAATTTTATTTATCGGACCAATCTTATTAGAGCCAGTATTTAGAGACGTTGACCCTGTAACTGTGTGCAGTGAAGATGTTTTCCCAAGGATTATGAGTTCGATACCTTTTTGGCATCTGCAATGCATTGGCCTAATTTACTTTTTATTCGATTCTTATATAAGGCTCTATAGTCTAAGATCCCGATCTACATATGTCGTGAATCCCAAAATCCTTAAAAAATATTACCTAAGTACTAGTAAATATATTTTTAATAATTTTTTTGCTTTTTTTTACGATGTATAAATGAGAAATTGTAATAATAATAATTTAATTAGAAAGTTTTTTTTTTTAATTTCCGCTAACATCAACACACATATTTTATTTTTTTTGAACAAAAATACGAACGAATGGTTTATAGTTTAAACGTAAATAGTGTGCATGCAGTGTAAGAGCTGTGCCACTGCAATGCATTAAAACTATTCGTGACTATATTTTACGTAAGCAACTTTTCTAATTCTAAATACATATTCCACTTACGGTAATTTATGTGCATACATTAATATCGTGAAAAAATTAAATCTATCAAGTATTGGAGATGTGCTGCAGTAAACACTAGTTGTACAGGTTGCCTGGAAGAGATCGCTGTTTTAGCAATAAGGCCGCCTCTTGTATATTATTTATCTGTTATGTATTTTTTTTTTCTTGGTGTACAGTATAAAGAGTTTATTATTATTATTATATGTACCTACTTCTATCTAGTAGGTTCTATAAAAATTATTTTAGCAACTTTTGAAGGATGATGATTGTAATGTTCTTTTTTTTATTAAATATATCCTTTTTAAATTAAAAAAAAACGTTAATTTTTTTTAACTTTTTTTGTTCGTTTTTATGTGTATTGATCAAAATATTATTTTTTCGCGTTTCTTTAATCATAATAATGACCGATATAGACTCCTATTGATTTATACATTCCGTCCGCCGTCCGTCACTATGTAACACCTAGTGTTCGAAAATGTGTATATTAAATTATGTTAAATTACAAAATGTGCCTAGAAACTTGGCGTAAAAGACTTATCCATATTTTTATTGAAATTAGGTGTCACTAACGTTATATTATTGTAATATATAATCATCAATCACTTTATTATTCCATTAGGATGTATGGTATAGATCTTTGTTTATTTTTTTCAACTAAGTGTAATAAAAAATCCATATATAGTTATTTTTAAACTTAGTACATGAAATTTAGTTTCGAGGACTTTATATAACCACTATTTAATATTAAGCCATTTTTCTTAGTCATTTTTCTTGGAGTTTTCTTTTCCGTTTTTATTTGAATCCTGTATCTAAGTTGGAAAGTTTGCTCATGTTAAGCTTTTCTGCTTTAATAGCGCGAAAAAACAGAACACTTTTTATTATGTTTGTTTTAGCTTTGGTATGATACCAACGGATTTTGTTTTTATTTACACGTATGTTTATTGTATATATTACATTTTTTTTGAAACATGGTTTTCCCTTATGACTTTTCACTGTTCAATCATATCGTATCTTTTACACAAGTTTTTCATTGCTCGTTCATTGGTTTTATCTTCAAATAATTTGAAGTTTATTGAAACAAATGGTGGCAAAATAATAACTGAACAAGAGTTATTTACCACTGTCGTCGACCCGTGACCACAAGATGCTTGACATTAAACATTTAAAAATATACACAGTGTATATCTGTTGAAACTGGTTTTTATAAACCTATTTAAAGGAACAATCCTTTAGCGTCTTAATTCATTATTATTACTTCTTTATTCTTTATAATAGTAAAGAAATAAAGATTTACAATAATTTCAATAATTTTGTAAATACCTATTTTAATGAATATTGTAGATTGGAGTTTTGTTTTGACTTTTATATAGAAGTTTGTTGTTAATAGATTTTACCGGTCACTGGTATTCTAGCCTTGACTCGCTTTGATATAGTGTACCGCACGTAAGGGCAAGGGCCCACACACATGATTGCATTTGAATTATTAAATGTATCTGTTGAAATCGTAACAATAAGACTCGAATAATTAACTCGATTCGTCTTCGAAAATCGATAGATCATTGATTATGTTATGAAAATTATCGTTTACAAATTACAGCGCATATTTTTACAAATATATCGCCTTTCTTAATAGATATATAGAAAAATATTATATTTAATTCACTCACAGTCTACCTTTCCACAAAAAAAATGTGCAATTCACACATCGTAGAAGTGAAACTTCAGAAAAACATCTATTAATGACTGTTGTCTATGCTCAACCAATTATAGAGTCTATGGATTTTTCTTTTTCCAGATGATGAGGGGCGAGTTCCTCGTAATAGAATATCTGGAATGGGATAACTGCTACACAGAGATTGTGCCAAAGGACCGTCTGCGCGTCAAGACGCCGAAAACTCCCATTGATAAAACTACATTTCACAAATTTGAAATCGCCGTACCCGAGGATCTAAAGGACTAGTACGTATTATTTTATATTACTTAAATTAATAAATATATAAAGTATCTAAAATATACTTATATTAAAATTATTATGTTGAGGTAGTTTGGTTTTTGCAAATGTTTTGGGCAGCAATTTTTTTTTTGTCTTCAGAAAACAACTTGAGGTTGGATTAGGCATTAACTATTCCTTACTTTTTCATGGCAATTTGTTGAGTAGATCGAAAATTATAACTAACAATTCGTTATTCAGAAAAAAAAATAGATAAAAATTGACACAATTCGAATATGCATATTACAAGACTTCCGCAACAAACAATAGCATTCCCAAGGAGGTTTGACGTCAGGCAGGCGGCCGGTCGTAAAACTTTTGCCAAATCCTATCAGCAGTACAGAAGATGCACTGCGCCGACACCAAGTGATTGGGAAATGGGCAGGGAGATGATGAATTCGTTATTCATGATTTTATAGAAAGACTGTACTGTGATCGTATTTCATGGTACAGTATGTAGGTACAGACTAAATAGAAATATGCAAGTTGTCGAAGCTACAGGAAATGCTATAGTAGGTACTTAAGTTAATTGAACTGTCTATATTAAACACCACCTATGCAACTAAATGTATTAATTAGTAGATATTTTTATTTTTCTACAATGTCTTATTATATTTAAACGTAAAATAACCAATATTTAATGTAATTATAGGTTATTGTAATTATAGGTTTGGGTAAAAGTTAAATGGTTGATATGACCTGTTTGTTACATTCACTCATTGATAATTCAGTAATCACTCATAATATGTATTTATTACATAATATTTTGTATTTTATCTATTTACACTAAAATTATAAAGAAGTAAAGTTTGTGAGGTTTGTAGGGGGTAATCTCTGTATCTACTGAACCAAGTTAGATGAAATTTGGTAAGAAGATAGTTTGAGACCCTGGGAAAGACAGGATACTTTTTATCCCGGAAATCATTCCTTAAGGGGGTGAAAATGGGGATAAAAGTTGGTATGGGGAATCAAACTAGGGATGTACCCGAGCGAAGCGAGGGTGAGTCGCTAGTTTTATATATAATGATAACCTCTTTAGGTATGAAGTCTGAATGAAAATGGAATAATTTTATTTACTTACATTTTTATTATTGATACAAATGATAAATACCAAGCAATTGTTTATTTGTATTCATCATAAAATATCGTCATGTAATGTCCCAATTACTGGCACAGTCCATGATATGAGGAGAAATATGCCCTAATCCACTTCATGTATAGTTGAGTTCTCTCAAGCCGCAAATATGCCGGTGTCCTCGCTTACAACAGTAACAGTGATTCAGTGTATCAAGCATCTATCAAAAAAGTACTAGCTACACAATCCCATGCAAAAGTTCTCTTAAAACTGTCACCAATTGTGTTTAGGTAATTATTCTAGTTGAAATAAATATACAGCAGTGTCAATTGAACCTTAAATGCAATGCTTAAAGTTGATATCACAAAAAAATTAAAAGCACGCTCAAATGTTCAAATGATATTTGAATTCTGTTACACTGTCTAGACGGCGCGGCGCTCTAACTGTGGTTAGCGTGACTAATTTTTTTTAATGGTAATTTTTTGGATTTTGAGATATCGTTGTCAATCGTCTTTATGCATTCAATGCAATCTTAGCACCGCCCCTGGGCATAGTAAAAAATGCCGACCAATTATCGAAATTTTGCATAATATGAATTCAAATTTGATAAAAGTTTAATTTTTTTTTTATTTTTTTTTTTGAAAAATACAAAAAAATAATTTATAAACGATTTCAAAGTTGTTCGTTGTTAGTTAGCACCGTATGACTGACTACAAGAGATGTATCCTTGTGTGATACAGTGCGAAGGTGGAGAACGCACACAAGGAGTTCCAGAAGGCGATCGGCGCGGCGCTGGTGTGGTACGTGCCCGAGCGCGGCGTGCTCGCCGTCATCTCGCGCTGCGAGACCTCGCAGAAGCGTGCGCAGATGCTGCAGGAGATGCACTTCAGGTGATACACACACCCGTACACATCCGCTCACTTCATCAAACCCCTTCACCACTATTATTCGCCATCGGTTCCTATAACTTTCCCTGATATTTTTCTAACCTTTTTATATTGATGTCGTCGCCTTTAACATAATATAAATAATCGTCTGAACTTTTTGATCGGCATAAAAAGTAGAATTACTCAAAAACGGATTTAGCAGGTTCACGAATTAGGCCGGTGATATCCTAATTCCTCTCATCCTGTGCTAACATTTATACTCGCCAACGAAATATATCGAGAAAGTATTACCAGTATTCGAGTAATACTATATATTATTTTAAATGACTGCTAAACTATTATTATTACCACGAAAGTATATTGTACTTTAGACACCTGGGGAAGAACTCAGAGAATTGAAGGTAATTTGCTAATTTGCCTTTAGTTTATTTATTTTTTCCGAGTACTTGATAAATATTTTATGCCATTCTGCGAGTGAATGCGGCTAGCATTCTTACTACTATTCCACGCGAACATGACTTACTTGTACAGCGATAATTAAGTGTAAATTTGTTTTGTATATTTTGTATTTAATTAAGTATACTTATTTTTAATATTTATTTATGACTTAAACTTATATTTGTATGCAAATGTTACATATAAACCTGTTTAAAATCTGATAGCTTGTTAACACTGTGTATAATCTATACAGTTATAGATCACGTAAACTCATAAATCTTTCATAGTCTAAAGATAAAAATATAAATATGTATAGGCTTTTAATAAGTGTGTTTTATTTTTACATCAAAACGAGGGCGTTTAGTGTAAAGTTATAATTACATTACGTACGTATTCGTTAACCGCGAGAGCTTGGCGCGCGCCATATCGTTTAATCTTGACCGTTCATACCTCAGAATACATAAAATTTATGTTTAGCACTAATTTTATGAATGCCTAATTTACACGCGTCTTGTACTTTTAGTGGTGTAGTAAATATTATTACTTATTGTTATGAGAAAGTGTAGCCGTAACACGCATGAAATAAAGTCGCCCATACAATATTATTAATACACTTTTTATGTTATAAATAAATATGTTGGGATATTAACACACAGCGCCACACACACTGTACATTATAATCAATGCTCATTAGCCTTACATAGATATTTCATAGCTTTCATGAATCATATAAAAAACTTACTAAAGATTTATTTAAATTTATTATTTTGTTACCAATTGTTCTGCTTAAATTAATTGTCTTTGTGAAATATGAATCTGTAGCACTTACACGGGATGGCGAGTGTTTAGATTCACTTGTGGTCCCATTTGCGTCGGCGGCCGACTCACTGCCGGCGCAAAGCTTGTGCTGATATTAAAGAAAGCCACCAGGGCCATTACTGCTAAGATTTACAGTACAATGGTAGTATGCGGCTTGCGACACGTTTTATTGAGTTTTATTTGAGCAATTATAATTATGATAACAAGACATGCGTAACATCATTAAGTCTTATTATTTAAAAGATTTGAATTAGATTGTGAAATGAAGTAGTAATAATATATGTTGGGACATTAACACACAGCACCATCTAGTTCCATGGTCGGCTACGAGGTCTGTGTTATGGACACCAGATAGTTGATACACTACATATATATATATATATATATATATATATATATATATATATATAAACTTTAAATACATACATATTATAAATATAAACACCCGTGACTGGAGTACAAACATTCGTTGCTCATCACTCAAATGAATGTCCCCAGCGGGACTCAAATCGCGACCGCTGGCACAGCAAGTAGGGTCACTACAAGCTGAACCAAACGTGTCGTCAAAGTAGTCCAACCATTTATTTATACTTCTGTATGATGTCAAAATTAATGTTTTATAAAATATCAATTGGTATGTGGTCTTTTCAGAAATTTAACGCAAAAGCTGCTATTACTTAAAAAGACTGAAGAAGCCGCGAGACAGCTGGAGTCTACAAAAATACACAACCAGGGAGGGTGAGTTGTTCGATCTTATTCATTGGATATGCACATGTTATTGTTTATTTTTTACAGTCGAGTGGTTTGTTGGTCTTTCTCTTACATTGGAAATAAATCCATATGTTATTGATGATGATGATGATTGATGATCCATTTGTTATTAATGTTATTTAGAAATTACTATATTCGTCAATTCTTGAATGTTTTCAAAGATGATCACTCGAAAAAAAAAGTTTTCATTCAAACAGAATTTTTTTCTTTATATTTATTTTAAAAATTAGTGGGCCATCTCAAAATGTTGAGTGAAAATGTTATTTTTTTTTTCAAAATTTTTGTTGTTTTGTAAGCTACAAATTCTACCCCCGAGGTTTGCTTTTTGATTACGCTCCTCCCGTGTGTACATGCAATTGATTTGTGCCCATGTCTTGACTTTACTGTAAATGATACCATTGAAAAAACCTAAAAAAATGTGTTTCCTATACAAATATTGTCATTGGATTCCGCTCTTTTAATTGAATTAATCAGCGCAAGCAATTTTATATAAGTAGTTAAGGTGTAATATACTCGTGCGACAGGTACCAGGACGAGTTCAGCGTGCGCGAGGACCTGATGGGGCTGGCCATCGGCACGCACGGCGCCAACATCCAGCAGGCGCGCAAGGTGCCCGGCGTCACCAACATCGAGCTGGAGGAGGTCTCCTGCACCTTCAAGATATGTGGGGAGGTGCGTCAAGTTCTCTGGGTTGTATATGGGGTTCCATTGAGATTGCTTTGGGGATTTCTAATTTTTATGTAGGGTAATTGTTTTAATGTAATATCCTAAGTCTTACAAATTATGTCGATAGTCATAGCACTATGTTATGTACAATATAAATTCTTAAACATTATATAAATTATAATGATTCATATACGTAAGAAAAAATTAGGGATGCATGCGATACCGATGTCGATACTGATATATCGACGATATTGTCGTTTAGTTCGTTCATGTCAACGCTACATCATTTATCTATAGGGAAGTATTTTATTGTTTATTTGGAGTCGTAATCTACAATAGAGTCATAGTTTATATCCAGTGTCATAAATAACAACTAGCGACCACTCACCATTCGTCCCTAGGTATGTATTAATGGTTAGTATGAAATACAAATCTTTGAATTTATCGGCATTTCTGTACTATAATATGCATGTACTATACATATACTGCCTCGACATATAAACCTTCCTCTCGAATCACTATTAAAAAACCGTATCAAAGTCCGTGTGCGTAGTTTTAAAGATGCAAGCGTACATAGGGACAGACGGGCAGACGGTAACAAGTGTATGTGTGCAGAGCGGCGAGGCGGTGCGCGCGGCGCGCTCGCTGCTGGAGTACGCGGAGGAGTCGGTGAAGGTGCCGCGCGCGCTCGTGGGCAAGGTCATCGGCAAGAACGGCAAGGTCATCCAGGAGATCGTGGACAAGAGCGGCGTCGTGCGCGTCAAGGTGGAGGGCGACAACGAGCCGCAGCCCTCCGCGCCGCGCGAGGAGGGCATGGTGCCCTTCGTGTTCGTGGGCACGCGCGAGAACATCGCCAACGCCAAGGTGCTCGTCGAGTACCACGTCGCGCACCTCAAGGTAACCGACCGACCGCACTTACTTTGATTTATTTTCATTTTTGGTTTACGACGTTTCGAATGATTTAAAGGTAACGAATGACCTTTGACACATTTAAAAACTTAATTTCTCCTGTGAACATTTTTGCTGTATAAGTTTGAGACTGTTCAATTAAGTTTATAAAGATTGATGTTTTGTAAAATTAATATAAACAGACAGGGCAACAGGCAAAAGTAATTTCATATTGTAAGATATTATCCGCTCTCAATATTTTTATAGACATTTTAATTGTAAATACTATATCAAGAAAATTTGTAATTAGACTACTATTGTATATGTAAAACTTTGTTTGTGTCTAGCCCTCCACGCTCAATAGGCTGGATGGGTTTGAATGAAATTTAGTACATAGATAAATTATGAACATCTAAAGTAACAGTCCCAACTGTCTTAACTTATTATATTCTATATCTTAATATATGACTGCGTTATTTAGCCACTAGTCTATTCAAGGACATCAAGCGCTTTCGTACAACCACTGGTGTTCATCTACACAGGTGCCAGGCAGGTGGAAAAAGTATGACGAATATTTTTTGACGTTTGGGCAGGACGTATTATTTTGCTGTTGTGTGTGTAAATTTTATTAACTATTGTCAATATAACGATATAACAGGCAAAGTGTTTCATTGTTTATCTTGTTTATTCGTTCAACCCAGGAAGTGGAGCAGCTCCGCGCGGAGAAGCTGGAGATCGACCAGCAGCTGCGCGTGGTGATGGGCGGCGCCGTGTCGGCGTACCCGCCGCCGCGCGGGGCGCCGGCCGCGCGCGCGCGCCGCCCGCGACCTCCGCACACGCGCTACCCGCCTGGTACTCGGAGTGCACCTACATACTAATCACTACATAGTATAAAACGAAGTCTCCTCCCACTGTCCGTCTGTCCCTAGGTTGATTCCCCATACAAACTTTCATCCCCATTTTCACCCCCTTGAGTGATGATTTCCGGGATAAAAAGTATCCTGTCCTTCCCAGGGTCTCGAACTATCTTACCGAATTTCATCTAAATCTGTTTAGTAGATCCAGAGCTTACCTCCTACAACGTTTCAAACTCACAAACTATCTCTTTATAATATAAATATAGAAATGTAGATAATATAACGTGAAAGTGTGTTTGTTTGTCATCTTTCACGTCGAACCATAGAGGCAGATGGCTTGAGTTTTTGTGTAGAGATAGTTGGAAGGCTGGAGAGAGGTGCTTTTTACTGTGAAGATTATCTCATTCTTATGGGAAATCTTTAATCAATATAACCTACAACACTCGTTATACCTATGTTTATTTTATTTTAATTTATTTTAAGGAAACAAACAGTATTACAGACCATACAACTTAAAATAAAAAATACACACATTTACCCATTAAGTTTCCATAAATAAGAAACACATAATTAGAGTAGAAAACATACATACATATACACATATACTATAAACAATTTAAAGTATATGAAAATATGAAAGTTATTGAATTATGTTATTAATTATTAACATAATTATTATTATTTATTAATATACTATATTAATATCCTAACCGATTTCGATAGTGTTCAATTTCATTGAGACTAGCCAGATGCGCAGGAGACGTAGTGTACAAATGTACGCGCACAGACAATTGCACCCTGTATTCCTTTTTACTTCTAAAGTCCAATTGGACGACACTTCAGTTCTCGCGGTGAGAGTTAAGGCGCAGGACCAACGCGACACGTGCTCTCCGAGGCACCGCCTGTGCCCGATATACTGATGATATTAACAGAAAAATTCAGTAATTAAATTTGGATCGACCCAGGACTCGAACCCAGGACCTCCGATTGGCATTACACATTATTATTTATGATACAATCTTCTTTTACGAGGTCTTTAAACCTGCGCTATATGTTGATAAAATTATTATAATATAGTTTAGTAAGATTTTATATCCCAAACGCATTATGTATGTTATATTTAGTTTGACAATAACAATTGCAGGCGCGCGCCGGACGACGCCGGAGCTGGGCGAGGAGCAGCGCGGCGAGCGCGGCGACGGCTCCTACCGCGGCCGCCAGCGCCCGCCCAGGCCCAACAGGTCGGTCTGGGGTCTTAGTTCCCGAAGTGGTCCAGGTGGATCCCCAGGGGTCCACTGGAGACTCGACGGAGGCCTAGGGGGGACGGAATCTTCAATTTTTTTGTCGAGTTTTGGGAATATGGTAGAAATGTAGCTGCAGGGGATCCACCGGAACCAGCTAAATTTTGAAAGAGGTCTATGAGAAAAAAAGTCTGGGAACCTTTGGACTCTAGAGTATACTTGGATATACTATGTGCTCTATATAGTATACTAGCGATTTCATTTTTCATGGGTTTTAATTTTTTATGCGCGTTGGAACCCTGCTTTTATCCAAAATAAAAGTAGCCTAAGTTACTCCGTCTAACATCAGCTATCTGCCAGTGAAAGTCCCGTCAAAATCGGTCCAGCCGTTTCGGAGATTAGCCGGAACAAACAGACTGTCAAAAAATTAAAAATGGTTGTTTTCTTATAAATACCGTATTATATCTTCATAAGCTTTTGGTAAAAAGCTGTTATTTTGACATTACAAACAAACAATTTAATTTTATTTATCTGTGCAGATGAGTTGCTTTTGCTCTCGGTTTTCGCTATTTTATTACAAAAAGATGTGTTAATTAATATGTATGTTTATCTTGGAATAATTTTAGAACTAAGCATTATAAATACAGTACTATTGTAAATATTATGTATTTTGCATTCACTTATTTTATGGTCTAAGAATAAGAGTTAAGGTTACTTTTTTATTTATAAAACTTGAATACTAAAATTGCTAAATATTTTAAATGCTAAATAGTAGCACATGTAGATTATAGCTATAATGTGTTGTCTTGTTTTTAAAGTTTTTCTTGTCGTTAAAAATCCATTGTACGAATTCCAGATCGAGCGAGCGTCGCGGTGAAGAGAGGCGCGTGCCGCTAGAGAATGGGCGCGCGCATCCGCGGCCGCCGCGTGACAACCGCGACACTCGCGACACGCGCGACACTCGCGACACACGCGACACGCGCGAGCCCCGCGAACCCCGAGAGTCCCGCGAGCCGCGCGAGCCCCGCGACACTCGTGACACACGGGACACACGAGATGCGGTGACTTAGTCTTATAACTCCTTCAATCATTTTAAACGCCCCACTACTGGGCACGGGCTTTCCGTCAATATAAGAGAAATCAGGCCATAGTCCACAACGCTGGGAAACATTTTTTTCGGATTTTGTCACTCCCAAGATCATGTTTGCTGTAAAACGGAAACATCGGGTACAAAAATATAAATTCAACGTGTTTCATTTAAGACATAACACCATGTCCTCCACAGAGCGGGCGGCGACGCGATGAGCGGCGGAGGCAGACGGACGACGAGAGCACCGTGCTCGACAGCCAGGACGTGTCCAGCGCCGACAGAGGTCAGCCCCGTTAACTCCCCTGCTATGTCTTACTAGCCCTCCTGCTAGTTCTCCTATTAGATCTCCTACTAGTCCTCTTATTAGTTCTCCTGTTAGGTTTACTAGCGTATTGCTACTGCCTCAATGCCGACAGAGATGAAAATATATTTGCACCTTTATTTATTACTTTGAGTCACCAGTTTTTATGTTATTTACTCATTTGTACAGATGAGATTTTAATATATGAGATAGATAATTTTTGAGGAGTTTCTATTACTTAATTTTAATAATTGTTTTTGTTTTACATTAAATGTTCTTATTTGTAGTGTACAATCTTGGGAATGATGTGATTGTCAATGTCAAGTAAATGTTGTAATTACTATTTATTTAAAACAGCTATTAAAGCCTTGTATTGAATTAACAAGAGAGCTCAAATGCATTAAAACTTAGCTAAAGTTTCTTTTGTAAGGCACATTCTTTCAGAACTTGTGGGATGTTACGAGTTGAGTAAAAATAGGAATTATTAAATAATGAGTGATTCTAGTGACTCGATGTAGTAAAGAGGTATATAGGCGCATATATGTCTGCAGCATAATGATTTGGTGATTCACTCTTATTGGATAGAGGTGTAGCAATATAGTAGTGTAATTCAGTGTTTTTTAAGATTTGAACCATAGATGGGGTATGGACTGAGCAATACTCTCATGAAATTGAACACTCTCTAGAAAGAGAGAGAGCGAACGTGCGGCCAACACCTGTCTTTTATTCTAAGTTAATTTTATAAATGGAACTAAAAAATATTATAATTTATCAAAAATTATAATATTACAATGGAATGTAAAGTTATAAATAGCTGTGTTCATTAATCTTATTTCAATGAATACAGAATACTTCTGGCCGCACATTCGTTTAGTCTCTGTCGCGCCTGTCCGCTATTTTCAGCTGACGGTTGGCGAAAAAACACTCAATCCACTCTCTATGCCTATGATTTGAACACACGACATTTGTCAGTTCAAGTGATATTAATATCAGACTGTCAAAGTACAAATATATCTAATTGTGAGATGATGAGAAAGTCAATTTTATATATATATAAATTGATTAGTTTAATATTTATGGATTAGATGACTTTTGTGCTGACGGTCTGATGTATGTTGTATATTGCCGGCGCGAGACGTATTGCATATTTATTTAATAATTAATGATAATAAGCTATTCCATTGTAAATACTTTATTTTAAAATTTGACATTTTTATAAACTTTAAGTATATAATGGCTCTATGCGTCTCGTGCCGGTATATATATTTAACTTATATATAAAATAATTATGATAGTATATATTTTTTAAATATATGCTCTGCTATGATATCTGAAAATATTACCGAATGTGCTAGTTAAAATGTAGTATTTAGTTGTTTGGTGTACAATATTTTGTATGTATGATAATATTCATTATTTTATTAGTAGTGATTTTGTTTGTTGCACCATTGGGTTGAGATATCTATAGAGCGCGTCTGACGTTATAGCTTTGTCACAAGATGTATTGATACTATGGTACTTTTTTATATTAGCTTATTCTAACGGCTTTGCTTGAAGATGAATGAAGATATTAATATTTATAACATAATATGGATAAACTGCTTATATATATATATATATATATATATATATATATATATATATAAAAAAAATTATGACAAAAAGCGTGCTCTATGAAGTATATGAACTCAATGTACACCCTTCTTACATTTTAATTAGTACATAGGACCTCTATTTTAGTATACATCTCGCAGGAGAATAGCTCAGATCTTTCTGGAGGTCCTTTTGTTATTTTTTTTGCATTTATATAATTATCATTTATGCGTAGTTGGTATTTTTATTGGATTTCTTTGTTGGTTTTGCTTTTTAACTTGGAAAGTAGATTTTTTCCATTTTTACGAGTTTTATATTTAACAATATTTCCTGATCTTCTTGGTGTAATGGTATGTTTGATGTAGATCGTAGTGTTAACGGAATGCGAGTATCGTAGTAGATGTACCGTCCACAAGGGCTGGGCTATTCTCCTCGCGGATGGGGAGTGGCGGACTTACTTATGGGCCGAGGACAACAGCATATTTATTTACATTATTGAAACAATATGTTTAAAATAATATATTGTTGGATAAATAAATTCAGTAATGAGATTTTGTTCATATATTAAATTATAGTTTCATCTACATGTTAGAAAAAATTTGATGAATATATAAGAAGTAATAATGAACAAAGCTCAAACGGAGACGGTATAAGTAAGTGTCGCGAAGTGTCCTCGGGCCGTGTTGTGAGTGGGCGCGCGTGCCGCGTTGTGTGTGCAGAGTCCGCCTCGTCCGAGGACGCCGCGCCCGCGCGCCCGCGCCCGCGCCCTCGCCGCCGCACGCGAGGTACACCCGCATACACACGCCACTAGTGTCGGTAAAACCACACGAACACATGTAAAACTCGCGTATAAAAGTGATGTCAAAAAACTAAAAATGTTAAAATGGACTAAGTAATTTTATAAATATTTAAAAAATTCATTTTAATTACATATATATAATTTGTTTATTATTATCACTTCCTTTGAATTAAATATTCAATGTTTTCGATGTGGCATTCAGCTGTTTTGTAAAGTACTATGGACATATGTACGCACTACATGCTCACATGCACATAAATCACTTACGACTAATTTGTCATAGTGTTATGTTTATTTGGCTTACTGTTTTTGCCATAACTATTATATTTTGCAATTTCAATATTTTTTGTACTTGGCTTATCAATAAATAACATTTAATAAGTTTGATAGGTCTAAGAAATAAAACTTCAAATCAAATTGTACTCACATTTAGATTATATTCATTTTAAAAACACATTCATACACATTGTCAGTTCAAAATATTACTTTTAAAATACATACATTTATTTACTAACGTAAATTTAGTGTAATGCACTATTTTGCATTATTCATATTGTGTTTGGCCAAAAAATTTACTTAAATAATATTATCCTATATAAAGTTTCTCAGTCATCTCATTTGCAGCTATACTACTGTTTACTTTGTTATTTACATGATTCACTATACTTATAGTTATTATGACACATTATTTTATATGACTAAAGCATGTTAATACATAAATATTTGTTCTTATTAGCTTAGTTAGTGCATGCCATTTATTATACCTTAATATTTAACTATCGCGTGACGTAAAATTTTCAGATGGAATACCGTAGGAGTGTGTCTAATATTATATATTTACAGGATAGGCGCCGACGCGTCGCACCGCGCTTGTCATTAACGCGATCACCCGCTTGTTATTGACGTTTTATTTAAAACAAATTAAAGAAAAAAAAGACTAAAATATGCACAGTAAATGTTGCAAGCTTTGCACATGTCGCCTCTCACTGTGTCGACAATTGTCGTTGTGTGTTGTTCCTATATCGAGTGTTGTTGTGTGGTGTTGCAGGAGGCGGGTGGAAGAACGGCGTGAGCGGTCCCCCCGCCGGCGCGGCGGCGGCGGGGGCGGGGGCGGGCGGCGCGGCAGGCGGGGCGGCGGTGGGCGGCGCGGGGGCGGCGGCGGGGGCGGGCGGGCCCAAGCGCCGCGACGCGCCCAAGCCCAAGAGCGAGCCGCTGCTGAACGGCACGGCGTAGCGCGCGGCCCTCACTAGACTTACTCATATTATGCTTTTGTAAGAGATTCGTGATTTGTATTCCCGATTATTCGATATTATGGAAAAATTAAACGTGTACGCTCCCCGGACGGTACCTTAGGAGATCGGACCTAGCAGTATGTACGTACGTGTGTCGTAGCTGTACTCTGTGGTTATGTGGTTTCCTATAAAATAAACATTTCTGTACATATTTTGAATCGTATTTTTATTTGTGCGAATGACGCGCGCGCGGGCGCCGCGACGGCCGCGCCGCCCCGCGTCGGGCGAGGCGTTTTATAAAAATACTAGGACTAGTCAGGACGATACTATGACGTCACGGATACAACGACTAAATTACGAGCGAGCTCGTCGTCAACGTCGAGCTCTCGGAGGGGAGGTCCCGGGGCACACCTATCGTGACACTAACGATTAAAATATCCATTAAAATTATATACCTACTCTAAGATTTCACTTAGCCTACACAAATTCGAGCTAATATACAGTTGACTCTGCAGTAAACCGAGATCCTAGTTACGCTAACATCAGTCATTACAATACTGTGATATGCATTATTGCCGGGATATCACTACGGAAGTCTCCACGCGGCGCGCCGCCGGCGGCGGCCCCGCGCCCGCGCCCGGGGGTCCCGGGGGGCTGGGGGCCGGGGGCGGGGCGGGGGGTCGCGCGGGGTCGCTCGCGTACGAATCGTATGCAAGTAGCGTACTTTGATATGTTTCTACGGATTTGTTTTGTTACTCATCGATTATTATAATTATAGATTACATAAGTTCGAGTTTTGGACAATTTTGTAGGACGTTTCGTAGTCGTAGGAACGTAAAGCGGACGCCGATTTTCGTTTGGAACTGAATAAAGTTGACAGTGATGAAGAGGTTTTTTTCTTTTAACGTCATATTCTATTTGTGATGTAACATTGTGTTGTTCTCCTTTAAGTAGACATATGTTGCCTTTATTTATTTCACTTTACATATAAATCGTACTCTGATTTGTTTAGACTATTGTATCTAATAAACTTTGGAACTGATGAGACCGGTTTTTATGTTTTCTATGGGAAGTGCGAGATGAATGCAAATTCAGAATATTTTTCTTATACTTGAAATAAGTATGATATGTTATCCTTTTTGCCTTATCCTTGTCTATAATAAAATTAATAAGAAATCTATGGTTTAATTTGAAAACTTACAATAAATCGTTGAACTTATGGCATATAAAAAATAAATACTACTCACATTGATATTTAGTGATATGTAAATTCATATTTATATCTTTTTTTTTATTTTTTAGATTTTTTAAATGCCATATATTAAACTTTCCACTACATTGTAATACAATTAAAAGTAATACAAAACTAATTGCACAAGTATATTAAACAATATATAGTTATAAAACTTAATAAATATAAATAAGTTTCATTTCAAGTTTCATCAATTCTGGAATCATCAAAACTGGATATGTTAATCCTTATAAAACAGGTTCTATAATGAATACAAACCAAAATATGCATCTGATGGGTAGATAAAAAGCCCATGGGCACAGAATTACAATTTTTTATGTGAAGCCTTCAATGCATGTTCTATTTCGTTAAAATTAACTTCAAAATTACAATGATTTTCATCATCAATACAAGCGTTTTTATTTCAACTTTATCTGTTTAAAAAATTATAAAATTATACGCATCTAGATTTTTTAAATTTAATATTGCGTTTGGTTTTGGTAGTTCTATTATTTCTGGCTTAAGTAGCTTAGTTTTATTACCATAATTATAGTTTTTAGTTTTTAAAAATGGCTGTTTAAATATAAACAAAGGCTATCTATTTTTAATATATTTTCGGACATTAATTTACTAATGTGTTAACAGTTTCACACAGCACTTTATTTTCATACAATGAACGACATTCTGGGTAACTTTGACCACAAGAGAACATGTTATGGATTGAATGTCCACATAGTGATTGTGATTCAATTTGTCTTATATCATTGTAAATACCAAGCACATCAAAAATAAATAAATTTTGTTCGAATTCTGAAATACAGGCAAGAGTTAGGTTTGGTTCAAAGTTAAATTGTTTTTGGAGTAATATTAGATGATCATTTTTTCTTATCTTAAAACCCACTATCTGTTTGACATTGAACCATATTTACACAAAGCTGAAAGTATCGAAAATAACAGCTGTTTCGTTTGGCAAATGAAATTTTTCGCCAGTCAATTTTATTATTTTTTGTATATTTATGAAAAGTTTGTTTTAACATTTGGATTATTGATATACAAAAACTGAGGATACACGATTAACGTAACAAAAGTGTCCCTATAAAGAAGTGCACAAATCAATGATTTGGAAGAATGCTTTTACTACCTTATATGATTATCGATAACAAAAAAAGAAAAGCTTTTGTTCACAATTTCCTAAGTTGCAGTGGTTCAATTTTACCAGAATTACATGACAAATTATTAAATGAAAAAAGAATTTCGGTGACTTTTTAATATTAGTATTAAAATAATTATATTAGTATTAAAATTTAAAAGAATATTAAATTCGAACAGAAAACATTTTCAAGGCGCAGTGTTACTCGTACTTTCAATGGCAGATATAACTGGTTTGATGCAGGTATGAGGTAAATATTTTATACAGTATTACTTATAAGAACTTCATCAGAAAGTCACATACTTTAGACGTGGTTTAAATTATAGTAATATTACTAGAAGCATGGAGCTGTGAGAGCTGTGTTTAGTAAATAAGAGAAAATTTTACTTTATAAAATCAACAAATTTTGGTACTTAGTATCCTATATATATATAACGCTACGCCACTGAAACATTAAAAAGGAAAACTTATGTACGATACAAATATACGACGTTCCATCTTATAAGGAGATACCTTATTTTGGATATAAAACTTGTACACAACAGTAGAAAACCTTCTTAAGGCGGGAAGACAGGATAGTTTATATTTACAGAAAGATTAGATTTACGTGCATAAATACGTAATTTTCGCACTTTATATGAAAAAATAGTATAACTTTGAACTAATTATTATATATGATATATTGATGATACCGTTATGTAATCCAACTTTGTTTTGTTTTTACAAAATTAGATTTAGTAGAACCAAGTTAGTTTTAACCAGAACAATAGTTAAATATATTTGTTTATCTGTTTATTGTATACCGTAAAAGTCGATACAGTTGAGCCCAGAGCCACTAAATGATCATAACTAGACTTTTTATTTGACATCAATCAAATTTTATTTTTTGTTTGTTTGAAGATTTCACAAGACTAATATATTCAAAATATTCTTCTAAATTCTCTAAATTCGTCTTAATTTTCTAATTCTCTAAATTAGTCTTAATTTTGATATAAACGAAAATTACGTATCCTTAGCAATTTAAAAAAGTTCATATCCATCAAAGGTATCGAAAGTCTGAATTTGCATTCTACCTACAGCATACTAGACGAAAGTGCCCAATTGGGCAGGTTTATCCCCGGCAATAATGAGATGGTGGCATTAGAGTAATCTATGGCGGTCGCAATCGTCGCTGTCCTCGCTGTCGCTATGGGAGCAGTATGACGAGTCGCTCCAATGCTGGAATTCTTCTTTATGGTGCTCGAGAGCCATCAGCGATGGGAAAAGACTGTCGCAAGCGCTGCATCTGCGAATAATGTCATTTATAATTGTTAGCATATAAATATCGAAAGGGCATAGACAAGATGTCAATTTACAATCGTTGGAGAGTAGAACTTGGAAAAGTTTATGCTTTACGGGAATATGACATAATAAGGTTTTATGACAACGCTTAAATTTGTCATTTCAATAGAAATGCAAGATTTAAAATCTCTAAATCTCAAAGATTTAATAACAATAATTTAGGTGGTTTTTAGTAGGCATTAAATATCATGGACCAGTGCCTAGAAGAGTCGCCATATTTAAAAATAGTGAGAGAATGATCTTTCATAATTAAAATTCTCATGAATATTTAATAAATTATGTTTTAGTTTGTTTCTTTTTGATTTGTATCTCACATACTAATTGCTTATTATATAATTATATTTGGCTTTATTTTTATTGTCCTTCATGCTCTGTTTTTAGTCGTGAGAATTTAATCTTATTGCTAGTATTAGGATATTTCACATTATTTTTTGTATTTAGCTGATAATGGTAAGTATTTACATAACGTGTGTATATTATATAAAATACTAATATGTCTACAAGATAAAGCAAAAACCACTGGCATAACGCGTAATATTGTAACACAAGTGAATATTTCTAATATATAAGTTTATTTCGTAATCTTACACAATATTTATGCATAACTCTTTCGTTAAATATATTATATAAAATGAAGATTAAATGAAAATACATCGATTCTTAATTTGTACATTCTTAATAAAAACAAATACAGCACTAATTAAACATTTTCATTTCATGTTCTTTCGCTTGTGAACGAGAAAATTTAAATTTTCTTTCTTCATAAGGTTACACAATATAGAAATATGTAAAAATAGTTACCCAAAATGTCGTTTTTTCTGCTGATGGTCGCTTAGTTGACGCCGCGTGGGAAACGATCTGTCGCACACATTGCAAGTCAATGCCTCATCTGGAATATACAAAAAATCTGATGAAATTCCCATGGAACGGATGATTTGCTCATCTTCCACGCTGTATTGGTACAACAATTAAACTTATTTAAATATTTTTTTTACCTTTTTTTATATTTCATTTACATCAATAACAAATTGATACACACAGAACTGTTTTTCTTTTCTGATGAGATCATAATTACCCGACTCAGACTGCGCGACGCAAAGGAGGGTAGTGTGTTTATCAGTCCATGTAAGTATGTATGTTTGTTTGTTTGTTTGTTTGTTTGTTTGTTTGTTTGTTTGTTTGTTTGTTTGTTTGTTTGTTTGTTTGTTTGTTTGTTTGTACCTTTGTGGCACTATTTAGACTAAACGCGTGGGCCGATTTTGATAAATGACACGTCGTTTGATTCGTCATGACGGCGCAAATGTGATTGAAAGCATAAAAAAATTGGAAAAATCAAAATGGCCGATTTTGGACGCCATGATGTGAAAAAGAAAAAAAAGAAAATCGACGAACTATGTCAAGTGGGGCATGGTTGAATGGGTATTTTAAAATCGTTTTTACGGTTTTTTCATCATTTTTCATTTTAAATATCTGTTTAGGATATTTGGGGAGGAGTGACTGCAATTATGCAGAGGCTCATAGAGACTATGAAGTGCGTTTCGCAGTTCCGCGGGGTACCACGGTGCCGTCAGAGCGTGCGGTTCAACGTCTTCACAATCGTATGTACACCACGAGCAGTGTTCACGGCTACGAAACGCATCATGCTGATACAAGGACACCGCGTATCGACATGGATATTGAAGAGCAGGTGCTTGTGTTATTCAATGAGGACCCCACCCGAAGTACTCGTTCTGTGGCACGACAACTGGGCGCTTACCACGTTTAGGTGTGGGAAGTGTTAAAAGAAGATGGCCAGCATCCTTTCCACTACCGTCCTGTCCAAGCTTTACTACCCAGTGATTATGAACCCAGAGTGGAATATTGTGCATGGATTTTAAGGAAAATTGAAGAGGACGCTGAATTTTTAAAAAGGGTTATTTTCACCAATGAATGTTCTTTTCATAGAACAGGCGTTTTAACAGCCGGAATGAATATGTGTGATCGACGCTAAATCCTTACGCCCATAATGCGTGATAACCTTTTGCGACGGTGTCAAGCCTGTATCACTAGTAGAGGCCGTCACATGGAACAACATCTCCATCACAGCCATCGCATTGGCGTCTTCATCGAATAACATACTACCTACTTACAAAATACAAATTGATAAGCGTAGTTTGAACTTTGAGGTCAACTGCGTTCATGACCTTATGACGTCACCAGTATTGCTATGTAAGTTTCACAATCTATGAAATATTTTAAATTTTTAAGCGGGGTAATTTTTTTTTACTTGGAATCTGTTTTTTTTTACATAAATAGAATCGAATCGCGATACCTAATAATACCTTCACGGGTCGGACAGGGTTTTTTTAACACACTGTATATTGGTTTAAAGTTGGTTAACAACCATTGTCTCTAATTTTCCTACTTAAAAAGCTGTAAAAAAATAAATATATTATAAAAATAAAAAACCGACTGCATAAATAAAAAAAAAATGTAATAATACAACTAACCTAGTCTCTAAGAAATATTGTTTACTAACCATAATGAGTCGCTGGTCACTTGAATAAAGAATATTATTATTATTATAAAAGCTAACTAAAAAGATGACTACAAGCTCACGAAAGAATATAGTTATATATAGTATAATTTATTCTTACTATTATTCTGATATCCTAAACGTACGTAATAATACCTACTTTTAACATAATAGCGACTCACCTTCACTCCGCTCGGGTTCGTCCCTATAAGTTACGTTTTATCGTTTAGTAGAGATTTCTCAGAGATGAGATATTTTTCGGCAGTAAAAAGTGTCCTATATATTGACCCAGATAACCAGCTATCATTATACAAAATATCATCAAAATATATCTAGTGGTTTTCTCGGGATGCTTTCCCAGACAGACAGACAATTTTTTAAAAAACTATAGATTCGACCTCTGTAGGTATCGATAATTACTATTTCAAGAAGGTTTTCAAAAAAAAAATATTTAATGTACAGATGCTGCTCAGTTACAATTTTACTATATGTGTAGATTATTAAGTTTGTTGCTATTAACATATTATGCTAGGTATATCAAAAGGAATGCGCTTATGATCTCGAATCTAAAAGACGCTACAATATACATACTATTTCCGTGCAATATTTATTGCGTGCGTGGGAGTTTGTTTAAGGCGGGCCTGTTGTAGTGTATTATTAAATAAAAAGTATTCTTTTACTATTCTTATGAATTAAAAACGAGTTCTGTTTGTCCATCGTGCAGGGTTCCAAAATTCTTCAACTAATTCAAAGAATTAAAATAATTTTAGTACTAATTTAAAGAATTGAAATAATTTTATTTTTGAAATAATAATAAAAAAAATTTCTATACAAATAAAAGCCCGACTCCGTAAAAAAACGAACTAAAACGAAAAAGTTGACAAAGGAAGTAGTATTGTGCAGTCAGAGGTACATATTCTTGCCACGAGTCTTCTAAGTGAATAAATTGGCGCCTGAAATCCTTCATATTGATTTTAAATTATTTCTTTAAAGCCTATGACACTCGCGTTATCAAGACGAATCTAATGACATATGAATCATTAAAATCGGTTAAGCCGTTTAGTAATTACGAGGGAACATAGATTCGGACATACATACAAACAGGTCAAACGCCTACCCTCCTTTGAGCTTCGCCGCAGTCTGGTATTACAGTGATGTTCTCCTGGCCGATTCTAGCCACGGCGGCCAATCTCATTGAGACTAGCCAACTGCGCAAGAGATATTATAGTGCACAAGTGTACGCGCAGACACAACGTGCACTCTCTATTCCTGTCACTCTCATAATCCGGTGGGACGACCACTCGACACGACCAGTGAGAGTTAAGGCGCAGGACCGACGGTTTTACGTCCTCTCCGAGGCACGGGGGTGAGACACCGCCAACTTCCCAACTCCGGGCTGTTACTGAGACTTACTATACAGAAAGACTCAATAACTAAACTTGGCCCGACCCGGGACTCGAACTCAGGACCTCCGAGTGTGCAGCCGTACATGCTAGCCACTACACCACCGAGGCAGTTGTTGGTAATACAGTAGTAATATTACGAAGGTAATTTATTTTTGTAAAGCAGAAATTTCGTCTAAATATTGAACGAAATAAATTATTTGTCATATCTTTTGGACAGCATTTGTAATATATGCTTTAAACGTAACATTTAAGGATTAGGATTTCCATCAAATTAATAAAACTCAATTTAGTTTAAAAATATTTAATTACAAATATATTAAAATCTACATCATCTCGGTCAATCAAATCGGTGCATCGGAGATAAAAAATACTCTTATTTTATTAAACTTACATACCATTGTTATTTTCATCACAATATGAAAATTTCGCTATTAAAATTTCATTTAAAACTTCGAATACCTCGTATACTTTATTTACGATTTATATCTGTAAAATCATCTATCAAAAAAGTACTAGATATACACAATCCTATGCAAAAAGTTTTTTTTAAACTGTCACCAATTGTGTTTAGGTAATTATTCTAGTTGAAATAAATATACAACAATGTAAATTGAACCTTAAATGCAATGCTTAAAGCTGTTTTCACAAAAAAAAGCGCGCTCAAGGGTTAAAATGAGCGCTCATTCGGAGAGGACATTTTTTGTCGCTGATTGTGTATCTAGTACTTTTTTGATTTAGTATAATTTAATATAAACCGCATTCGTTGTGAGATAACTATACAGCTAATACCCCAAATTGGTGGTGCCCTAAATTGCAAGTACTACGAAATAAAAGAGATAGCTAGCTTCTATCTCTTTCTTAACTAGTCGTATCGGGCGCTTATGTGTTGTAATAACTATTGTATTTGTAAAGCTTCAATATATTCAATTGAAGTAATAACAGAGATATCTACAATGTACATAGTAAATATTTAGTTCGTAATGCTTTTAATTTACGAGAAGGCACTGGCAATTTAGTCGTATAAGACGTATATATAAGACAATGGTAAATAAATATACCGTGTGAGGGAATCGAACCTGTAACATCCGATATTATAATACTAAAACTATCTATTCGGTTGATTTCGCGGATTTACTTTGAATTTTGTTTCCCGACATTTCGAATGCTTTACAGCAATCAGTCGCTCCCGTAACCATGACTGTTGCAAAGCATTCAAAACTTCGGGAACCAAAAATCAAAATAAATTCGCGAAAAGACTCCGAAAAGAGTGTTTTATTTAAAATCCAAAGTTATAACTTGAAAGTTAGTCAAATCTTATTGTAGGTCGATACTAAATACTTAACTCATGTAGTTTCATATACATAATTACATTTACTTTCTTTTAGCTAAAGCTGCGATAAGGTTGAATTGTGCGTATCAAATCATGATATGTAATATATAAATGCATACATATAGTATGTGTACAGATGAATTTTTCAAGTAGGCGAAAAGGGTATGATCCGAAGCTATAGGTTTAAATAAATTAAAAATTAAATATCATTGAAAAACCTTATTTTTTCCAATGAGCATTCGAATCCGCCTTTAAAATAAAAAAAAACACTTAATTATTTGCCCATTTTGGAAAGTGGTAACATAGTTTCTTGCTATTGTATTGCCCTTGAAAAATTCACTTAGAACTTAGTTATAACATTTCTCAAACACAACCGTTCAGATATAATATGAGATTTGTTTCTCTGTTAATACACATATGTGCTATATATAATATATATTATACATTTATAATAAATTCAATTCAAAACACCAACACTCCTTTAAACCATGTAAACTTCTAACATAATGTGACAAATATTAAAGTTTCTTAATAGAATAAATTCATTTTTCAATTCCAATCACGACCAATAAAAAAGCAAATTCTTTAAAGTTTTGAAATGACTTAAAAAAAGAATAATTTTCAAACTTTAAACACAACATTCCTCTTTGAAACTGTAAAAACTATCAATGACAAAGTATTTACAAAGTAATACGTATGAAAAAATTGTAAATAATAATTTACGAGCACTAATTATTGTACTAAATAATGAAAATGGTACTAACATAATAAACATAATGATTGTATTATTTTACAAATTACATCTAGGTAATAGGAAGTATTAGCGGCATTGAAGTTGTGCCTTTTTTTATATGTGTATATATTTTTATATTGTAATGTGTCTCTTCATCTTGTAACTTTTAATTTTAAATATTATTTTAAAAAGCTATCTCTGGTGTGTATACTCAGAAAACAAAGTAAGATGCATAAAAAATATACTTTAATGCCACACATTTGAACCACTTCTTACTTATTTGAATTGTTATCAATACAAATATCACTTTCAATAATAGTTCGTTAACTTTGAAATTTTTAACTATATATTTTCAAAATATGAAAATAAGTGTCCAGAAGTTAGCTTCACAAAGTCAAAAAGGCACATTCACACTATATAACTCACACACATTTGTATTTAAGTACCTGTTAAATAGGCAAGGTATTTGACACAGATGATTTGAACATGTTACCAAAGAACCTGGCTCCGGACGATCCACCAGGAATAGAACCGAACATCATCCACATTAACGCCACAATTTGAGCAATTGCACATAAAACAGTAAACAGGGTACTTTCTAAATACAATGCACAATACAATGTTGCTATTAATGTAAATCCATATATTATTGTATTAAGAACTTTTTCTTTGGAGAATAGTGACTTCATATGCGCCCATGGACCATAGAGAAAACTAAAACTGTAAACAAATAATAATTACAATTAGTAAGTCTTCGTTAAATCATTTGTTTTCAAATAATTTCCAGTAAGTAATGGCAATGTCATTATAATATATATTTATTTTTAAATTGAGCTGATTGATAATTCATATTAGTCTATACTAATATTATAAATGTGAAAGCTTGTGACGATGGCCGGATATTTGTTAGTCTTTTACACTCGAACATCTGTATAGATTTAGATGATTTTAGAAAACATTTGGCACGGAGATAGATTATAATAATCTGGAATAGCACATATGTTATAATTTATCTCAGAAAAATGTACAGTTCCTGTGGGGTAAATTAGTTTTTATTTTTCACTAGGGATGAAACCAAAGAGAAGTGAGAGTGAAGCACTAGTATAGAATATTTCAGATTTATAGGAGATAATGGTGAATAATCATTTCTTATTGGACTCAATATTTTTTAATTACATGAAAATAGGTATTTGTAAACTAAACACATTTATACTAATTGTTTAGATTGTAAATAATCAATGGAGCTCATTATTACTCTGCTAATATACAATATTATCAGTAATCCTATAATGAGGTCACTGACATACTGTCGTTTTCAATTATTCATCATTTAAAACATTAGTTATTTGAACTATATAATTTCAAATAGGTGAGATATAGTTTAAGTGAATTGTAAAAAGCTTACCTAAATATGAAAAAGACGCTGCCCAATGTAAACAGAAGGGAAAACTTTTTGGCCTTCAGTACTAAAACTGGTATATAGATAAATGATAACAAGAAACATAATAAGCCTAATGCCAGACATATTCCAAATCCCATGAATCGCTGTGTTCGACTCTGTAATTTTAAAAATATATTAGAATTAGTAGTTTTAACTTTTATTAAAAGTAAAAGTATGTAATAGTAGGTAAATGGTACATAAATGCATATTATTTACTTACCAAGGTAAAGTATTCTTTTTGTACATTTTCGAACCAAGTTCCGGTAGAGCTGTTTGAGCTGGTAGGAGTTTCGTCATTACTTCGAGAAAAGAAACTAGGAGTTGAAAATGGTAAACTAATCTTATAACTGCGACGATTTTCGTTTTGAAGTAAATATTCATCTAAATCAGACTTTAAATTGGCCATGATTCACTCTTTTCTTTTTCCTAAATTGTATGGTTATTTATTGTGATTTTTTTACAAGATATTAATAGGTAAAAACCCGATTATAAATTATGTTAGTCACAGCCACAACAACTAAGCCAGTTCTTACACTGACACTGACAATTGACAGATGTGAGATGACACTTGACAGTCACGCAACTGTCGTCTAAATATTTTAAAAATTACCAATTGTATGGTTTTAATTTAAATTAATTATTAAAAAAAAAAGTTTTAAAACTTGTATCTAAATGACATAAACTTTTATTTAGCTTCAATGTAATAATTGTCTTCTAAAACCAAAGCATGGACTGAATGGTAGCTGTTTGACTCACTAGTGTTCTTCGCGTAAACAATAATCGATTGTCGATAATTTTAAGTGTAGAATTTAAGCAAAATATATTTTACCATAGTCACTGTCATCGCTGAAATCATCATGGGCGTGTCGACGAATATTGTTGTTATACCGGTCATGCGCACAAGGCGGGCATACACCGCGCGTGTCTCGTTCGTCTAAATCAGTGCTACTCGCGTCTGAATCTACTTCAGCTTCCTCTATGTGTATATCTTCAATGTGCCTGTTGTCTAATTTCTCATTTGATGACAGCTGATTGTAGTCTTTGCGTTGTGGTCGTGGTTCTGTAATAGACAAGAAATAATTCAATACTCGTAAAATAGTGATAATAACTCTACCACTCAGTAGTATGATAAAAATCAAAACACCAAATAAGTTTTTAGAACTATATGTATGTATGTATTATGCATATGGCATATGTTTATTATGTCTTTTTAATTTACTTGGAATTCCAGTCATCTTCTCAGGAGACGAAATATGAGTGATATATAATATTTAAAACTAAATATTGGAATAGTGGCTGTTTTCTGAATTAGTGAAAGTAGATTAAAATTTAGTTCTTTTATCACTTTTATCTTTATTTTATAAACTTCAACTGGTAGTTTGTCTATAATTTTTTTTATTACATGCAATAAGTAATGATGCTGGTAGAGTATCTGTTCACCACTAATACTATATTATTACATTTTTATCCAAAGACTACATCCATTTTGCAAAATTGATTAAAATGTTCCAGTTTAAGTGTAATTATTTTGCATAAAAGACATTTTTATTCTTCACTTATGTCTATAATCTTCAAAGTAAAAGTTAGTAAAGTATTTATAAATGGAGTTGTAACTTTGAAGCATAAAAACTTTTAAGAACTGTTGAAGTAGAAAAGTCGATTTGAAACAAAGTTGAATTTATAATGACGCTAAAATATATGAGTGAAGAATTTTAGAAAGGAGTAAATTTTATAGTGATTTTGGTTTAATTTAAATTTACTTTTTATTTAAAATTTATTTTCATATTATTATTTATTTTGAAGAATTTTGAAGAGGCGTGTGCGTCGCGTCTCGTTGAATATTACAACTCAAAACGCAGTGTATTAACTGGTAAAGAGTTAAGAAAGGAATGAAGATTCACTATATTCGTAATAAAACTTTTTAACAAAATAATTAAAAACCGACTTCAAGAAAAGCACTAAAAAGTAAAAAATAACTGATGGGTAGTTTTAATTTACTATACATACCTAATCAAATATTTTCAAAGTCGGTGCCAGCCGATACAAAATCGGTTTACTTTTTAGTGCTTTTCTTGAAGTCGGTTTTTGTTTTTTTGTTAAAAAGTTTTTATATTTCCCTTTTTAGAGTAGACATAGTAGTAGTAAAGCAAGAAGAACGTATTTAAATAAAATATTAGCTTAAACCGTTTAAGTTACTTTGATGCCAATTTTTATACGAAGACTTATAAACTAAAATTCGCTTTTATTAGTAACACTAAAAATTCTGCCTCTAAAATCCGGTTCTAAAGTGTTAGGCTTGTCAAACTAAACAAAATAAGCCCAAACTCAAAGTATCTACTATTAGCCGTTAAAGAGTTCCACCTATCCACCCTCTGGTCTTACCATCAGATTAAGTCAACGATACCGAACCACTGCACTATCAACGGAAATAGAAACACATGCAAAGTTTCAAGTCGATGACAATTAGTTGCAAAGTTTCAAGTCGATGACAATTAGTAGGTTAAATTCATCATTAGCTATTTTTCCACCCTTAGGGGTGGTATTTTTATTTATTTATTGGGACCAATATGGAAGTATACACTTTCAATCAGAACAAAAAATGTCCAAATCGGTTAATAAATGACGGAGTTCTGAGGTAACAAACATAAAAAAAATACAGTGGAATTGAGAACCTCCTCCTTTTTGAGGAAGTCGGTTGAAAATACAAATATAAAAGAAAGTGTTATCGAAGCATTCAAAGTTATCCAAGATCATTGTACTAAAATAAATTCATGATAGTTTCATTATCATTTTCTTCTTTGTTTTATTTTTAAGCAGGCAACACTTAATAAATTACAATACACAGCTTCTTCAAATTTAACATTTTACTATTTTAGGATCATCATTCATTAATATGTATGTATTGTACATAGCGAGTGGTGACATACTGAACTCATTTGTGAAAAAACTGAGAGTACCTACTTGGTGAGACATTATACCATTTATTTATTTATAGCATAATAAACAAAAAGATGTTTACTTTTTTTACGGAATTTATATCTGTATAGGAGATAAAACAATAGAGCTGAATTCGTATCCAATTATCTCATTAGATGAAATATGAGCAGTGTTTATCATTTTTATAAGTTGCGAATATGACCTCTATTATTATCGATCATTATCGATGGAAATAATAGATTGATTATTTCACGCGACATAATTACCGCAAATATCAGTTACAGTTAAAATTGTTGAAATCCCGTTTATATTATTAAGAGAATCGTTTTATTGTGTCAATACCATAAAAGGTAAACCAACACTGACATGAGCGTTAATAGCTGTAATTAATCAATTTCGTGTACATTGTAAATTGCGTATTGTCATATCATAACATTATATTAATCAACGGGTCAATAGTCTAAATATAACATAAGGTCAAAATGGCGAGTTGTATAATATACCTAAATATTCAGTATTAAGAAGAATTAAGCGATGTTATTGTCTGTAATACTTATAATACATAAGTTCGTTTCAATGTGATTGCTTTTTTAAAAAGTTCCTTAGCTTCTCGCCTAAGTCCCAGTGACCGTAGCGAAAAGCTATAGAGCAATCCCATAATTAAACCCTTTTTAATTACTTTTATTAATCGACTTCAAAATCACAGGGGAGTAAATAGGATGTATATTTTTTGTGTGAAAGTTGCGTAAAATCTTCGCCAAGCGTTAATCGATGCAGGGTATTCTATCATTGGGATGGTCCTATATAAAATTGTGTATAGGCTCCGCACATAAGTACATTCCCACATAGAAAGCCTATAACTCTCCTCATCAAATAAAATAATATGTATTCTTCAGTCTTCTCCCTGCTCATTTCTCAAGTTACTTGGGGTCGGCGTAGTAAGTTCTTCTTCCATTCTCCCCTATTACTCGTCATCTCATAATTCACCCCTTTCTTTTTCATGTTTTTCATATCTCACCCAATTTATCCATCTTTATTCGGTCTTCCTCTACCTTTTACATCCATCTATATTCATTTCCATCACTATTCTCGTCACATGCATTTTCTCCCTCCTCTTCATATGTCCATACCACTTGGACGATTTCCTTTCAATTTGTCTGTCACTGATGCTACTTTTGAGCTTCCTCTCATGTACTCATTCCTTATTTTATCCATTTTGGTCTCTCCACACATCCATCTTAACATTCTCATCTCTGCAGTATGCAATCTTCTTTCATCAGTCTTCTTCGTAGGCAAACATTCCGATCCATACATAACGACAGGTCTTATTAAGGATTCGGGATTTATAGATCTTACCCTTCAACTTAAGGGGCATCCGTTGTCGCAAGTTGAAATAATGTGAATATAATATAATAGTAATATGACTTTTAGTTCCAGAGATTTCAAAATTACGTTAAGAAAAACGCATTAGTACCAACAGATTACATTCAAAGATACCAGAAATTGTGACTGCTTTTGACATTGTACAAGAGCTTTCACTTAAGATCTAGGTACTAAACTGATTGAATGAAATGTTGCAATATTTTTCGAGGAACTTTGAACAATATAAAAATTTCTAGAGGAAGTTTATTAATTGAATATGAACATATCAATACATTACCTATATTCATTAAAAACATAAAAAGTGTATTATAGATTTAATTTTTATTCATTTTTATGTTATTCGTAGGCTACTCGTTAAGGCGGTACCAAAAAACTTGTGTTGAACTTTGATAGCCCGATGCCCGATGCGTCTGGTGGCGTCATTTTTGTAAAATTTTTATCCTTTTTATTTTTACACATAAATATATTTTTTTCTTTCTTTTTTTGTTTGTTAGCAGTTTATGTATATGAACAAAGTTTTTTCTATTTCTATCAACTGACAATAATTATCACATGTTTACATTTAGCATTTACTTAAAATATTTTATAAATCTGATTTCTTATTGTTACAGATTAAAATGGACGTTAACTCTCCGAAGATAGCTGTTCTTGGAGCTGGCGTAGTTGGTTCCACTCTCGCTCAAATCTTACAAAAAGAATTAAGAAATGCAGATATATCTATAATAGCAGATGTATTCAAAGAAGATACGACTAGCAGTGTCGCTGCAGGCCTTTTCAGACCAGGAACGAGTTTTAAGGGCCCTACAAAAGAAATAACTAAGAAATGGATTGATAATTCCTGGCATTATTATCAGGCTATTATAAAAACATCGGATGCACCAAACGCCGGCATTATGCCGGTATCTACTTACATATTTTCAAAAGACAATTATCATGTCACGAGAAATCATCTCATCGAAGACCTTGTGCCGATTTACAGAGCAGCCGATAAAGATGAGCTGAAATTGTGTGGAGAGGGTTGGAAGTACGGTTCATTTTTCTCAACCATGAAAATCGGATGCGATAAGTATTTACCGTGGATGGAAAAATCGTTTATCGATAATGGCGGTAAAATTTTAAAAGAAAAAATCGAGAATTTCACATCACTATCTAAGTATGATGTAGTTTTTAATTGTACTGGCTTGGGAGCAAAATTTTTGTGTAATGATCATGACTTAGTACCTATGCGTGGTCAGGTTATCAAAGTTAAAGCGCCTTGGTTGAAAATGGCGTATTATGGAGATTACGATACTTATATAATTCCTGGGTTGGATGGTGTGGCAACGTTGGGTGGAGTGAGGCAATACGACAGTTATAATAGAAACGTTTGCAAGTACGATGCTGCAGCAATTCTTGAACGTTGTTGTGATCTTCTGCCTGCTTTGAAAAAGTCTGAGATTGTGGCTCATAGAGTAGGGCTTAGACCCCATCGAGTACCTGTCAGGGTTGAGCCTGAGATTATTGACGGTGTAAAAGTAGTCCACTGTTATGGACACGGGGGGTACGGTGTGATGTGTGCTCCAGGTACTGCTCTAGATGCTGTTAAAATTGGCTTGGACTTATTGAGAAATAATATGAAGAGTAAAATATAGATTACTAGCGGCTCACCCTCGCTTCGCCTAAACAAAATGAAATCTATCTCACAGGAACCTTACATTTCTCCGGGATAACAAGAAGCCTATGTACTAATTCCAGACTATAATCTATCTCAATGCCAAATTTTCATCCAGATCCGTTCAGCCGTTCTGGCGTGAAAGAGTAACAAACATCCAAACATCTAAACTTCCACATTCAAAATATTAAGAGACTATAAGACATTATGAGTCATATTAATTTTTTATTCCTGAAATGTTTGTGAAAAACAATTATCTCATAAAGTACTGTTAAATCGTATTGTTTTTAAATAAAAATACATAATAAAGCGAATTATATTTTTAATGATTTAAATGTCTTGGGAATAAAAATGCAGAGTTCCCTCGGGACTGGATATCCGTATAAAATTATTATGTTACCTATTATATGTTATTCTAATTTTGTCCTGTTTTATTTTCTAATATTAAATTTATATTAAATGTACTAGCGACTCACTATCATGAACCAATTGAAATAAAACAAATACCTACTAAATGTTGAGTGAAGAGTAATTACAACACATCGTACCCAAATGAGTTTAGCCGTTTCTGAGATTAATGCGCACAAACGAACAGACAAACTGACCAAATTTCTAAAAATCATTGATTGGGTTCTATTGCGTTAATAAAGACCCCCAATAATAGTTTTTCTCAAATATCTTCCATGTACAGACAGCGATCACTTGCAATTTTTGTTACATGTATAGAAGATGTATGTATCTATCTATTTATCTACAAGTATTCTATACTTATATATAAACTAGAGGTTCACCATCACTTCGTTCAGGCTCGTCCCTAGCCTAGGGACGAACCTGAACGAACCCCTAGGGAACCTAGGGACCCTAAGCACATTTTAACGGTTAGTATGGAATAGATAGATTATATATTATAAGATATACATCCTTTCTGAATAAACGGCCTATCTAATGCAAAAAGAATTTTTCAAATTGCATTAGTAGGTAGTTCCTGAGATTAGCGCGTTCAAACAAACAAACAATCTCTGCATCTTATAATATTAGTATAAATGTGAAATAAAATGTAAATGTGTCAAGCAAGTATATCTACCGCCTGCTGTTTTATGAAAACTTACTCCTCCACCTCAAGGTTGCCTGGAAGTGATCGCTTCCTGCGATAAAGCCGCCTGCTGAGCATCTTTTCTTTGTGTTTTATGTTTTTTGTAAATAATAAAGTAAATAATAAATATTATTATTACTACATACGAAAACTACTTGTCATGTCTAAGTCAATAGGGAATACCTATGAGTGTGATTTAAATAAAGATTTTTTTTAATAATCTTTATTGCCTTTGAATTAAGCCAATATCAATATTTTTAATGTAATTTCTTTTCGATTGAGAATTTTTTTTTATAAAGTGTAAAATGTATGTAGGAATTTCAAAGTAGTTGAAATGAACGCGATTGGTTAAACCGAATATGATGTCAGAGTATATCATATCAGAGCGATTAGCGATTTTGTCGCTACAAATTGCGTGGTCATTTTTCTGTGTACTGTGACGTCACGCCAACGCGCGAAATGGCGGGCGTTCGTATCGGTATGATGTTTTTATACTAAACTAGCACTGCCCGCGGCTCCGCCCGCGTTCAGATGACCAAAAACCAAATTCTTAGGTTTTACATTTTAGTATACTCTTACATTACAGTTTTTGTATTTTTCTCAGAAATGAGAAATTTTCTTGCGGTAAAAAGTATCCTATATGTTGACCCGGATAACCAACTATCACCATACCAAATTTCATCAAAATCCCTCCAGTGATTTTTCCGTGATGCGGTAAAAGACAGACAGACAGACAAAAATTTTAAAAACTATAGATCTCTGTATCGATAATAATTTCTATTTCAATAAGATTTTTCAAAAAATATTTCATGTACAGATTCAGCTCAGTTAGAATTTTATTATATGTACTAGCGGCTCACCCTCGCTTCGCTCGGGTTCGCCTCTAGAAAAACACTACTAGAAATCTATTAGTTCCCACGGGAACCGTTCATTTTTCCCGGGTGAAAAGTAACCGGTTGTAAGGTATCAGAATGTAAATTTTACTAAATTAGGTGCATAAGTTGTATAAGTTATAATAGTTTTTTAACTATCCCACGGTAACCATTATATTTTCCGGGATAAAAAATATCTAAGACGTTGTCCGGGGATATAAGGTACCACCATGCAAAATTTCATTTAAATCGGTCCAATAGATTCGGAGATTAGCCCGTACAAACAGACAAACAGACAGAGAAACAAAAAAATTGAAAAAAGTCTGGATTTGTGTTAACTTTTTTAATTAGGGATGACTGAGAGTGTTATAAACGTAAGAGTAGACAAATATAAATCAGAAAGCTTCGAACTGCTAAGCTATCGGGAGTTACACGTGTTATTGTGAGTCAACCATAAAAGATAGACATATGATGTCGTTGGATATTTTTTATATAATTTTAAGGAGAAAATTTCGGTCATACATGATTTCTGTGTAGCTTTAACTATTAAGGTAGCACACGCGACGGAAGCTTAAAAAATGGAGTAACTTCTCCCGTTTTCCCAACATTTCCCTTCACTGCTCTGCTCCTATTGATTGTAGCGTGATGAAAAGTATACTATAACCAGCTCAGGAGTATGAAAAATAATTGTACCAAGTTTCGTTAAAATCCGTCGAGTAGTTTTTGTTTCTATAACGGTTATACAGACAGACAGACAGACAGACAAAAATTTTACTGATTGCATTTTTGGCATCAGTATCGATCCCTAATCACCCCCTGATAGTTATTTTGGAAATATATTTCATGTACAGAATTGACCTCTCTACAGAGTTATTATAAGTATAGATAGATTTAAGTTTTTTTGGAGCTGGATATTTTTTACAATTGTACAAAGATTTATGCTATTGTATAAAAAATAAAAAAAGTCACGCATATTCCCTATTGTAGACTTGATGTTATAATATTTATATATTACGGCACAGGTATTAATCCAAATAAGTTTTATTTAAATTGATGGAGTATCGATAGATCAAATCAAAGATTGATATGAGAGTCGTGTTCGACGATACAATATAATGGTCATTATTCATGTTTCTAATTCGGGAGTTGAGACGAATAATTAATTTCAACTTGAATCCAAACTGAGGTTGTATTTGATTAAATTGTATATTTTTCTAGTACGTACACCAATTGTAAATTTATCTTATATATATATATATATATATATATATATATATATATATATAAATCAATTGCTGTTCCTTTGTCTGGTCAAAGAAACGGCTGGTCCAATTTGAATAATACTTTCTTTGTTTTGTTGGAGGTGTGTCAGGAGTAGTTAGTTTAAGTAGATCTACTTGTGCGATATTAAATAATTTTACATTAATGTAAAAGATAATGGAATAGTTATGCAAAATTACTTTAGAGGCTTTTCATTTGATTTGATCAATTATTCGCAAACCTAAGGTATCTAGGCCTATGTATCTAGGTCAGGAACTCCCTCGAGGAGTCACGCAAATACCGGCATTAGCATTATATCTGCTATTTAATTTAGTTAAATATTCTTCCGTATATACCATAATAATAATAACTACCCAAACTCCATTTCCAAGATCCAATTATTTTTCCACATTTCCGTAGTCCCTACGCATTATTTATAATATGTATGTATTTAAAGTTACATATATGTGTAGTGTATCAACTACCTGGTATCTACAACACAAGCCTCGTAGCTTACCATGGAACTAGATGGTGTTGTGTTAATGTCCTGACATATTTATATTTATTATCCGGTGACTATCTTTGAGCAATTCTCCATGGGTCTACTCAGAGATGGATCACGGCTTTATGTATTGGACCCCCACGCGAGTCTTCTAAAGGACCAGACTCTTTCGAACCCGTAAAATCCAAAGAGATAGAAATAATAATTGTAGGACTTTAACTAGTAAACTAATATGAAGCGAAATGAGAACCAAAGATCTGATCGATATATTAGCGACCAGTAAAGGTGATAATTAATATGATGTCATTTTTGGCTAATTTCAAGTAGGTATATTGTTTAAAATTCAACTTTTGCTACAAATAAAGCAAGTTTGGACCGGAGGGAAATATCTCTAAAACATTGCCTCGTAAAATGCCAGTAACAGAAGTGTTGGACGAAGTGGATTGCTGTCAGAGTGTATTAAACCGATATTTACTGGGTTTATTCTCTTTATAGCTCTTTTGCTTTAGTATATTTAAGGATTTCAATAAATTTTAGAAACGCGGTTAATACACAGTCGGACATATATTTATTTAATTTTTTTTTGTTATCTATATAAATAACTAGCGGCATAGGCTATAGTAAAAATTTCGTCCGTTAAAGACACTATTTAATTAATGTTTAAAAAAGTAAATATCACATTATCCGAAGACGATAAAAAATTGTCGTTAATGCTAAGTATGTAGTTATATATATATATATATATATATATATATATATATATATATATATATATGTGTGTGTGTGTGTGTTTTTTTTTTGTAATACTTACTAGAGCTTACATTAGTTGCGAAATAGCTACTTGAGTGAGAAATCTAGTCATGGCAAGTAGATTTAAGTACGTTAGTCAGCACATACTTTCCCTTAGTTATTTATAATCCTCTTATTTTGTACGGTTAATCCAGTAAATTAGAGGTAAATTTAAAATATCACAGCCAATCTCGAGAGTCGAGCGTGACTACTCCATTTAACACGATATTGGCGAAATAATTTGTGCTCAACTCAAGCATTGAAGCCTTTACATAGAGAATTGAATTGAATATATATTTATATTGGAAAATAGATGCAAAGCGTTTATTCCTTCTGCTTCTTATCTTATTATATTGTACTATCTCAAGATTTGTTTTTTACCTACTTTAAAAAGGTGTTTCATTTATCTATACTTAATATTATAAAGAGGTAAAGTTTGTGAGTTTGTGACGTTATAGGGG